GAGTTGTATACGTTGGTTGAAAACGTATTTCGTACTTTACGGTTGGCAGTATTCGTTACTTGACAACTTATACAGCTTGCTTAAAAAGTAAACGTTGGATATGTGCAACAACTTTCGAATTAGTCATTTTGTAGCTCACGCCTAGTGTAAAATCAAAAAAAAACCATAATTATAATCCTATAACTTTCTTATTTGGAAGGGATATTAATCATCGCCAGAATATAACCCCTTATGATTTTCATGGTAGTAGATCAAACTTTAGGCTATGTTTACTTTGACCAGAACAAAAACAGCTTGTTTTATCAATTACAAAATAATGCTTTGCTTCGATAAAAAAGGCTCTTGGATGCTGATGTAACTGTATTCGTAAAAGTCGTACTTGTAATCCATGGTCGTTGTCGTTGTAGCTGTGGTCGTAGTCGTAGCAGTCGGTGTATTCTTAGTCGAATTCGGAATCATAGAAGTCGTGGTCGTCGCAGATATTATGACTTGTAGCTTTAAAAGACTTAGTAGTCGTAGCGGTGGGTCGAAGTCGTACCCGTACTTTTTGCTGTATTCTTTGAAGTTCGTATCGGGGTCGTTTCTGTAGTTTTAGTCAGTCGTTCCTGTAGTCTTGGTAGAAAGCGTAGCTTTGAAAATTCATTATAGCTGTTCTTGTATAAATGGTCGTAAGTCACATATTCGTTATCATAGTGGTCGTAACCGTATTTGTAGTCGTGGTAATGGCCGTAATCGTCGGCGCGGTCGTAGTCGTGGACAAACTTGAAGTCGTAGCACTTGTAGAAGTGTTAGTCGTCGACAAAATCGTATTCATTAGAATTGCAGATCGTGGTCGAAGCTGAACTTGTCGTCGTTAAAGTCCTAGTCGTGATCTAGGTCGTAGTCATAGTCGTTGTAGTCGGCGTTTATGTAGTGCGTGTAGTCATTGTTGTCTCTCATCCCTGTAGTGACATGGGTGTACTTGTCTCTTTGATACCAGTTTGATAGAATGCTTTGACATGGAAACATATGCTTTCGTGTTAGAATAAAACTTATGCCTATTCAATGGTGTTCTGGTGAATGGTGATAACTGGCCGTTGGCTATTCAGACAATAGTACAGTCGTGGCCGTAGACCGGGCGGAAAAGTGAAGAAAATCACCATCTTAGTCACTTTACACAAATGAGCCATATACGGTGATATGCAGGCATCTTGACGTATACAGCTAGCGATCAGCTGTGTTCGGTATAAGCTGTATACGGTATTTATACGTATACAAAAACGTGTATAGTGCAAAACATTTCTCAATCTTTTAATCTGAAATTTCAAAAATAAACTTAGAAAATAACATTAATTTACAGCATGGGACGTTGAAATCGTTCATGAACGTTCATAGTTACATTTGAGAAGATGCAAAATACGAGTACTTGTATGTTTAAAAATTGCGACATATTTCTTTTGAATCATTATGGAATATTTTTTATTTTTATAACCGATTTTTTTCTCTTTTGTTTCTTTTTTCAGTCAAACATTCACTGTAATGATAATGTGGCGACCTTCCAGCTCTACTTGTGGCGGAAAACTTCAGTTTCCGTTCCGTGCATTAGTTCAGGCAATAGCGGGTACCTGAGGTCCGATAAGCGAGTAGAATAAGCTTTTTTCGCATGACGGAACCCATTTAAATTGAATGGTTTTTAAGTATTCTACAAGGAGGCATCTGCCATTTAATGTATCCTGTAAAAGAATATTCATATAAAAAACAAACTTATATTCCAAATCTTGCAGTGTCATTCAAAAGTAAAATGATGGCAGTACACTTTGCATGAATATCCGTTCTACCAACAAAATCAGCTCTAGTCTGATAGCTAAAATAGGATAAAAAGTCGAAATCTCAATAATAAAAAAACATATACAGCTACACGAAAAATGCTTTCATTTCCCATTATTCTTTTTTTTTCAATTTAAAGATAGGAAAAACATTTGCCTTTGCTTATTGTAAAAAGGGATCAGTCAATTACAACTTCCACATCTTCAGCTTCCAGAAATGGACCGTTGTTTCATCATCCGTTTGAACGTACTATGGTGTGTCAACGAGGTGGAGTTTTGGCACAAAAAAAGGCTGGGTTACAATTTAAGAGATTTTACCATCCGGCTGTTTCCGTGGGATATGGCTTTTTCAGGGATTCGAACATTTGTAAAGATAAACCCTACCATTTCCCGCAGTGGGGTGCGGTTTCGAGTGACTGGTGCGTGCTCAATACTTATACATGTATATAACCGACTATTGTATTAATCATTCCATAGATTTACATTATAACAAATCTAAAGGAAAACATAAACCTACTTAATATTGAGTATTCATGCTTAAGATGTGATTTGTATAGAAGAATGCCAGACACATTAAATGATCTTGTTTTAAATGGGTGACCGTCCAAATGTTTCGCATAATATCCCAAAAGATGATTATTCCTCTTTTCACTGAAACTTCTTACTAATCGGACTGTACGTTATATACTTTTACAAATGCAAATATCCAAATGAGAAAAATCACCTTAGAGACCTTTGAAACAGTTTATATTCTTAAGAAAGCAACGCAGTGTTAGTTTCTTAAATAATATATTTTCATTAAATCACTTGATGTCTTATTGAATCTTATTGTTTTCCCAGCACTTTCTGCGGCCAATTGCTGGCCATGTTACAATACAACAATCTGACCACTAGACTCAATGTCCGAAATCAATGGGCATGCACAAATTTCGCCTTGCCCTAGAATCGAACCAGCGACTCCCTAATTATTTATTACATCCTCTCCCTATTGAGCTTAGACAGCCTACGACCGACTTAGGTGTATTAAAGGTATGTCAATATGTATTGGAGGGCATTTGGACCTATGCAATATATAACAAACTTGTTTCTTTCCTTCATGTTGAATATTTGCAAAAGAAATATATATGGCATCTAAAAATTTAAATAAATTGCAAATAGAACTCAATTTCTAATATAATTTCATGCTACAGATAAAAATATTGATTGCATTTTGTCATGTTATATTTCTTAACCAAAATATAAGCAGATAAATCATATCTTGTTAATTTTTGCGCACGTGGTTTCGTCGCCAGTTTTCTAAAGTACAAAGCCGTTCTATCAACTCACCACCTCTTTTACAGTTTACCAAGATCTAGGTCTTTAAAGAGTTTGATAGTTGCTGTATTACTTAATCACGTTTTTTTAAGTTTGATGTAGTCATTCTTTTTCCCTTATGTAATTACATCATTTCATTGCATCTTTTTTGTACTTTGTACAGGCAGATTCTGCCTTTCAGTCAGATTCTTTCGGGAATCCAGGCGGTTTTGTTTTTCAATTAGATCCTTTCGGTAATCTTTCGGTCAAAATAATATATAATTTTCTAAATCCAGAGGGGAAAAAATCCCAATTAAAAGTTACAAAATAAATGATATTGAATAAAAAATTCTAAAATCATTGAAAATAAGGACTCCTTTACTGCTATATATAGCACTTAAATGTTTGAAGATGCCATCTTAGCAAAGATTGTTTGCATTCATTTAATCACTGCAAACTTTCAGTCATGCACTTTCCCCATTTTTTTAACAAAACATCATTCCATGGATATGGGTCATATTACCAAAATCCAGAGTGTATATAATATAAGCTTATGGCATTTCCTTCGCATCATGTGTTTTGTTTCCCTTTTTCCTTAACAAGTTCGACGTAGTCTGTGATTCTCAGCGTGATCTTGAACAATATATAAATGTGAAAATATTTACATTTCCTATATAAGTCTATGCTAAAATTTAAAATGACCAAATACTTCTTGATTTGGCATGTTTTATTAAGGATTAATCATGCGACTCAAGTGTCGACCAGGCGTTATAACTGATAATATACCATAGTGAATAGGTACAAATACGTATGGAAAAATATGGATTATGATAATTGAATCAAACTTAAACGTGTTTCAATAATATTAGACCATTACATTATAAGTCACTGCAAAACAATTTCATATGGAAAGAACACATTCGAAACTAAAAGAAAGGATATTGATCAACTGATTTCCAAGTGAACACACAATAATAATATCAGCATTACTCGAAAAATTAAAGATAAATAAAATAACGTTAACACCGAAAATGCGCGTGTAACAGTGCTATATATAAAAGTTTAATTAGGATCAATGAATGGTTTAATTTTCAGTGTAAAGAACGGTGTATACAAAATGAAATAAATAATTAAAATAATCATTACTGATTTGTTTTCACTCATTAGATGTTTTCGATATGTATAAGAATAACACAATCGTTCTTGATTGTATAACTTATCAACACATTGGTGTTTAATGTTTGTGTAGTTATGAAAGTCACATTTTGACATGGATTTTACATTGAATGACTATATATACATGTATGCACTGTCTTGGTCACCCTAAAACTATCATTATTTTTCACCTTATAGTGTGACTCGTGTATGTACTATAAGATACAGATGATTGCGTCATCGAAGTGATATTTTATATTTCTGCATTTTCTTGTTGCCTTTACAGGAATTTATAACAACAAGAAATGATTTATCACGTGAGACACACACTCTTTTCTATCTTGTGTGATGATAAGAGCTGTCCTGTTAGTGATATCTGCCCAATGGAGTTTGTTCCTTCACTACAAACCAGGATAGTATCAGATGGACCAACTGCTACACCACATGGTTTCTGTATCTGAGATCATCCTTCACAACTACTCTCGTGTTTGCCTTTACGTCATATATGTAGACAATGTGCTCGTATCTATCTGTTAGCACCACTTTATCACTGTTCCGTATGTAAGTACAAGTGCTTGTGCCTACAGGATATGCCTTGTTCGGAAATTTGATACTAAAAACGTATGGGTCTCCTGCCAATGATATTATTCCTACAGGTATTTGGTAATCAATAGTTCCTACTATTAATTGGCTATTGTCTTTTAAACATATAGAATCATATCTATTTGTTACATAACATTTTCTACTTCACCTTATTTCATTAGCTTTACTAACACGTAAGAAGTCTATTATGTATTCGTTGCCACTTGTTATCGCTACTTCATCCTCAGATACAGCAACAACGGACAGTGGATAAAAAGATAACTGATATGATCCTACATTTTCAAACTTTTCGTTGTAAACTAAGAATTTCTTATTGTTATTATCCACAGCAACTAGTCTACCATCGGATAGAAAGTCTATTCCTGAAAAGAATGGTTGTTCGAAGTCATCTCCCGTCTTCTTTAACCCAATGGAAGAACCTGGAGTTAATGTCATCACCTTATTAACAGCATTCACAATTTCCCGTGAATGATATTTCAATGTGAGATGTCCAGGAACAAAGTCAGTAATTGATTTTGGTGGTAGATTTAATTGTTCGTCAAAGTCAAATGAAATGGTCATCGTTTGGAAGTTCTGACATTCCTCATTAACATTTCTGCATACAAAATTGACTTCATTACCCATCTTCTGTTCTGCTATAAATTTCTGAGTTGGAGTTCCAGTTTCGAAAATGCTTTGAACCGTTTCTAGATACGCTGTAACTCTATGCAAATGTTTCTCGATTTGTAACTGTTTCTTTTCAAGATTATCTAATGTTTCTTTTTGAAGAGTTTTGGCTCTCTTAACAATTGCAACTTCTAACTCGACAAACATTCTCATTACTTCATCTCGCATTTCCCTTATTTTTGCATGTATTTCTTGAACGTCTTGAACAAGTTGATCTTTTGAAGTAATAATGTCTCTTGCAATATCTTCTGCATTGTCTTTGGCTTCCTGCAATATATCATCTAAATCAGAACTTGATGACGTCATTTTCCCGATAATTTTCCCGACCTCAGCAATGCTTTTACATGCACGATGATCAACAATGGCGCAAGTTCTGCAACAAAGCTTGTTCTCATCTTCACAGAAATAATCTAAAACCTTTGTGTGTTGATCACATCTGATTACATGTGCTACATTTGCGTTTAGCAGTTTTTGACTTTTAAAGATGGCAAGCACGTTATGCACACCTGAACAATCAATACACTGGAATTCATTACACGTTGAACAAAACTTGTCAGCCACAATTTTCTTATCTTTACTTAAACACGGTTGACACATAATTTCCTTATCACGTCGTTTACACAAAATGTCCTCGACACGCCCAGGAACTTCATCGTCCTCTCCACCGTCCGCCATTTTGTTTACAATGATTCTCTATTTTTGAATTCAAGTTAGTTTATATTCTCAACTCACTATTTAGCAAAACTGTATCAATCCGATTTAATATTTCAATGCAAAATTATAAATTTTAAAACTGATTTATATACACGTTCACATAACAATATGTATCTGGTATCTTTCTATCCCTGTGTTATCTTTCGTATGTTTACATTACGTTGCTACAATAATATTGGAAACGCGGAAGGTAAATTGACTCAAAGTGGGTGAAGTACAACTATTGAAACATAATAATTATTGATATGTATATTTTTAGACTGATTTCATAGTATCAATGATAGTAAGTTAAGGTGTTACCACATTTACATTTAACCTCTGTCATTAAGTATAATACGAGTGGTGTTCAAATATGAATGCAAGTAAGCCAATATCTCGCTTTTTAACCACGTTTTGCACGAACTATGTACATGTATCGCATAGATAGTTGTGCAAGCTCTCAATGTAAATCAGTTTATTTTAGCTTTGACAATAGCTCGATTAACGCTATCTACTCGTGTGTACTAAAGCTAAAATGGTTGGGAAAAGGTCTAATTTCACTGACCAAATACGGTCCTATATCAAGAACCGCTGTATTCTTGGTATACAGACGGTAGACATATTTAATGATATTTGTGTTTATGGGAATAATGAAATTTCTCTTTCATCTGTCACACGCTGATGTAAGAAATTTAAAAGTGCTGAGGATTCAGTAAACGATGCGCCTCATGTATGCCGTCTGAACTGCAACCCCGCTAAAAATGGTTAAAAAGTAAGATTTGATTGCTACTGATGCAAGATTTACACCTAGGTATATATAGCTGAATGCGTTGGTATCTCTGTAGGAGCCGCTCATACAATTCTCAGACATGATTTAAATATGAGAAGAATAAGTGCCAGATGGATACCTCATCTCCTTACAAAACAGCAAAAACTTGCTCGGGTAGAAAATCTCCAAACAAGTTTTACAAAGGCAAGGTCCTTCATAAATGAAAGAAATATTCCAAAAACCGTCCACCAGCGACTGGCCTTCGTGGTGTAAGGTTGTTGCATGACAATGCTTCGTCACACAAAGCGCCATTGTACGAGAATATCTAAGTATTAAAATGTCAAATTTGTTATAACATAAATTATAACATCAGATTTGTATTGTAAGGAACGTGTAAACAGTAATATCAACCGACTGTTCTGTTTGTTACATTACCGAAATTACTAATCCATGTAGAGTATCATCACATTTCCTTGCTAACGAAACTGAGAGATATGATGGCACTTCGAGGGAAAATAGTGTGTGCAAACACTGTTCAAAAGAAGTTATAGACGCCGAATATCATTTTCTAGTCATATGACCGGTATACAAAGATAAAAGAATGAAATATTTCAAAAAATATTTTGCAGATGGTCAACTCTGAAGAAATTTTAAATTTTTATGTCAACAAATGAGCGAATTATTGTGATAAATATGGCTTAATAAATATATTTATTTTTCCACAAAGCCAAAACGACAGCTTAACAAATAGTTGCTATGTTAATATTTATTCTACTAAATATCTTACATTATTTTGATGGTATATTAACAATATTGTATATCCTTTACAATTTCTTATTGTTATTGCTTCATAACTTTGTAAGTTTATAGCCAAGTAAAGTGTAGTTTATATTTTATGAAATAAACTTGCAATAAGAATTAATTTGCTACACGTCAAAGGTTTTGCTTTCCGTTGTAACAACATCGATATTTCGTAGGTTTTGATGTTTGTGCTTTTAAACCCAAAAATGGTGTTTTCGAGGCCTGCTATTCCGACCATATTTCTTCATGTGTTAAGTTTCCGGAGACTCTGCTGCACCGTTTACAGCTAACGATGTGTACAGCTTACGTGTGAGGTGTGTACGTTGGTTGAAAACCTATCTCGTAGTAGATAAAAGACTTGTAGTCATAAAAGATTTAATACTCAGAGCCGTGCTCGAAGTTGTCCGTACTCTTTGAATTAGTACTCGTGTTCGTTTCTGTAGTCTTAGTCAGTCGTTTCTGTAGTCTTAGCCATAATCGTTGTCGTAGAAAGCGTAGCTTTCGTAATCATCGCAGCTGTTCTAGAATCAATAAGTCGTAAAAGTCACATTCGTCGTTATCTTCGCGGTCGTTGCCGTATTTGTAGTCGTATAATACGTAGTCGTGATAATGGCCGTAATCGTCGGCGAAGGCGTAGTCATAGACAATCCATTAATCAGTTATTTAATAACGCTGAATACAATTTGCTTACAACGGACAGCTATAGTTTATTTGTGCACGTTTGTTTCTGGTATTGTCCTATGGTATCGGGGCAATGCTTTTCGCCATATACCTGGGATAGTTCCTGTTTCAAAGTATAAACTAAACAATGATAACAAAAATCGATTATGATGGGAAACTTTAAACATTCATAGGGTAATTTATCGTACCCCGCACTTTTCCCATTTTTCGCACTTTAACGATTTTTTCTATTTCAGTTGTATAGGGAAATTCAAGAGCGGATTTTTTCTTACAGAAAGGGGGTCGATCTTCTAAGAAACTCGTCCCGTCTAAATTCTGCTCGTAAAATTCATTGTCAAAATTTTCATCGGTTTCGTTACATTTAGAAAGACTTACAAATTCACTTGACCATTTATTGAAAACAAAATGACAGTTTTTAATCACATTCCCGTCTGCATCATAGCCTTCCATAGGTATAAAACTTTTTGGACCAAGATTTATTTATATGATCCCAGAATTGCCATGGATCGTCCGTGCACAGGTACTCAATATCAATAGTATATTCAGCATATAACATACTTGTTACTTTTCTTCATGTTACGTAGAATATTTGCGAGAGAAATATATATGAAAAAATCAATGAAAGGGAAATAGATTTCTAAATGATATATGACTCCGGATATATATCTTTATTTACCTTGATTAAACATAATGAGGGCATGATATAGTAATATATCTACATTTGTTATATAATTTTATGCTAAGTTAACGATACTTCTTGATCACAGAATAATCAGAGGACTCAAGTGTCGCCTAAATAATGTTGACAGGCATTATGATGGATAGTATACCATAACTAATAGGTACAAATATGACGTATGAAAAATATTAGACCATAAGTTTATAAGCGATTAGAAAAAATCAATTTCATATGGAACGAAAGCATTTGAACTTAACAGAAAGGATATTGATCGATTGATTTTCAAGTTTTCAAGTTTTATTGATACACTCAGTATATTTACATATGATTAGAGGTGTACAATAATATATAAACAAAATTACTAAATGTGTAATCAGGTTGTGTATACAAATTAAATGAACTACTGTAGTTTTTAAAAAAAGTGTTTATAACTACAATATTTCATAACATACAATGTAACTTTTTCATTGTGTACAAGCTAAATTTTGCAAAATAGAAAAATATTTATAGATTATAAATAAAAAAAAAACAACAACAAAACAATATGACTAGCCAGGTGGGTTCTTAAAGTATTCAAGTATAACATAAACATATTTAACTAAGTTGCTTAATTTTTGTGGATCTGTTTCATTCATTAATTTTTTAAACGTAAACATATTTTTGTTTTGTTGGTTAACTTGTGGTAAAAGTCGTTTTCGTTTATTTTCAAAATAACTACATGAAAAAATGTAATGGAATTCATATATTTTCTTTCATTTCTAACAATACCTAACCACCTTCCTCTTTCTATAGGGAGGGGATTGTTACACAATCGAAAATTAACAAATGTTTTTAAATATTTGTCTGACAGTAAACAAAGGTACGGTTCAAAGCAATGATCAGTTTTGTACATTCTATAATTTAAACATTTTGGCATTGAGGCGACATCTCTACGAAATTTTTGTACATATTGGTTACACATTGATATATCAATGGTTTTTAACAATAAGCATTTAGAACCACTAAAATTCTGATTTAACCAAATATAACTCATACCTGTTTCGTCAAAAATACTCTTAACATTCAATAACCATTTGTATTCCTTACCATTTCTTACAAAATCTTCATATACAAGCTTATAAATATTTGACGATAATTTTTGTATTGAATTACTGTTAACTAAATCATACCAATAACCAGCAATTCGTTTCTTAATAGTAATTGATAATGGAAATCGCCCAAGTTCGCCATAAACCATAACATGCGGTGTACTTTTCTTAACACGTAATACATATTTAAGGAAATCTGTATGCACTTTTTCTATAAGCGACAAGTCACCATTACCCCAAACTTCACACCCATAAGTTAAAATTGGTACAATTGTATGATCGAATAACTTTAACTGACAATCAATAGGTAAATCTAGATTTCTTATTTTCTTATATAAACCAAACATTGCCCGTCTTGCTTGATCAACAATATGTTTCTTTGCAACCGCAAATTGTCTGTTCTTAGAAAAAAACAACACCAAGATATTTAAACGTGTCTACGATCTCTAAAACGTGATTATCTACCGTAATATTCCTGTTTCTATTTCTTTTATCACCAAATACCATTACTTTTGTTTTATCAAAGTTTATATTTAATTTCCAGGTTTGACAATAATTAGAAAAGGTGTTCAACACAGATATAATGTCTTGTTCTGTTTTAGCAAAAAAGAATGGCATCGTCAGCATATTACAAAACAACTAGTTTCAAAAATATTTCAATGTTATTATCTTCTAGTATAACTGAAACATCGTTATTACATAACATGTAATTTTCTAAGTCATTTAGGTACAGAGAAAAAATTACCGGTGACAAATTTTCTCCTTGTCTTAAGCCCCTATAACAACCAAAACAATTTGAAAATTTGCCATTTACAGATACACATGACTTGATTTCACTGTACATATTCTTTATTACATTTAAAATCATTCCAGAAATATTATATTTGACAAGTTTACACCAAACGCCTGCTCTCCACACAGAGTCAAAGGCTTTTTGAAAGTCAATAAAAGCACAAAAAATGTTTGTTTTCTTATGTTTAAGGTAATCTGTTAACATGTGGAGAATAAAAATATTATCAACAGTTGAATGATGCTTCCTAAATCCAGCTTGGTTTGAATTTAATAAATTATAACGTTCTTAATATTTTGTCACTCTTTCATTTAGTATACTTGTAAATAATTTCCCTATACAGCTAAGCAATGTAATAAGTCTATAGTTTTCAGGCATTTCAACATTACCTTTATTTTTATAGATTGGTACAATACATCCTGTCAACCAAGAATCTGGCAAAAAAACAGTGTTTAGAATACAGTTAAACAATTTGTGATATAGTGGTATAAGTAAAGTACTGCTTCCCTTAATATATTCCTTAGTAACTTGATCCAGACCAGCCGCCTTACCATTCTTAAGTTTATCTATTGCTCTTTGTATCTCAGAGATTGTTATGCTATCATTAAGCCCATTATCAAAATTGATATTTGGAAAATCTGTTTCTGGGTTGTCATTTGCATCTACAGTACCTGTATTAAGCTGTCTATAAAATCATAAAATGCTGAAACATCAATATCAGTCATTTGTTTTTTCTTACTTATACTATTAACATAATTCCAATATTCTTTAGGCGATGAGTATTTCATGCTTCGTTTTTTTTTCTCTGCTCCCTTTTAAAATTGACAATACTTTTTCTCATAATATACTTATAATTTTTACTAGAATTATATAAATCAGACATGTTACGTTCATTTTTTGTCCATTGGTATTTTCGCTTACATCTATGATATAACGTTCTAGCATTTCTGCAATCATTATCAAACCAAGGCTGTCTACAGCCATCTGAAATATTTGTTTTCATTTTTTGTATACCAAATGTTTTCTTTGCAGATACAAGGAGTGTATTTTCAATGTTTCGAAAAATACTGTTAATAAAATCTTTATCAATTTCTTCGCAGTTTTCGATTTCTCTTAACATATCATCAACTTTATTACTGTTAATATTGTCACGAAATACATTTGCTTTGGATTGAGTCCAACCTTTAATTTTCTCATTGGAAGAATAAGTCTGCCTTAAATTATTTTCAACAATATGTGATAAATTGAAATTGATTGGACAGTGCACATCAGAGTATAATGCGTTAAATTCGTCTATAGTAAAACCGTTAAATAGTTTTAGTGCGTATGCTGAAGCTATAACATAATCAACAATTGAAGAGTTTTTACAAGTAAACCTACCTACATTTTTATCTGTAAACGACCTTCCGTTTAAAATCACTGTTTCATTCGATTTACAAAAATCTACAAGATCTCTTCCTAAACGATTAGCAACTTCATCCATTGAAATACGTGCTACAGAAAAATCATTTTTCCTCAACACGTTTAAAATATCTACATCAAAATTAATATACTGTTATATTCAATATCTATAATATCAAACAGTTTTTCATCAACTTGCAATATATCATCAACATTACCAGTTCTAGCATTGAAGTCACCAAATGTAACTACATGTTTAGAATTGGTACAGAATTTTTTATACTCTGTGTAAAACAAGTCATTTATATTTTTGTTGAAATATTTAGTATTTTCTGGTGGGATGTAAACAGATGACCACAAAATTACCCAATTATTCGAACAATGGTAGATATACAAGATAACGTTAACTCAGAACATGGGTTAATTATCATAATACAAGTTTAATGTCAATGAATGGTTTAATTTTCAATATTAAGTTCGATGTATCCAAAATGAAATCAGAAGTAAATTAAAATAATCATTATTGAATTGTTTTCACTCATTAGTTGTTCTCGATATGCATAAGATAAACACAATTATTCTTGATTATACACCTTATCAACACATTGGTTTCGAATGTTGGTGTAGTAATGAAAGTTACATTTTGACATTGGACTTATCAGTACTAGGGGGCGTGAGGGATGTTGCATCTTTTCATTATCCCTCATGTACAGACTCAATCAAACCGAGTCTGCAATTCTCTTGTAATTTTGTAGTGATTAATGCTTCCGGGGGATCACTTTGTTTCCAGATTTTTTACATCGATTGATATAAATACATGTATACACTCTCTTGGTCATTCTTGAAACTACCGATCATTTTCACCTTATAATGTGAATCATGGTTTGTACTATGTGTCACGAGGGTAATATACCGACATGTATAATTTATTGTTTGTATGTATGTCTTATATATTGTGTCGTTATATATTCCCTGTACGTTTGTCATTTTGTTATATCATATATGTCCTATATATTTGTCCTATTCATCCCCCATATTTTTCTCATTTTCATTCATCCTTTTCATTCATTGCAACATGTAACACTTAATGTCATTCTATATAATTCATAACAACTAATTTCTTCTGGACGGGCCTCCTAACATTTACTCACCCGGATTGGAAGGCACGCATGCGCACATTGAATACACTTCCATTGGTTTGCTCCACGAAGTAGCTGTGTTGCGTTTTCTTTCATCCTAAGTAAATTGTTTTATTTGTTTCCGTGCCATTACAGGTAATTTTGGTTGTTATTTATTACTCGTAATGTATTCATTCAATTATTGAAATGACATGCGTGTTGCATTTTGTATTTTGCACATTGAATACACTTCCATTGGTTTGCGCCACGAAGTAGCTGTGTTGCGTTTTCTTTCATCCTAAGTAAATTGTTTTATTTGTTTCCGTGCCATTACAGGTCGAAACAGCCCCTCCTTTATTAGGAAAGAGGAACCCTACGACATATGAGATACAGAAGATTGCGTTATCATAATGATATTTTGAATTTCTGCATTTTCACGTTTCCAAAACTGGAATTTGTAACAACAAGAAATGCTTTATCACGTGAAACACAAACTGTGTGTGGGAATTCCATATCTATCTTGTGTGATGACAAGATCTGACCTGTTTGTGATATCTGTACAATGGAATTTGTTCTCATGCTACAAACCAGGATAGTATCATAGGGGCCAACTGCTACACCAAATGGTTGCTTTATCTGATCATCCTTCACCACGACTCTCGTGTTTGTCTTGATATCATATATGTAGACAGTATGCTCGTATCTATCTGTAAACACCACTTTATCACCGTTCCTTATGTAAGTACATCTGCTTGTTTCTTCAGGATATGCCTTGTTAGGAAAATTGATACTAAAAGCATTTGGCTCTCCTGCTAATGTTATTATTTCAACAGGTATTTGGTAATCAATAGCCCCTACGACAAATTGGCTATTATCTTTTAAACATATAGAATCATATTTCTTTCTAACTTTACATTTTCTACTTGAACTTATTTCATTAGCTTTACTAACACGTAGAAATTCTATTATATATTCACTGCCACTTGTTATCGCTACTTCATCCTCAGATACAGCGACAACTGACAGAGGCCTATAAGATAACTGATATGATCCTACTTTTTCCAAATTTTCATTGTAAACTATCAATTTCTTATTGAAATGATCCATAACAACTAGTCTACCATCGGGTAGAAAGTTTATTCCTGTAACGAATGTTTTCTCGGTGTCATCTCCCGTCTTCTTTAACTCAATAGAAGAAACTTGAGTTAATGTCGTCACCTTATTTACAGCATTCACATTTTCCCGTTCGTGGTATTTCAATGTCAGCTGTCCAGGAACAAAGTCAGTAATTGATCGTGGTGGCAGAGTTAATTGTCCATCAAAATCAAAAGAAATGGTCACCGTCTTGAAGTTCTGACATTCCTCATTGACATTTCTGCATACAACATTGACTTCATTTTCCATTTTCTGTTCTGCTATAAATTTCTGCGTTGGAGTCCTATTTTTGTAAATGCTATGAAGCGTTTCTAGATAGCCTGTAACATAAGCCAAATGTTTCTCGATTTGTGATTGCTTCTTTTCAAGGTTACCTAATGTTTCTTTCTGTAAAGATTTAGCTCTCTTAACAATGTTAACTTCCAATTCGTCAAACATTTTCACTACTTCATCTCGCATTTTCTTAATTTTTGCTTGTATTTCTTCAACGTCTTGAGCAAGTCGATCCTTTGAAGTGACAGTATGTCTTGCAATAGCTTCAACACATTCTATGGCTCCCTGCAATATCTCCTCTAAACTAGAACTCGGTGACATCATTTTCCCGGCAATTTTCTCAACTTCAACAACACCGTGACATTTACTATGATCAACAATGGCACAAGTACTGCAACAAAGCTTGTTCTCATCTTCACAGAAAAAATCTAAAACCTTTGTGTGTTGATCACATCTGATTACATGTGCTACATTTGCGTTTAACAATTTATGACTTATAAAGATGTCAAGCACGTTATGCACACCTGAACAATCAATACACTGAAATTCATTACACGTTGAACAAAACTTGTCAGCCACATTTTTCTTATCCTTACTTAAGCATGGTTGACACATAATTTCCTTGACACGCTGTTTACACAAAATGTCCTCGACACGACCAGGAACTTCATCGTCCTCTCTACCGTCCGCCATTTTGTTTAACAATGATTCTCTATTGTTTTATTCAAGTTAGTTTATATTCTCAACTCACTATTTAGAAAACCTGTAGCAATCCGATTTAATATTTCAATGAAAAAATATAAGTTTTAAAACTGATTTATATAAACGTATCATATAACAATATGTATCTGGTATCATTCAATCATTGTGTTATATTTCGTATGTTTACATTACGTTGCTACAATAATATTGGAAAGTTTAATTGACACGAGTTGTGTGAAGTACAACTATTGAAATATGATAAATATTGATCAATCTTAAATATCCTGTAACACAATTTTTTATGGTTTTATATCATAAATATGATGCTCAAATTAAGATTTATCAATTTTGTAAGTTCCAAAAAAGCATTATTTATAAAGATATTACCGAATTTTACATCATGTAAATAAAGGGAGGTAATAAAAGTTTATTTTCTAAAAAGTCTAAGTCATTTTTTTCAATAAGAAATGAATGCATATATGTATAGGTTAGAGTGCATATTGGGTGTTCTTCGTAAATAAGAAAGCTAAAAAGGAGCGGAGCTTGCGAAGCGACTGTAGCTTTCTTATTTACGAAGAACATCCGATATGCACTCTAACCAGCTTAGTGCTCCGCCCACTTGCGTTTTATAATATAAAACGTCCAGTTTATATAAAATCTGTTCTATTAAGATTTGAAACCTGAAAATTTGAATAATCCTCGTCGGTGACTGGCTTAAAAAAAATGGCGAGCACTAATTTAATGATTATATATAATATGTACACATATTTGCAGTTCATATTTTACATATTTTTCGATATTTAAAAATTGTTTTATAAGCATAATTATATACATATATATAATTTCACTTAAATGATTCAACATACAGGATCTTCAAACACAAAGTGTGAATTTTTATTGAGTGAACATTTTAACAATGTAACTCCCGGTCACTTCGTTTTGGGTTCTTGATTGTTAAAATTTCACTTAATAAACACTAGCATATACAAAGAGAGAAAAAATCATGAACAAAAATGAATGACAGACTATATAAGACCATTCTCCCCCTAACCAATTCATCATCCTGACGATTCTTCCATAAACTGTTTCTTCCCCTTAATGTAAAATTTAATCAGTTATCCCCCCCCCCCCATTTATTTATTTTCATCATTTTCATAAAGGTGTTTTATTGTTGTTGTTGTTTTTTTTTTCAACATAATAAGAAGTATTGGAAGTGATAGATTTACTACATTTACAAGTTGTACATAGATGCATGAACCAAGAATCTTTTAAGAATTTATGTACAATCATGTAAAATCTAACTAAGACTGTTTAAAGTGTAAATTTTGCAGAATATATGATCATATATAAATTTATCATGTGAAAAACACATGAAAGTTTACATACATTTAACATATGAAAACTTATTCATATGAAAAACATGTGATAACCATGAGTTTAACATTATATGTTTGTTGACACATATTTTTCATGTTTTTCAAAACACATGAAACACATATGTTTTACATAAGGAAAACATATGGGGTACCAAACATACAGCAAACATGTGGTGCATATTTACCTGTGTATTTATTTTGCCACAAAGCCAAAACGACTGCTAAATAAATAGTTGATATGTTAATATTTATTATACTAAATATCTTACATATTCATGATGGTATATATTGACAAATTGTATATCGTTTACAATTTCTTATTGTTATTGCTTTTTTAACTTTGTAAGTTTATAGCCAAGTAGAGTGTTTTGTATATTGTATGAAATAGATTTGCAATAAGAATTAATGTGCTATAGTTCAGAGGCGTTGGTTTCCATTGTAACAACATTGATATTACGTAGGTTTTGATGTTTGTGCTTTTAAACCCAAAACTGGTGTTTTCGAGGCCTGCTATTCCGACCATATTTCTTCATGTGTTAAGTTTCCGGAGAATCTGCTGCACCGTTTACAGCTGACGATGTGTACAGCTTACGTGTGATGAGTGTACGTTGGTTGAAAACCAATCTCGTCGTAGATAAAAGACTTGTAGTCATAAAAGATTTAATACTCGGAGCCGTGCTCGAAGTCGTCCGTAGTCTTTGAATTAGTATTCGTGTTCGTTTCTGTAGTCTTAGTCAGTCGTTTCTGTAGTCTTAGCCATAGTCGTTGGCGTAGAAAGCGTAGCTTTCGTAATCATCGTAGCTGTTCTTGTATCAATAAGTCGTAAACATCACATTAGTCGTTATCTTCGCGGTCGTAGCCGTATTTATAGTCGTATAATTCGTAATCGTGGTAATGGCCGTAATCGTCGGCGAAGGCGTAGTCATGGACAAACGGACAAACTTGTAGTCGTAGAAGTTGTAGCAATGGCAGTCGTCAAAGTCGTATTCATTAGAATCGTGGTCGAAGCTGAACTTGTCGTCGTTAAAGTCGCAGTCGTGATCTAGGTCGCAGTCATAGTCGTTGCCGTCGGCGTTTATGTAGTGCTTGTAGTCATTGTTGTCTCTTATCCACTCTAGTCACGTGGGTGTATACTTGTCTCCTTGATACCAGTTTGACATATAAATATAATAATTATGCTTTCGGTAGTTATAATTATGCATATTCAATTGTGTTCTGGTGAATTGTGATACCTGGCCATTGGCTATTCAGACAATAGTACAGTCGTGGCCGTAGACTGGACAGAAAAGTGAAGAAAATCACCATCTTAGTCATCTTACACAAATAAGCCATATACGGTGATATGCAGCATCTTAACGTATCTTAACGTATACAGCTAGCGGTAAGCTGTATTCGGTATATGATGTATACGGTGTTACTGTCAACTTATACAGTTCACGCGTGAGCTATATAAGTCGTAAACTGTATACGGTACAACATAACTCAATATTTTATCTGAAGTTTCTAAAATAACTCTAGTAAATTACATTAATTTACAGCAGGGACGTTGAAATCGCTTTTGTTCATGAATATTCATAGTTACATTTGAGAAGATGCAAACATATCAGTACAATGCGACATATTTCTTTTGTATGATTATGGAATATTTATTATTTTTATAACCGATTTTTTTTCTTTTGTTTCTTTTTTTCCAAGTCAAACATTCACTGTAATGGTAATATGGCGACCTTCCTGCTTTACTGGTGGAGGAAAATTTCAGTTTCCGTCCCGTTTATTATTTCAGACATGAGCGGGTACATGAAGAAGGCTCACACCGTACGATCAACTGGGCTAAATAAATGAGCATTTTAAATGCACAAAAAAGTTTTACACTTTCCTAGTTACTGTAGCACAAAAGCCTTGAAAACTGTTTCCTTTAACGGTTTTCAGCGTTATTCATTCTTGCTGATGAGTGAATGTCGATGTTATCATTGAAAAGAGGCGAACGGTTGATGACGTTACTCAAATTTTGAAGACATTCGAACGTAAATACCCTATATTTTTTAAAAGAAAAGCATTTATGAAGGTATGGTTTGGAATATTTAATGACTAAATGTTGACGTTTACGAATCGTATTATTATCATCATGAGCAAATGTAAGTTTATGTGACTTTTTAAAAAAAATGCCGCATCTCATCGGAAAGTGTGGATATTTTCAGTCAAAATTCACGTAAAGTAAAGCTTGCACAGGGCCAGAAATTTGTTGGCATGCTCCTTTGGATGTTGACTATGAATCCATAACATAGATTTACTCGAGCACAGTTGGGATATGTTAAAAATAGATAAGTACTTACCGTCCGTCAATTGTATTTTTTACACCGACATGTATATACTACAATGTAGTACGGCTGTTGACGGTTTGAACGGTTGTCTGCCCATTTGATTGTACGGTGTGAGGCTAGCAGGATAGCTTTCTCACGTGACGAAATTCAAATTGAATGGTTATAATAAGTATGCTACAAGGAGGCATCTGTCGTTTGAAGCATCATGTAAAAGAATATTCATATAAAACAATCTTATATTCCAAAACTTGCAGTGTCATTCATTCAAAAATGATGGCAATGCACTTTGCACGAATATCCGTTCTACCTATAAAAAACAACTCTGGTCTGATACATGTTAAGTCGCTGCTAGAATAAGATAATATGTCGAAATCTCAATAATAATAAAATAAAACATATACAGCTACACGAAAAAAGCTTTCATTTCCCACCATTCTTTTTTCAAATCAAAGATAGGAAATATATTTGCCTTTTCTTATTGTGAAAAGGGCTTTGACCAATATATAATTTTAGTAATGTTAAAACAGGATTACGAGATATTTTCACGAAGACAAATATAATTCTTTTAACCATGTACTTGCCCTTTATATGTTTGTAATTCAATATGACGCGGAATGTTATGCATCTTAAGCTACAGTCTTACTGACATCCCGGCAGAGCCCCGGCAGACGTCCGGGGTGATCTGGGAACGACCGGGGTACGACCGGGAACAACCGGGGTACATCCGTAACTCTGCCGGCAACGTCCGGGATGATCCGGGAACATCCGGCATTCGACTCCGGGACCCGGCAGAGCCAGGTTCATTTAAAAAGAATCACAACAATTTGCGATGATTGCTCTTGTTTATATTAAAACCCTTCCCATTTCCCTTCTATCCAGTCTTGTATAAGGATTTTTTCAGAAAATCATTATGAATTACTATTCTGGAACAATAGATATTATATTAAATAAAAAATATGTATCAATGTAATCATTTTCGCGCGTTTTCAATCCACCGGGGTTCTACCGGGGCTCTGCCTGGATCGTCCTGGGCTCTGCCGGGGCTCTGCCTGGATCGACCGGGGCTCTTCCGGCGTCATCCGGGAACGACCGGGTAAGCACCGGCATGAACCGTAGCTTCACTGATGATCCGGAGCGCATCCTGGTGGTTAGTTGGGAATTACCGTAGTGCTGCCGGGGTTAGTGTGACTGCAACAATAATTTCATCCCGGATCGTCCCGGATCATCCCGGTAACTTACCAGAACGGTCCTGGGCTCTGCCGGGAGTAAGTGAGACCGCAGCTTTAAAGGCACATTATGTCTCAGAACTATTTATTTATCAAATTTTTGAGAAATGTCAAACATGTGTTAATTTATGTTTTAATTGTTGATTTAGAGCATGTTAAATGTTTAATAACTAAAGAAAGTATATAGCGCTGAATTTGCGGAAGTGTGTTGGAAAGGTAGCAAAATGTAAGCAAAGTAGTATTTTGACTTCCATACAAAACGCTTATTTAATATAATTATACCAATTGTCAACAGGGCAAAAGCAAAGATAGTTCATCTATATTTGTTCGTTCGTTTGTACGTCCGCGTCCGTCCCTCCGTCCGTTCGTTCGTTTGTCCGTTCCTGCCTTCCTTTATTAAATTTATTTATTTATTTATTTATTTATTTATTTATTTATTTATTTATTTATTTATTTATTTATTTATTTATTTATTTATTTATTTATTTATTTATTTATTTTATTTTATTTTATTTATTATAGTCTAATCTGTGCACAATTACATACATTACAACATAAAAGGTAAACATTACATTGTACATAGCCATTCTTTGAGTAGAACTAATTCAATTAAAGCCTAATAGATATAAGGAAATATTTATGAATATACACATAGTTTGGCAAATCATATGTCAAAAATAAATATAAATATAAATTAATTTTTTATTTACTTTTATTATCGAAAGAAATATCGTTTTCTAAAAAAAATATTTATATATTTAACTTTGCTCGCAGTAGGAAACTGGATATTTTTGCTTTTTTCAGACATAGTACAGAAAGAAAGCAACGATCGTGTCAAATAAAAATGAAAAACAGTTACCAATTTGATTATTGATCTTAATAATTTCAAATCATTTAATGTTTGAGATACAAGAAATATTACTTAGTCGTGTCAAAATTGCACTTATACGCCAATCTCAATCATTTATCAATTCATTTTTGATGATCTGTGCATCAAATTTGATTAATTTCATCCAAACATCGTCAAAGTGTCAGCCATTGTTACTTAATTAGTCACGTGATTTAGATTGTTTCACGGTCAACGCGAGAATTCGTGTCTGTCATTACGTACTTAGAATTGTTTGCCACGGGTAATTAGTTTTCTATAGAAACAGATCAAATACTATCAAGTGAACGATTGCGGATCAATGTGTGAATAATTGATCTTTTATCGATGACCACTTAATCTTTTGATTGTCGAATCGTGTGAGCTAAATTCATCAGTTAAACATGTATGTTTGCAAAATTGTTTGCCGACTATTGCTGGCACGGATGAATCAAACAAGTTCCAAGTTTGAGTCGTGTCAATTTCGGAGTTATATTTTCTGTATAAAAGGACAATTTTACTCCAAGCTGTATCAAATTGCTCTACAACTGTGCACAAACAATACAAAACGATTAACAAAGTAAGCTAAGAAGGACAAACGGCTTGGAATCATGCATGAAAATGTAAGTACTTTTTTAATTAATGATCTAATTATTTAGCTTCCTTTTAACTTAGAGCTTTTTTCTATTTTTCATTACTTGTAAGATTAAGTAACAACTTTATTTTTGTAACTTAGAGAGCACAAATTTTAAAATTCTACACGCCTACAGTTTAATCATATTACTTGAAGGATAAAAAACAGTAAAATACCGTGAATATTCAAATTTATAATTGTTATAAATGAAATATTGAAAAATATTAAATGCGTAAATAAAATTGCGTATTTTCATTTTCCGTAGTTACATTGCAAAAATTAAATATTTATCACTGTAGTCAGAGATGTAGATAAAATCTGTTATCTATGTCTGCTGCAGTGAAACATATCTTCTTAAATTTCCACTGATATCTTGCCCAAAATTTAGGCATTACACAAAATTAACGGATAAATCTTAAGATTAAGTCAAAAAAGTGAAAAAGTACATAATAAACAGATTTTTTAACAAGTGAGACATGAAGAAGATATCATATCTGACTTATGACAAACGCCACTTTAATTGTGAAATGTAAAATGTATTCATGTTCATACCACTCGATGAAAAACTGAAAAAGAATATTTAAAACACTTTTATATACAAGCATCTTTTCATCCCGAGTAATTTATGAAAGAATCGACTAAATTAAGGAATTATATTAATTTTATAACTGAAATCGTATTAATAATTTGCATATTAGTCCGTAGATTATCGCCTGAAAAGTGTTATAAATGACGTTTTTTGTTGCTGTTTTTTAAGCACGTGTTTTTATAGTGTCTTTTTTACATAATACATTCATTTTACATTTTCAATTAATACTTTTACATAGCATACATTACAATATAATATACATATGTTGTTGTGTTAGTACACATTTTTAAATAATTTTAAAGAGCATAAACGTGAATCACTTTAAGAAAAATGATATTATATTTTAAACAAGATAAAGTTTTGTTGAGTCAATTGTAAAATTTTGATGAGTCGTTTGGAAAAATGACGAAAAAATAGAGGGGGTGCTAAATAATATAAAAGGATTTTTGCGAAAAAAAAACTATAGAAAACAAAAACATGTTTCTGCACAAACTACGGTAAGAAAAAAGGTAATATTCAGACAGAAAGGCTGCTTTGGTAATATACTACTGATATATCTTCAATCAGTACTTATAACATTATCAAAAAGTTAACAAAAAACCTGTACCATATTGCATAGCACCGGAGTACGTTGGTGTAAATTAAAAAAAAAAGCTTCCAAGACATGTCAAAGTATTCAATGCGTGGAAAATATGTGGATAACCTTCTGTTTATATTTCAGATTCTACAATCAGTTGGAAATCGCCAACAACATGTACCATCATCATTTGGTTTCTCGTCCCTGGATGATATTTATTCCCGGAAGTCGTCTGCTGTCGTACAACCGATGTCCATGTTTCCGACTTCAAACACGCCTGAAAAAGAGAACCAGCCTCTGAAGCCACTCAGCATCTCCCCGGTGTTACCCGGATCTGGCAGTGTAACACATAACATCACGCGCATGCTCGGAAATTCAGTTCAGCAGACGAGAAACCAACTTCCAAGTACGGCAACCAGGGCGTCACATTTTTCGCCTTACAGCACTTCACACTTTTTATCATTTAGGCACAAGATTCTAAATGAAAACAAGTCTTCAAAAACACATGAAGGTAGGTTTTTATTTTATTATTTTTTATTTACTCATTTTTTTATTTACTTATTTTTTTATTTACTTATTTTTTATTTATTTTTTTCATTATATATGCGCTTCATATTTTCCATTTGTAAAAGGGAGATAACTGGGAAATATTTGACTGTTGCAGATAAGGGTCATCATTATGCAGTCTACCAGAGCAATAATGTCTTTAATTGTATTGAAAAAGCTTTTTGCGAGAAAATCTTAAAGGGACATGTGGCAAAATTATTTGTCCATAATTACGTTACTAGTGTTTCTAAAACATTATTTCAAACAACGTTCACTTGGACCACCATTTAATTATTTTTACACAATTATTGTAATTTAGACGTTTTGTGCGCAAAATGTAAACGGTTATTTTTCAATTTGAGGATATTTAAAAAATGTATTCATTTTCTGTTATTTTCAGAGGACAATGTCGTCGATGTTGAGAACGACAGTCAGGACCAGTTCAGGACCAATGACCTACCAAACACCACAGATATGTCTATCTCCACGCAGGGATCCTCATCTCCGCAATCAGTTGGGTCAAGGTCATCACCGTCTGGCTCCACAAACTCCTCACCTGGATCTACGGCTGACCCTATCACCAGCCCGGAAAACAACGAAGAGCAGCCGAAGAAAAAGGCGCGCACTAATTATACAAATGAACAGGTGCAGACGCTGTTGAAAATTTTCCACGAGAATCCATACCCCGATTCAGAGCACATGGAGACTATTGGAAAAGACTTGGGCATTCCTGAGAACAAAATTAAGGTAAAAATAAAGTTTAAGTCTTTCATTTCCATAGTTTCGTGACTTTTGCTACTTAAGGCGATCTTAACCCTTTAAAATGTCAATCTATATACCGCTAATTTGGATCTTTTTTCTTGTTGACAAATACAATAAGCAAACTTTTTTTAATGAGGATAACAATAAGCTCATATAATAAACAAACTTATCTTAATCTGCTTTATATTCAATTATCATTTCATTGTTTAAAGTTTGTTATCGATACTTGCCGACTTTTTCAATGGGACAATGCAAATCAGTACCAAATACTTGGTTTATATATATATAATCCTAAACATGATTTCTTTACTTTTTAATAGATCTGGTTCCAAAACAAGAGAGCAAGATGGCGCAGGCGTGTCAACGACGCAAACAACTTCCCACAGCCATTCCTACCAATGTCACCAATGATGTCACCAGTTACGCCCTATGGATTCATGCCAACCGGTCACATGATGACGTCATCACCATCTCAGGCAATGCCAGGATACTTCAACTACCCTTGGATGCAAAATTCACTGAGTCCAAACAACAACCAGCAGCTTCCATGTCAATTCCCAACCAATCAGACTCAGTCTCGACTTCAAGCCACCAATCAAGGAGCCGGTTTGCAAAGTCAACATTTTCCCGCCATTTCAATGGCACCCACAGCAGTGTCGTCTGCTTCTGGATACGGTCTAAAAACTTCTCCACAGCAAATGTCGCAGACAAACAGACATTCATTCCAGTATCCATTTTTATATCAATCTGGCATGGGAACATCCGCATATGGTCAGAGTTTACAATGAAACTGACAAAAATAGTGACTATGAATAATGTTGTTATGAATTTAAATGTAAATATATTGTTAAAGTATTTCGTTAAATTCTGTATAAGAAAATGAATGAAGGCTTTGCAAATGAAAGCCTTCAAAATCTGTTTTGCAAATAGTCTGCTTTCAATATCTTAGAGAACAATGACTCTATATAAACTTTGTACACATTGTAAATTATCTTTAATTTTAATTTATTCCTCTCATTTCAAAGTCTTCATTTGAAGTTGTATATATCAATTAATAAATACATGTCAAATTAAACAGTCTTCTGGTTGTATATTTTTAGTTTATATATCAATTCCTTTTCTTCTATAGAACGAATAGATCTATCATAATTTCTACTGTCATTCCCTAAAGAATGTAACTTGAAGTGTAACTTGAAAAACACCAGCCAATTGTATAGGAATAAAGAAACAAAAACAATAAATACTTAATATTCCAATTTTATTATCCTATGTTCATTTCATTATACCATATTTACATATATATCACAATCAATAGTAAATTTATCCAAATCCTATATGATATAAATGACTTAGATTTTACAACAAAAATCCTATACTGGTACTGAAAGTAAGATATAAAGTGTATCGAACGGTAATAAACTACATGTTTATCATTTAAAAAATCTTTAATGATAAACAAAACAAAACAAAAATTATTTTCCAAATACAAATTGTTGAAATGATTCCAGAGTAACTCGAAAACGTAACATTTGTGCTTAATTTTCTTAGGGCCCAAATTTTTCCCCTAAAAACAAAACAATTTCTGTAAAATATTTGGTCATGCTACATGTACAGTCCTCCAGAAAATACTTTTAAAACTCTTTCCATGCTGTGTGTCTATAATGGAATAGTCCTGATTTGAATTTGGGAACAGTCCATTGTGAGTAAGAGGTATGAAAAAATATCAAATTACAAAATTTGAGCTGCCAGCAGTATAGAACATGTTCAGATAAGCTGGCCTGACAAGATTTTACTGTTGCATAGATAATATAAATCATAAAATGTATATTATTATTTTCTAAAATTAATGTTTTTATAGTACACATGATAACACCCATCCAACCCCTAAGGAAAAAAAAATATTTCATACCATACTTAACAAACAGACATTTTAACTCTGTGTTTCTTGGGTGATGTCCAGCATTGAGTTTTGAAATGTTTTTGAATTTCTTTGGGGATTTTAATGGAGTAGTAGAGTCTGAGAAAATTTGCTCATATTGTGAGCAATCAGGCTCTAAAATTATGGCTTATTTCTGTCCTTATTGTGGGAATTATAACATGATTTCCCAACACTGACAAATCACTCATCTTCCGAGTCAACTCACCCCCTAATAAGTATTTTACCCCATTTTAATGATCACTATTACAGATGGGTTAATGATCACTAATCTGCGGTAAAATATTAGAGTGGAAGCAAATCAGATTTGGGTGAATCATTATCAATTTGATATGACTACTTACTCTCAAGTCTATAAACAAGAGGGCCATGATGGCCCTGAGGTCGCTCACCTGTATATAGGCCCCCCAAACCCCCACCCCCCAACGTTGCAGGGCCAATTTAACCCAAGGGCTTTTATTTGCACAAACTTGGTAGACACCCATAAGAAGATGTTTCATGCTAAACATCTAAGCTCTAGCTCATTGGGCTTTTTAAAAGAAGATTTTTTAAAAGTTTTTACTATACACATATAGTTAAAAACAATGACACCCCTGGGGCCGGGCCAGTTTTTGACCCCAGGGCTTTTATTTGAAACAAACTTTGTAGACACTTACTAGAAGATGTTTCATGCTTAATATCTAAACTCTAGCTATTTGGGTTTTTTCAAAGAAAAGATTTAAAGTTTTTGCTAAACACATATAAAGAAAATCAATGACCCCCGGGGCGGGGCCAATTTTGACCCCAGGTCTTTTATTTGAACAAACTTTGTAGACACTCACTAAAAGATGTTTCATGCTTAATATCTTAACTCTAGCTATTTGGGTTTTTTCAAAGAAGATTTTTAAGTTTTTGCTATACACATATAAGGAAAATCAATGACCCCGGGGGCAGTGCCAATTTTGACCCCAGAGCTTTTATTTGAACAAACTTGGTAGACACCTATTAGAACATGTTTGATGCTCAATATCTTAGCCATAGCTCTTTGAGTTCTTTAAAAGAAGATTTTTTTAGGTTTTTACTATATGCATATAGGGAAAATCAATGACCCCCGGGGGCGGGGCCAATTATGACCCCAGGGCTTTTATTTGAACAAACTTGATAGACACCCATTAGAACATGTTTCATGCTAAATATCTTAGCTCTAGCTCTTTGGGTTCTTTAAAAGAAGATTTTTTAAGTTTTTACTATATGCATATAGGGAAATCAATGACCCCCTGGGGCCGGGCCAATTTTGACCCCAGGGCTTTTATTTGAACAAGCTTGGTAGACACTCACTAGAAGATGTTTCATGCCAAATATCTAAGCTCTAGCTCTTTGAGTTCTTTAAAAGAAGATTTTTTAAGTTTTTACTATATGCATATAGGAAAATCAATGACCCCCCGGGACGGGGCCAATTTTGACCCCAGGGCTTTTATTTGAACAAACTTGGTAGACACCTATTAGAACATGTTTCATGCTAAATATCTTAGCTCTAGCTCTTTGGGTTCTTTAAAAGAAGATTTTTTAAGTTTTTACTATATGCATATAGGGAAAATCAATGACCCCCCGGGGCGGGGCCAATTTTGACCCCAGGGCTTTTATTTGAACAAACTTGGTAGACACTCACTAGAAGATGTTTCATGCCAAATATCTAAGCTCTAGCTCTTATGGTTTTTTAAAAGAAGATATTTAAAGTTTTTTCTTTCGGTTGCCATGGCAACCAGAGTTCTGCATGGAATTAAATTCTTTGAACAATTTTTAAAGGTGACCACCAAAGGAACATTCCTGTGAAGTTTGGATGAAATTGGCTTAGTGGTTTATGAGGAGATGTCATTTAAAGTAAAAGTTTACGGACGGACGACGGACGGACGACGGACGGACGACGGACGGACGGACGGACGCCGGACGAAAAGCGATCACAAAAGCTCACCCTGTCACTTTGTGACAGGTGAGCTAAAAACAAAATTACAAAAGTACCATAACATAAAATCTTGGATATTGTATTATGTTGACTTAAGCCAGTTAAGCACTGATTAGATTTACATCAATTGGTTAATGTTAAATCAAACATAAATCAAAGATAATAACAGTCTAATATCATTCAAACATATAGATTAAAGAAGACAGAATTTGGCCTTAATTCAACATTTCGTTAATGATATTTCCAGATAAGGGAAATGTACACAATGTTGTTTGTTAACTGATGAAAGTTCTGCTTACACAAGCTATTATCTAACAAAAGTTGATTAGCTATAAATTAAAAGGTTTTAAAACAAGATTGCATTTGAGAAAAATGCTATGCCACCGCATTAATACAACACTAAATAGTAGTGTAGGAACATATTTTTTTTTTTGTTTCTATACAATTGAAGATTGTCATAATGCATAGATCCCTGACCTATCTAATTCTTATTATCAGATTAGTGATTAAATCTATTGTTAATCAAATAAAAGATCAGAGCAGGAATATATCAATGCACTTGATTCTAGTGAATTTGGTGGTGAAGGTCATATTTCACACAGCCTAAATTTCATGACTTCATCAAAGGACAACACAGTAAGACACTTTGTCAAAATCTAGGTAAGCTGATATCAAAGTCCACTTTACATCTTAATCTGTGCACATGGTTCAAATTTCATAGCTGTAGATCAAAGCACAAGAAAGTAGGTCACATTATCAAAATCTAGGTCACCTGATATCAAAGTACAATTTTACAACTAAAACTGTGCACATGGTCAAAATTTCATTGCTGTACATCAAAGGACAAGAAAGTAGGTCACTGTCCCCTTGGTCAAGGCAAAATTTTGACCCAAGGGTTTAATTCAAAACAATCTTAATACAGGTCCACCAAACAACATTTTAAGTCCAATATCTAAGCTGAAGCTTTCTCCCATTCAGAAAACATTTGTTTTATTTTCTGTTTTTACTATGAGAATCATGCCCCCCGGGCAGGGCCAGTTTTGACACCAGGGGAAAAATTTGAATAACTTTGGTAGAGGACCTATAGATGATATTATATAGCAAACATGAAAGCTCTATGCCTTGTACCTTCAGACAAAAATATTTTTTTATTTTTTTACTAGATGTACATAATGTAAATCAATGACCCCCGGGGCAGAACCAATTTTGACCCCAGGGCTAAAATTTGAACAACCTTGGTAGAGGTTCACTTCGCAAAGTCTCATGCCATATATTTAAACTCTAGCCTTTGTCAATTCAGAGAAGAAGATTTTTCAAGTTTTTACTTTATACATATAAGGAAATCTAGCGCCTCTGGGGCAGGGCAATTTCAACACTAGGGGCATAATTAAAACAACTTTAGTAGAGGACCCAAATATGATATTATATACCAAATATCAAAGCTTTAAGCCTTGTACCTTCAGATAAGAAGATTTTTTAATTTCTTACTCTATGTTCATAGTGAAAATCAATGACCCCTAGGGGTGGGGCCAATAATTTGAACAATCTTGCTAGAGCTTCACTACACAATGTTTCATGCAAAATATCTTACCTCTAGCATTTGTCAATTACTAGAAGATTTTTTAAAAAGTTTTTACTGTAAGTTTTTACTATATACATATAAGGATAACCAATGACCCCCGGGGCGTGGTCGATTTTGACCCCAGGGCTATAATTTGAACAATCTGGGTAGAGGACTACCAGACAATGCCTTATGCAAAATATCTAAGCTTTAGGCCTTTTGGGTCCTTATAAGAAGGTATTTTAAGTTTTAACTATATGTACATATAGTGAAAATCAATGACCCCTGGGGCGGGGCCGATTTTGACCCCAGGGCTATAATTTCAACAATCTTGGTAAGGGTCTACCAGACAATGCCTTATGCAAAATATATAAGCTCTAGCCCTTTTGGGTCTTTACAAGAAGGTATTTTAAGTTTTTCTATATGTACATACAGTGAAAATCAATGACCCCCGGGGCGGGGCCCAATTTGACCCCAGAGCTATAATTTGAACAATCTGGGTAGAGGTCTACCAGACAATGCCTTAATCAAAATATCTAAGCTCTAGGCCTTTTGAGTCTTTACAAGAAGGTATTTTTAGTTTTTACTATATGTACATATAGTGAAAATCAATGACCCCTTGGGCGGGGCCGATTTTGACCCCAGGGCTATAATTTGAACAATCTTGGTAGAGGTCTACCAGACAATGCCTTATGCAAAATATCTAAGCTCTAGGCCTTTTGGGTCTTTACAAGAAGATTTTTTAAATTTATTCTTATAATTCCTTTCGGTTGCCATGGCAACCAGATTTCTGCATGGAATGAAATTCTTTGAACAACTTTGGAAGCCCTTCACCCAAGGATCAATCCTGCCAAGTTTGGTTTAAATTGGACTTGTGGTTTTTCACAAGAAGATTTTTTAAATTCACTATATAATCTATATAACACACACACACACAAACAAACACACACACACACAGGTGAATTGCTATATGCCACCGCATCGCAGATGCTGCGGTGGCATAAAAAAGTTAATAAAGGGGGATAACAACAAATAAACTGATTAATAAAGGGGGATAACCACAAATAAACTGAAGAATCAAATTTACATATACAAGTATATTACAAAACTGTTTTCTCGGCTAATGGTTTGTCTTAATAGTAGCCCTCACCCTGCTTGAACCAAAAGTGATGAGCCTTAGTCACATGTATGTAGCCCAGCAAGCCTGCACAACCATGCAGTCTGACCAGGCTCTATACTGTGGACTGATTTTCAATTTTTTTCTTCATATACCCAGCACGGATAATGGATGGTTCCAGAAACTGAAGCTGAACAAGTTTATTCAAGAAATTCAGCAGGTAAAGGGTTAATTTAAAGAATGATAATGTTTGATCTGAGATCTATAGGAAAACCTCGAACAACAATGGCTGAACACTTAATTATATATAATATATATGACTATTGAAACAAATATAATCCACGAACATTATCACCAAAATTTTCAATATTTATCTTGTTTGATAAATTGACTTAATAAAATTTTCTATAAATAATGTGCTCTTTTTAATAATTAATATGCCCTCCAGCAGAATGCTAGCAAAAGATAATCGGAAATCAGGAATAAGTTTTAAGGAATAGGTAAGATAAAATAAGGGGAAAAAAGCATTGATACCAATGTAAAGATGGAAAACAAGGAACACTGGAGAGTCAACCAAGCCAGTGACACAAGTATTGATGAAATCAGCTAGCTAAAGATCCCTGAGCAAGGTGGTCATTCTATGATCATCAACCTTTTCATGAATTTTATGATGTTGAAGTCTGAGCTAGATCAAAAGTTATGAAAATGGCACTAGGTGAAATACTGCCACCCTAAAAACATCTCACCAACGTAAGAAAATTTGACCAATGGCAAAGCTGATCTCCAATCTTAATACATAGCTTTATATAGAATCCCAATAGATTTGAAAATATAATTCCCTGCCCCCTCTCGCAAAAATTTCTCCATTCTAAAACAATAATAGTTTCATTCTTATTCTTGAAAAAATTCTCTTTCTCGATGTAACATATTCTATTATCACTCAAAACAAATTAATTACCCTCAACATAATCAGTATCACAACTAAATCTGGCAAAAAAATAGCAATTATAATTTGGTCAATGATTGTACACTAGCTTCTATAAAATGTTTCATTTAAGATTTTCTATTTATAGAACAGTACATCAAGACTTTGGTAGCAAAGAGACAACTTTTTGGGCAGCGTCTGCCATATCCGATGCGGTTGTAATGTCCAAACCACTGTCCTTCAAAATTTGTAAAGCAGATGCAGCATTCTGACCTAGAATAAATGATAAAATCGCCAATGTATTTTACAAATTTTTATTTGTAATTTTGCATTTTGTATTTCAAAGTCGAAACAAAAAAATCTTCGTAAGCTAGGCAATGTTTTAAGAAAAAGTAGAAAATTCTATTATTTGTATCAGTGACCATAACCTAACTGACCTTGAAACCACATCAGAGAATAGTGGTACATAGATGGTATCAACATATCAAATGTCAATAAATGAAAGTGCTTTGAGAAATGAAAATGGCAAAGAGCAATGAATTATAGAGAAAGACATGGAAGCAAGTTTCTTATCTAAGAAACAATATTCTGTATCTAAGAAACAATAATGACTTGAAGATAATGTACAGTTACATCAAAATCTATGTTAGCTGCTTAGTTTCAAATTCTCTTTGGTCATCATAATGACTTGCTGATGTAGTACATTATACAAATGAAACATAAAAAATATACAAGGAAAACAAACTAAAGAACAAGAGCTGTCGGTAGGACAGCAACGCTCGACTATTCTTAGTGCTTGATAGTAAAAAAAATGCTTGATAGAGTTACCTCCTCCTGTTTACAGGTTGGGGTCATGATGGTGAACAAGTGTGCAAAGTTTCAAAGCCATATGTCAATGGACTTTGAAAATATTTGAACTATTACAAAAACTTTAACGTAAATTCTAAGTCGAAAAAGGGCATAATTCTGTCAAAATGCTTGATAGAGTTACCTCCTCCTGTTTACAGGTTGGGGTCATGATGGTGAACAAGTGTGCAAAGTTTCAAAGCCATATGTCAATGGACTTTGAAAATATTTGAACTATTACAAAAACTTTAACGTAAATTCTAAGTCGAAAAAGGGGCATAATTCTGTCAAAATGCTTGATAGAGTTACCTCCTCCTGTTTACAGGTTGGGGTCATGATGGTGAACAAGTGTGCAAAGTTTCAAAGCCATATGTCAATGGACTTTGAAAATATTTGAACTATTACAAAAACTTTAACGTAAATTCTAAGTCGAAAAAAGGGGCATAATTCTGTCAAAATGCTTGATAGAGTTACCTCCTCCTGTTTACAGGTTGGGGTCATGATGGTGAACAAGTGTGCACAGTTTCAAAGCCATATGTCAATGGACTTTGAAAATATTTGAACTATTACAAAAACTTTAACGTAAATTCTAAGTCAAAAAGGGGCATAATTCTGTCAAAATGCTTGATAGAGTTACCTCCTCCTGTTTACAGGTTGGGGTCATGATGTTGAACAAGTGTGCAAAGTTTCAAAGCCATATGTCAATGGACTTTGAAAATATTTGAACTATTACAAAAACTTTAACGTAAATTCTAAGTCGAAAAAGGGGCATTATTCTGTCAAAATGCTTGATAGAGTTACCTCCTCCTGTCTACAGGTTGGGGTCATGATGGTGAACAAGTGTGCAAAGTTTCAAAGCCATATGTCTATGGACTTTGAAAATATTTGAACTATTACAAAAACTTTAACATAAGTGGTTAACATAAGCGGACGCCGACGCTCGGGTGACTGCAATAGCTCTACTTATTCTTATCGAATAGTCGAGCTAAAAATGTACTACCAGTTTCAGAAAAGTAAAAAGATTTAAGTAATTATTTATATATGTTATGTGCAAATACATGTATAGACTAAATTTGCAGTAACACCAAATTTCTACTGCGTGACTATTACAGTAAGGTCTATTTTTGCATAATTTTGTTTTTTAGAAATTTACCTGGATTTTAAATGCTGTCTGCAATGTGTAACTTACTTTCTTTGTTCACTTCACAATATTTTACTTTTAAATACATTTGTTTTCAAATTTTTCATGAAAATTAGCATAAATCTGGAGGCAAGCTGCTTTAAACTTTTAAACAGTTCCAAAATCAAAGCAGTGCAAGTCTATTTCACACACTGAGCACAGTAAAGGTTGGACAACTTACCTTCAAGTCTTACAACCATGGGAACAGTCATATGAGCTTCTGTGTAGGCCTTTATTATCCCATTAGCCATCGTCTCACAATTCACTATACCACCAAAAACATTTATCAATATCGCTTTAACCTTTAAAAAAAGAAATTTATTCAACATTAAACTAGCATTATAATTTTGGTAAATATCTTACTTCTCCAGTTTAACTTTAATCCTCATCTGATCATGGTCTGCACTTTAAGCTATTCATTCACTACTTATTTTTAAATTTTTCCCCCAAAAAAATGATGAATGGTTTTGTCCAGAATGTAAAATGAGCAAATCCATATTAGATATTCAGCGTGGTAAGGGTTAAATGTATATTTTTAAGGCTGGATAGTGAAATAGAACATACAGCTTTTATTTATGGCTTCTGGTTTCTCCTAATGTTAACTACTGAACTGTCAATATGATAACAACCCTGAAGAAGGTAAGAACTCTTACATGAGCATCAGCAGTTAGAATATGGAATGCGTTATACACTTGCTGTTCTGTAACTCCGCCTCCAACATCCAGGAAGTTGGCTGGTTCCCCTCCAAACAACTTGATAATGTCCATCGTAGCCATGGCTAATCCAGCACCATTTACTGCAAGCAAATACCAGAATTTCTTTGGAGAAAATGCAAAGCAAAACATCTTTTTCTTTCAACATTTGTATTTTAATAAACATTAAAACGCTGTTGGAATCTGTAATTACAATATATATTTTTTTTTTTACTTAACATTTGTATTTGATTGGTCAACCAGTAACTTATACTATATCCTGTAAAGTTATTAAAGAATGATTTCTAATAATAGATGTTTAAATTCAGCATTTGTTTACATGAATAACACATAAGAGTCTGGTCAATGTCACTTTTTATTTGACTGTCATGTGACTGCATCTCAACCAATCGTCACATGGGGAAATTTTAATGTCATTTTACTACGCATTAGATGATGACAGTTCTGTAAAAGTTAGGCTGAGATCCCTGGAGGACTGTAGAAGGTCTTGCACATAGACCACCTGCAGTAACAAATCTTGTAATTAGATTTTTAGACCATCTGCAGTAACAAATCTTGTAATTAGATTTTTAGAACCATCTGCAGTAACAAATCTTGTAATTAGATTTTTAGAACCATCTGCAGTAACAAATCTTGTAATTAGATTTTTAGAACCATCTGCAGTAACAAATCTTGTAATTAGATTTTTAGACCATCTGCAGTACCAAATCTTGTAATTAGATTTTTAGAACCATCTGCAGTAACAAATCTTGTAATTAGATTTTTAGAACCATCTGCAGTAACAACTCTTGTAATTAGATTTTTAGAACCATCTGCAGTAACAAATCTTGTAATTAGATTTTTAGAACCATCTGCAGTAACAAATCTTGTAATTAGATTTTTAGACCATCTGCAGTAACAAATCTTGTAATTAGATTTTTAGTCCATCTGCAGTAACAAATCTTGTAATTAGATTTTTAGAACCATCTGCAGTAACAAATCTTGTAATTAGATTTTTAGACCATCTGCAGTAACAAATCTTGTAATTAGATTTTTAGACCATCTGCAGTAACAAATCTTGTAATTAGATTTTTAGAACCATCTGCAGTAACAAATCTTGTAATTAGATTTTTAGACCATCTTCAGTAACAAATCTTGTAATTAGATTTTTAGACCATCTGCAGTAACAAATCTTGTAATTAGATTTTTAGAACCATCTGCAGTAACAAATCTTGTAATTAGATTTTTAGACCATCTGCAGTAACAAATCTTGTAATTAGATTTTTAGTCCATCTGCAGTAACAAATCTTGTAATTAGATTTTTAGAACCATCTGCAGTAACAAATCTTGTAATTAGATTTTTAGACCATCTGCAGTAACAAATCTTGTAATTAGATTTTTAGAACCATCTGCAGTAACAAATCTTGTAATTAGATCTTTTCCCCTAAGCATGAGTAAATCTGTCAGATTTTCTTCTTTTCCCTAAGTCCTTTCATTTAATAGGCTAACCTAGACATCCTATATTTCCCTCAAGTCCTATATAATTCAGGTGATGCTCTGTGGCCTCAACCTCCCTGGGATCCATTTCTGATAAATCATCCATGTCAAATATTTCTTTCTGTCTGTACTCAGCGTTATCATCAAAGTTCATCTTTGCATCAAAACAAACAACTGAAAATCAAAACATGATTAATGAATGAAGGACAACTTTACAGACAGTAGTGGCATGGCTGAGTGGTTAGCTTGTCAAACTAGTAATCTAAGAATTGCTGGTCGGGTGGGTTCAAACCCCGCCACGGGAAAGCCTTTGTTTCCGGAAAAAGAAACTTTAAGCTCATTCCTTAGAACAGGTTTGTTTCAGGAATAGATTCAAAATGTTTCAATAAGCTTATAGCTTTCAATAAAATCCAATTAATGTTTTTATGTTCTTTACAGTGAGCTCAACCAAATGGCATAACTATGTAAAATTCTTCTTTGTAAAATAATGAAAATATTAAACCCAATATTATGATGAAAATAATCAATTGATTTACCTCGTCCGTCTGGTGTTTCCACAAATGGGTTGATCTCGATCTGAGTGGCATCAACATCAATAAACATCTTATAAAGTTTTAACACTTGGTCTGATGCCTATATTAATACATGAACATAAATGTTAGCTTAGAGCACGTCATGTAAACAATGATCAAGACTTGAGGCAATCATTGCGGATTTTTTTTTATTTTCAATGCTGGATTTAAGTTTTAACACTTGGTCCGATGCCTCTATTAAAACATGAACATAAATGTTAGCTTAGAGCATGTCATGTACACAATACTCAAGAGTTGAGGCAATCAATGGGTTTTTTTTTTTTAATTTTAAACACAGATTTTAAGATACGATCTACAAATACTACAGCAATACTGATTCTAGGACAAGTTGTTTTTTTATGCAGGGTTGCAAACAAAAACTTAACAACTGATCCTTTGTGAACCTGGACAGCTTACTTACATAAAACCTTTAAGGTAACTAAGCAAGATTTGAGCCCATAATTGTAATAAATGTAAGTCACCTTAAGAACTTCATAACTTATGCAAAATTGTTATGATTTTTAGTTTATTAATTTTCATGGTTTTCGTGGATAAGTCAATCCACGAATTTAAGATCCGATGAAATTTCAATTAATCTACTGTAAGATTATTTTGCATCTAATTTTTTACATTTTACCTTAAATAAACAGTCTACAAATTTAACAACCCACAAAATGTTCGGTGTGACATAATCACAAAATTTAATGCCCACAAAATTAAGTGAATACACTCATTGTCAAATATTGATAATCATTTCAAAACCTACTACAGTGTAATCTCAGCAGAGAGGCCCTGTGTAGAGCAACTAACTCTTCACAACTACAGTTACCCCTCTATATTAAAACCAAATCTTGGTCTCACACAAGGTGTTGCTTGGCAGAGGTTGTGCTGTAACTTAAATATGTTGTGTGACCACAACTTTCAAGATTTTTACCTTTGAAATCATTCTTAAAACATCAACTTTTGTGTTTAAATGTACATCAAAACAGTCTTTACCGATCATTCACAGTAGGTACTAGTAAACTATGTTTGATGGCAGAAACAAATCAGGATCTTACCAGAGCATGTTGTTTCCCTTTAAATCCAAGCTTTTCAGCTATCTTGTCTGCTGTTTCCTTACTTAAACCCTCCATGATATCAACTGGTTCCTACATAAAAATAAATCAGAATATCATTGATGTCAGTAAAAAGTACTCTGCTGTTCTTCTTTTTTTATGAATTCAAATGCCACACAGACACAGCCAGACAATGTAATGGTCATATGGCGACATGCAAGGTGTTCTAAAGGAGGAAAACCTGAGGTGCTAGAGGGCTAAAGCAAGCAGCCAAGTACAACGATCTAGGATCCAAAAGATTGCTGGATAGCTTCTTCACATGAAAGATTCTTGTTCAGCAACATTTTCAAGCAAATTCGATTCACCTTATGTGCCAAAGAAATGAAATCAATTCTGTGAAAATACATGTAAGCCAACACATCTATATACCAGGGTCTACATTTATATGACAACCTGAAGAATGGATCAACCATCATGAAACCAATTGGTGACTTATTCATTTCTGTCCATACATTTAAGTTTACTTGTTTATAACTTTGATAGTGAAGAAAATATGTAACTTCTTTGAACCACTCCAAGTCCCCTTTTCTAGAACTAACCAGTACCCTGATGACATATGAGAATACATAGTAATACCAACAGGACTAGCAGGGTTTTTTTCCACAGGCAAGGGAAGGGATTGAATTCCCTTAAATTTTAGTGAAAAATAACTCAGTATTTACACAAAAAAAAATAGAAACTCTTGAGGAAAATTGAACTTTAACAGCACAAATGACGGAAACTCGGAAAGGCCATATCCATTTGACCCCCCCCCCCCATATCCACAAATTGGGTACCGTAATAAAAATGCTAAGTTAGTAGCAAGTTGCCTGTAATACGTTTTATATTATACAGTGCCTTCGTAATATAACAACATTCAAAATTAATACTGAGAATACATTTTAGCATTTTTAACATTTTTACTACATTACATACATGAAATATGGCTTCTGGAGTTTTTACAGCTACTTCTTCTATGTCCACTCCACCCTGACTACTTCCTACAATGACTGGTCCATTATACTGTCTGTCTAAAAGTATGGCAAAATATGTTTCACGCGCAATATCAAGAGCCTCCGCGACCATGACTTTCTGTACGAGAACACCATCTCCGTGTGTTTGTTTTGTGACAAGTTTGTGACCCACCATGTTCGAGACCAGCTCTGAAACTTTGCTTGGGCTAAAATAAACAAATTTCTTGTACACAAGTAATGCAAACTTTCGCCACCATTTTACAGGACATAGACATGTATAATATATTAGTTAGATATCAAGTTATATCACTTAAGTGCAGCCTTGTAGAAGAGACCTTATTTATACCTCTACCAAAGAAATATACAGATTTTTTAAATTCTGTTTCATACTTCAGGGGAATCGGAACTAAGTACATATTTTAATCCAAATAAAAGTAAAGATATTAAAGACATAAACTGATTTTCTTTATTTTGAAACGAGAAAGATAAAACACTGTATTAAAGAAACAATGAAAGAGAAACAACTTTATTGTTACTAAACAACTATCTGGAGCATAATCTCTAAAATAGTGAAAGTATACAATGGTGTACAAAACTACATATTGTACCATTAGTATATTTTCTATATTGATCTTTGTCATGACCGATTAAAAATCAACAGAAGCCATCCAGTGTACATGATGGGTATCTACTTTGCATTCTACAGCTGGGACTAGATGACTTATAAATAATACAGTAATGCCCAAAAGTATGCAAGCATAAATAAAATCAGCAATTTCTTACAAATGAAAGGACTTCATATTTTTTTCCACATTATTTTGCTTCGCTAAGCCCTTTCTGATGAATGTAAAACTTGAAATCTAGTTAAATCATGAGCAAATTATCACTAAATTTTTATACATACTCTTTGGTAAGCTGCACACCTCCTTTAAATCCATTAGAGAATGTACCTTTCCCTCTTCCTCCAGCCAAAATTTGAGCTTTTATCACATATTCAGAAGCATCTATACAAGTAAAAAAAAAATAACAACTCAATATATACCGAATTCAAATACTATGTTTTATACAAAGGTAAAGTTAATGTTACTTTTCAACACCAATACAAATTAACCAAGATGAAACAAAACTTCACAAATGAACAATCACAGTTTCTTTCCATCTTCTTAAGCAAGAAAAATTTGAAAACTAGAAATTTACAGAGATTTACTCAATTTTTTTTATAATATTCAACTCAAACACTTACTAGAGCATTTACCTCCATTTTGTAAATCATATGCATGTATATGTATAATTTCTCAGCTCAATAAGCATGTAATATCTGAATGCTTAATTCCAGTTTTATGTTCTGATAGCTCAGCTACAGAATATCTCCCAACAAGAACTTGTATTTCTTTAAACATGCACTTATGATACTCTGTGAATAAACAGGACTGTGAATGTTAGTATTATTCATCTTAATTAATAATAGCTCTATATATGCGGCATGTGATTGACATTATCTTTGCCAACTTCTAAAAGATTATAAGCAATAAAGAAAATAACACCCACTGAGTCTGGAAGGCACTGACTTGGCAGCGTCGGCATTGTCAACAACTTCAAAATGCTGCACCTCAATATCATGGTCTTTCATCAAAGTCTTACTCTGGTATTCTTGTAGATGAAGCCATCTTTTCTGAAGGCAACTTGACAGCACCTGCAATAGAAAAATGTAAATAAGTCCAGAGTCAAAAGGTTATTTGTACATCCATACAGTCTGATTAGATTTAGACTTCATGCTATTGGTTGATTTAATTATTGGTTTGAACTTAACAAGACACTAAAATTCACAATGAACAGTTCCAAACTATTATAATGGAAGCTGGACAAGTCCATTTAAGAAATTCAGCAAGTTAAGCAGGTTACAGAAGCCAAGCACCTGATGATCAGAGGAAGCTCAATAAAGAAAATTTGACCCTGAAATACTGAAATTTCTGTCACAATATATTCTGCCTTGTTTGAAGATAGTCAACATGCCTTGTTACAGAGTTTGTTTAATTCAAAGTTAATTTAAATATTTAGTAACAAACATGCCTTGTTACGGAGTTTGCTTAATTCAAAGTTAATTTAAATATATAGTAACATTTCCAAAAGATAACAGAGCTATTACACAAAAAACACAACATTCAAAATTATATTCTGGTTTTGATTGGCTATTTATATTATGATTACAGTGCAGATCATACAAGAGATTTCTTGGATTTTACATTTTTTATAATTTCTGCCTGATCTGGCATTATTAGAAATGTAAACATTCTTTTTGTAATATATTCATGTGAACACTGGAAACCAAAGCGAGGGATCTGTAAGCTAAATAAAATCAATATTAATCTAATGTCAGATCTAGACCTTCTGACCTTTTGTCGACCTCATTTAAAGTTAAACAAACAGGTAATGGAGCATTGACTGGTCACTATGCCAAAAAAAAAGGATACATATTATTTCGTAACTGTATGCAACTCGCCACTCATTTTTCACAAAATTTCAAGATCTTGGTACAAAATGGTAGGGACTTGATTACTCTTAAAGGAAATAAAGTGTCATTTCAATGACTTCAAGAAATAAATAGACAACTAATCATCTGGCATCATATGAAACTATAACAAACTTTTTTTCCGATAAGTCAAATTCTCAATGGTAATGATAGTAACTGTTGCAACTGATTGCTCCCTTTTATTTTCGTATAAAGTATTTTCATTGGCCGTGAGAAAACTGCAGACCAATGAAAATAATCCATTGGAAAATAACAGGGAGCAATCTGCTGCAACAGTTACTTTCATTATTTGACATATCGGAAATAAAGGTTCATAAAAATTTCATATGAATAATGATGAGTTGATTGAACAGTTATTGCAAATAATAATTTAATTTTATCATAATTAAATGCGCAATACAAAAATTTCTTCATTCATTTCGAATAACTGCCATTCAGTCAGGTTATTTTCACAAAAACACAGCAGTCACATTTCTGTTGTTTCACACTTGCAGTGACTTCAAGTTTCAATATCTACTTATTTCTTGAAATCATTGTAATGACAGCTTTATTTCACTTCACTACCATTTGGAACCAAGATTTTGAAGTTTGGTGAAAGAATGTTTAAGTTATGGAATTCACATTAAGATGAGTGCTGAAAAATAACCAGTGAGTTGCATATCTTTACTAAATATACTTCTCAAAATTTGCCAAGGTTAACCTTTTTGACATTGCATATTTCAGTCCTATTATCATCATATCAAAATCATATTTCCGCTAAAGATACACCTGTATGAGGACCTCATAATCGTGTACTTAAGTTATTGATTTGTCATGTACACCTTGCACGATAAGCACGTGGAAAAGCAAACCATGGAAATTTTGTGTTTTATGGCCTTGTGCTTTCACTTAATCGTGTACAAGCAGCAAGACTTCTCTTATTTTATTGTAAAACTGTGTTCGAAATTAACAAACTATGGCAAATCGACAAGTTCGACGTCATCTTAGTGAAGATGAGATGAACAGGGGCATTGGAATGTTGAAGGCTAGCCGTTCACAAAGGCATGTTGCCCATGTCCTTGGAGTATCCAAGAGTTGTTGTCTCCAGAATGTGGAACCGATTCCAAATGACTCAGTGGAAATGTCTTGCAGGGCCATGCTGGAGGTCGGGAACGTTCAACGACTCAAGCCCATGACTAATTTATTGTCCTTCAGGCCAGGCGCCAATGGTTCTCGAACACTACAACCTTATGTAACAACTTCCAGAATGCAACTGGTGTGCGTGTAAGCACACAAACTGTTAGAAACAGGTTGCATAATGCTCAGGGTTGAGGTCACGGAGGCCAGCAATTCACATTCCTTTGACGCAGCGCCATATTGAAGAGCGTTTGCAATGGTTGCAGACTCATGTCACATGGACAGTTTATGATCGGACCCCGGGCCTCTTCACTGATGAGTCAAGGTTTTGTGTGGACTTCACGGACAGATGGGCTAGGGTTTGGAGAAGTCCAAATGAACCCTTGGCTCCAGCATGTGTTGCAGAACACGACCGTTTTGGCGGGGGTTCAGTCATGGTGAAGGCGGGAATAAGCGCTCATGGGAAAACAGACCCACACATCATTGAAAACAGTAAACTGACAGCTGTAAGGTATGTCAATGACATCTTAGACGTCCATATACACATGTACGCTGGCGCAGTCAGCCCTGATTTCATTCTTATGGATGAGAACGCCCGTGCACACAGAGCCCACATCACAAACGGATATCTTGTGGAGGCAACTCCAATCTCATGGATTGGCCAGCGAGGTCCCTGATTTAAATACAATTGAGATATGCTGCAGAAAGCCATTTCTTCACGTCCAACCAACAACAGTTCAGTTCAGGAGCTAAGATATGCAATCATAGAGGAATGGGCACAGATTCCTCATCACAAGGTCCTCAGGCTCATCAGCAGCATGCGGTGGCAATGCCAGGCCGTAATTAATGCCCGCGGACACAATACTTGGTATTAAACACCATACTCCAACCATTTCCTGATTTGCAAGATTTTTTTTATTCCACTATGTGATCTCCAAAATGTTGATTTTTGTCCAGCACACTGACTCTCTGCAACAGGCACACATCAAGGAACACTTCCATTGTCATTATTTTCATAAAAATCAATTCCTAACTAATTATATTTAAATTAATTCCTTTTAATCAAATTCACATTAATTACAAATACACAAAAGTAATGCAGTGTAGAAAAAGTGCTTCTTAGCAAATTTTGAGTAGTATATATCTGTATCTTATCTTCTTTTTTTTTTTTTTGCATACTAACTAATTAGATCAATGCGTCGAACACGGTGATTCAACACTTTTCCTGAAAATAAAAAATTAAGCTTGAATCTAATAGTGAGCTTGACGAGCTGGCCCAAAGGGCCTGCTCACAAAGCGAGCTTTACGGTAATGCGAGTAGCTGCTAGGTGATGGTTTTGAAAACTTTTGTCCAAAGTACCGAATTGACACATCGCAACTTTTCGAATTACAAGATAACGATAAAAGCTGATGTACTCTGAAAACGGAAGCGTAGACTGGTGTCCTGCGCACTAATATGGGAACCATAATAGAAAGGAGGAACCAGAATAAACGGAAGCAGTGTATAAAATACCGAATGACAATTTTTAAACGGAAACTGTAAAATAAAAATGAACAATTATTTTAGATTATTTCACGGTAAAAGGAAATCGAGCTTGCCTCTTTCATATTAGTGAGCTTGAAGTGCTAGCCCGAAGGGCCTGCTTGCAAATTGAGCTTTACAGTAACGCAAGTACCTGCTAGATAGTGATGGTTTTGAAAACTTTCGTCCGAAGTACCGAATTGACACATCGCAACTTTTCGAATTACAATAGAACGATAAAAGCCAAGGTATTCTGATTGAAAAAGGAAGCGAAGACTGGTGTCCTGCGCACTTATATGGGAACCTGAATAAATGGCAGCAGTATGTGTATAAAGTACGGAATGACAATTTTAAAACCGAAAATGTAAAATAAAAATGAACAATTATTTTATACAGGGAAGTCAAAGCTGGCCCGGGCTTTGGCTTGCCCGGCTATAGACTACATGTGTATATTTAAAAGGAAATCAAATAAAAAACAATAAAAAAATATATAGAATTCTATACCTATCAATGAAATTTTCAGGGCCAGTTCTAGCTGGGCGCCGCCATTTTCAATGTAACTCAATGATATAAGGTGAGGTATTCCAATAACGGACAATCGCAACTTTTCGGATTATAAATAATCATCGAGGGTTCCGAGTGAAAACGGAAGTGGTGCATGAAATACCGAATGACACCTTTAAAACGGAAAAATAAATTATTTTTAACTGACTTCCCCGTTCATCTAGGCTTTGCCTAATTTCATATTACTATTTCACGGTAAAAGTAAATCGAGCTCGCTTTGAGGCTTTGCCTTTTTCAAATTAAATAATGAAATTCAAAATTACGGTTATCAATTATCCATTAACAATACTTTCAATGTAAAGCCCATTCATGTGTTGGCTTGAAAACCACTCATCATACAATAAGCGTTTCAATAACACAGATTACAAATTTGGACAAAAACTTTTCTAAGATTTAATCCGCAAAGTAACGACTGTATACATTTAATGCAGAATCCTTTAGGTAATAAAACGGATAATTTCACAATTCAGACAACTGAAAAGACTTGTCATACCCGAGTCTTTTGTGCTGATCTTAAAAATTTTCTTGACAGTCCATGACGGAGTGAACTCAAGGGCGCGGCCATCTTTCATCACGTGACAATTTTATCGCACGATCACTACTTTCGCCAAAAATTAAGTTCTAGTATAATTGTTTTGAAATATAAATTGTCAAATATTAGATAAAAAAATAAACACAATTATTCAAATGTTAGTTATATGATACATACATTTGATACAAATACTTAATTAAATGATCAGTAAATTTATGAAACGTGTTTTATCGTAAATTTTTATTCTTCCGCGACAACCATTCCATCCTGGCTCTTTTAAAATCGCCCGGACGAAAACAAAGCTTGCTGTGATACCCACGTGTTTTTAAATGTAATGACAACCCGAATGTCAAAAATTTGAGTTTGAGTATAGTTGACAAGTTTTCGTTTGTTTAATTTTACATCATTTATATTTATAATAGTATATCGTTGTTTATAAATTCAAAATGGCGTTGCCATGTTTCCTTGTAGGTTTTTGTCTGTTTCTTTACCATGTTAACAGGTTAACTTAGCTCATATTATGTTTTTTATCACCTCAGTCAGCTAATCAATGTGGAGAGTATAAGAGTTTGTGCCAACTGGCTTTGCAAATGTTGTATGCATATGACTTGACATTACTTGATGAAATTTTTTTAGGATTTTTTCAATTATCTGCATATTATCTATTTAAAAATAGTCTTCAGACTCAGAGGAAGAGCATCTGCTTCTAGGAAATTAATTAAACCCCTCCAGAGAAATTTTATACCACTTTTTGTGTCCCTGATCTCAATAATAACTGAGGTTTATGCTAGGTAATATTTGTGTGCAGTTTGGTTAAGAATAAGAGCCTCTTTTAATAATAAAAGTACTAAAATTATGTGTCAGCAGGTTCAAATGTAATGCTACTATGAAACCCCTTGGTTGAATTACAACATGTTTGTGCATAAAATCACAAGAAGATTTAACCCATTATAAGTGGTTTACATGAAAATAGAATTGAAGAATAATTTAATTATAGAATCAAGGGACGAGACAATCTTATGTTGAAAGTGTATGAAGAACATTTTAGGGCAGTAATGAATAAGATTATAAAATTAATACTCCTGTAAATTTATCATAAACAGAATTGACTTTTTATGTGCACAGTTATTTACTTGAAGATAATCCTGTGACCATGTCACAAGTTTTACTGTAACTCTAATTGGCAGATATTTCCATCAATAGTTATTTTTATCAATTTTATGTCTTTCATCATATAAACACTTTACAGCAGTGACTGATTTATGTTTTTACATTTAAAGAATGAATGATGGAGAGGAGGACAGTACCAATATCAGCTCAGAATCTCTCACAACACCACCTGTTACTGTACAGGTAATAAAAGAAGGCCTTTCATCTGGACAGGAAACTCTTTCTCAGAATGAAACTTTGACAGGTATAATTATTTTTAAGTCATTTAGATAAGGAATTTTTAATTTTGTCGAAATGTTAAGGAAAAGGAATTATTAGAAGGTATTATATTCATTAATTTCTCAGTATTTAATATTGGAGAGAAAAAAAACCCTCTCATCATCTGGATTGAATTGTTTTGATTTATTTATGTTTACTTTTATCATATTGTATGGATATGTTTAGATTATTTCCTTTCCTGCTGTTTATATTTAAAAATACATGGAGAATCTTACATAAATTTTTTTATTAACTTGTAATTAATCTTTTAATGATCAATATTGACACAAGTTTATTGTAACTGTTCTGAGAATACTATAGTTAAAAGTTGCAAAAGAATCTTATATTGCAATCTAAAGTGAAAAAAATTTGGCTACATTTTTTTCCATTTTTTAGCTCACCTGTCACAATTTGACAGGGTGAGCTTTTGTGATCGCTTTTCGTCCGGCGTCCGTCCGTCCGTCCATCCGTCGTCCGTCCGTAAACTTTTACTTTAAATGACATCTCCTCATAAACCACTAAGCCAATTTCATCCAAACTTCACAGGAATGTTCCTTTGGTGGTCACCTTTAAAAATTGTTCAAAGAATTTAATTCCATGCAGAACTCTGGTTGCCATGGCAACCGAAAGAAAAAACTTTAAATATCTTCTTTTAAAAAGAGCTAGAGCTTAGATATTTGGCATGAACATCTTCTAGTGAGTGTCTACCTAGTTTGTTCAAATAAAAGCCCTGGGGTCAAAATTGGCCCCGCCCCGGGGGGTCATTGATTTTCCCTATATGCATATAGTAAAAACTTAAAAAATCTTCTTTTAAAGAACCCAAAGAGCTAGAGCTAAGATATTTAGCATGAAACATGTTATAATGGGTGTCTACCAAGTTTGTTCAAATAAAAGCCCTGGGGTCAAAATTGGCCCCGCCCCGGGGGGTCATTGATTTTCCCTATATGCATATAGTAAAAACTTAATAATCTTCTTTTAAAGAACTCAAAGAGCTATGGCTAAGATATTGAGCATCAAACATGTTCTAATAGGTGTCTACCAAGTTTGTTCAAATAAAAGCCCTGGGGTCAAAATTGGCCCCGCCCCAGGGGGTCATTGATTTTCCCTATATGCATATAGTAAAAACTTAAAAAATCTTCTTTTAAAGAACCAAAAGAGCTAGAGCTAAGATATTTAGCATGAAACATGTTCTAATAAGAGTTTACCAAGTTTGTTCAAATAAAAGCCCCAGGGTCAAAATTGGCCCCGCCCCGGGGGGTCATTGATTTTCCCTATATGCATATAGTAAAAACTTAAAAAAATCTTCTTTTAAAGAACTCAAAGAGCTATGGCTAAGATATTGAGCATGAAACATGTTCTAATGGGTGTCTACCAAGTTTGTTCAAATAAAAGCCCTGGGGTCAAAATTGGCCCCGGCCCGGGGGGTCATTGATTTTCCCTATATGCATATAGTAAAAACTTTAAAAATCTTCTTTTAAAGAACTCAAAGAGCTATGGCTAAGATATTGAGCATCAAACATGTTCTAATAGGTGTCTACCAAGTTTGTTCAAATAAAAGCCCTGGGGTCAAAATTGGCCCCCCCAGGGGGTCATTGATTTTCCCTATATGCATTTAGTAAAAACTTAAAAAAATCTTCTTTTAAAGAACTCAAAGAGCTATGGCTAAGATATTGAGCATCAAACATGTTCTAATAGGTGTCTACCAAGTTTGTTCAAATAAAAGCCCTGGGGTCAAAATTGGCCCGCCCCAGGCGGTCATTGATTTTCCCTATATGCATATAGTAAAAACTTAAAAAATCTTCTTTTAAAGAACCAAAAGAGTTAGAGCTAAGATATTTAGCATGAAACATGTTCTAAAAAGTGTCTACCAAGTTTGTTCAAATAAAAGCCACGGGGTCTAAAATTGGCCCCGCCCCGGGGGGTCATTGATTTTCCCTATATGCATATAATAAAAACTTAAAAAATCTTCTTTCAAAGAACTCAAAGAGTTAGAGCTAAGATATTTGGCATGAAACATGTTCTAATAAGAGTCTACCAAGTTTGTTCAATAAAAGCCCCAGGGTCAAAATTGGCCCCGCCCCGGGGGGTCATTGATTTTCCCTATATGCATATAGTAAAAACTTAAAAAATCTTCTTTTAAAGAACTCAAAGAGCTAGAGCTAAGATATTTAGCATGAAACATGTTCTAATGGGTGTCTACCAAGTTTGTTCAAATAAAAGCCCTGGGGTCAAAATTGGCCCCGCCCCGGGGGGTCATTGATTTTCCCTATATGCATTTAGTAAAAACTTAAAAAAATCTTCTTTTAAAGAACTCAAAGAGCTATGGCTAAGATATTGAGCATCAAACATGTTCTAATAGGTGTCTACCAAGTTTGTTCAAATAAAAGCCCTGGGGTCAAAATTGGCCTCGGCCCGGGGGGTCATTGATTTTCCCTATATGCATATAGTAAAAACTTTAAAAATCTTCTTTTAAAGAACTCAAAGAGCTATGGCTAAGATATTGAGCATCAAACATGTTCTAATAGGTGTCTACCAAGTTCGTTCAAATAAAAGCCCTGGGGTCAAAATTGGCCCCCCCAGGGGGTCATTGATTTTCCCTATATGCATTTAGTAAAAACTTAAAAAAATCTTCTTTTAAAGAACTCAAAGAGCTATGGCTAAGATATTGAGCATCAAACATGTTCTAATAGGTGTCTACCAAGTTTGTTCAAATAAAAGCCCTGGGGTCAAAATTGGCCCGCCCCAGGGGGTCATTGATTTTCCCTATATGCATATAGTAAAAACTTAAAAAATCTTCTTTTAAAGAACCAAAAGAGTTAGAGCTAAGATATTTAGCATGAAACATGTTCTAAAAAGTGTCTACCAAGTTTGTTCAAATAAAAGCCACGGGGTCTAAATTGGCCCCGCCCCGGGGGGTCATTGATTTTCCCTATATGCATATAATAAAAACTTAAAAAATCTTCTTTCAAAGAACTCAAAGAGTTAGAGCTAAGATATTTGGCATGAAACATGTTCTAATAAGAGTCTACCAAGTTTGTTCAATAAAAGCCCCAGGGTCAAAATTGGCCCCGCCCCGGGGGGTCATTGATTTTCCCTATATGCATATAGTAAAAACTTAAAAAATCTTCTTTTAAAGAACTCAAAGAGCTAGAGCTAAGATATTTAGCATGAAACATGTTCTAATGGGTGTCTACCAAGTTTGTTCAAATAAAAGCCCTGGGGTCAAAATTGGCCCCGCCCCGGGGGTCATTGATTTTCCCTATATGCATTTAGTAAAAACTTAAAAAAATCTTCTTTTAAAGAACTCAAAGAGCTATGGCTAAGATATTGAGCATCAAACATGTTCTAATAGGTGTCTACCAAGTTTGTTCAAATAAAAGCCCTGGGGTCAAAATTGGCCCGCCCCAGGCGGTCATTGATTTTCCCTATATGCATATAGTAAAAACTTAAAAAATCTTCTTTTAAAGAACCAAAAGAGTTAGAGCTAAGATATTTAGCATGAAACATGTTCTAAAAAGTGTCTACCAAGTTTGTTCAAATAAAAGCCACGGGGTCTAAATTGGCCCGCCCCGGGGGGTCATTGATTTTCCCTATATGCATATAGTAAAAACTTAAAAAATCTTCTTTCAAAGAACTCAAAGAGCTATGGTTAAGATATTTAGCATCAAACATGTTCTAATAGGTGTCTACCAAGTTTGTTCAAATAAAAGCCCTGGGGTCAAAATTGGCACCGCCTCGGGGGGTCATTGATTTTCCTTATATGTGTATAGCAAAAACTTAAAAAATCTCCTTTGAAAAAACCTAAATAGCTAGAGTTAAGATATTAAGCATGAAACATCTTTTAGTGAGTGTCTACAAAGTTTGTTCAAATAAAAGACCTGGGGTCAAAATTGGCCCCGCCCCGGGGGTCATTGATTTTCTTTATATGTGTATAGCAAAAACTTAAAATCTTCTTTGAAAAAACCCAAATAGCTAGAGTTTAGATATTAAGCATGAAACATCTTCTAGTAAGTGTCTACAAAGTTTGTTCAAATAAAAGCCCTGGGGTCAAAACTGGCCCGGCCCCAGGGGTGTCATTGTTTTTAACTGTATGTGTATAGTAAAAACTTAAATAAAATCTTCTTTTAAAAAGCCCAATGAGCTAGAGCTTAGATGTTTAGCATGAAACATTTTCTTATGGGTGTCTACCAAGTTTGTGCAAATAAAAGCCCTTGGGTTAAATTGGCCCTGCAACATTGGGGGTGGGGGTTAGGGGGGCCTATATACAGGTGAGCGACCTCAGGGCCATCATGGCCCTCTTGTTTTTAGTCCAGTTACATTATAATGCTATGCATCCGGTGTTCTTCTTAAAGTTCTAAGTGGCAAGTGAAATTTAAGAGACATCGGTAGTTATATATTCCTAAGTGATTTTACAGTTCTTATGTTTATCGAACATGTCATAGGAAAAGTAGGTGGTTGTAATTCTGAGAATAATTGATATCTGGCTGGTGATTATGGAGAGCACTGATTGATAATGATGATTTTACAAAATAATATAATTGTTTTGTCATACATGTATGTTCAGATTTTGATATATGTGATTTATTTTATGTGAATCTTTTAATTTATAGTGAGTGAAGTTGATCCTAGTAGTTTGATATCTCTTGAATCAACTGATATTGTGGGTGATAGTGAAGATGGAAAACAGTTTGTTATTGTTACACCCTCTGGAAATGGTAGGCAAATTTCAAATGAATGTTTTAGTTAAGTTATGAATTTGATTGTAGTGTTAATATTGCATGACAGAATCATCTCAAAATAGACAGATATATTATATAGAAAACTACAGTCTGTACATGACCATATGACCAGTCAAATACTTTTTATATTGAATAAAGCCCCTTATGGCTGAGAGGTTGCCTTTAATGGTTGAGCCATTAGATTGCATTTGCAGCCACTGTTTAACTCTGCTTGATTATAAGAGGCAACTAAATAACGAATAACTGGAGCCTGTGCATCTCTTATCTCCAGCAGGTGATACTGTATTAAACCCAGGTGTTGCTTTGAAGTTTGTAACACCTGACTGAGGTTAGCCAAAATCATCTTTCCTGTTTCGGCGCCATATGACCTACACTGAGTTGATGCGCCATAAAGACAAATAAACATATAAGGAATTTATTATATATGCTCAATTATTTTCTTTGATTTAAATTTTAATGATTCATTAAAGTGCAGCAGCAGGAGTGTATAAAAATGAATTAACATCCAGAATGCAAATATTCAGTACATGCTGCAACTATTTATCTTTTTTTTATGTCTTGGAAGATTTTTATACTAATGCTGTATTTTAAGTTATGCCCCAATTGCAGTTATAAATTATAAATTTTAGGGATGTCAACAACAAAATAATAAATTGAGCTGCCACTGTATAGAACCTGGTCAAATAGTATGGATAATCATAATAAAGGCTATAAGGCTGGCCTGCATATACGTTGTATACTGATAGCAAAGGTCAATCATAAGCTTTCTAAACGTTAACAGTTAAGATAATATCTCTTATATTTTTACAGCTACATTAGGTATAGGAACATTGGCACCATTACCGGAAGTAGAGACCCAAGATGGGGAACCAGCATATAAAAGATACCGCATGCTGGGAGAAGATGGGCAGTCATACATTTTGACAGTTGCAGGTCAGTATCTAGTTTTTGGCACTCGTTATATTTAAATGACTTTAGTAGATTTTATGTATCTGTAGGACAGGGATTTTCAATCCATTTTGTTTATCTAGTTGAAATTCACTGTATTTTACAGAATTAGTAAGTGTACAACTTATAAGGCATGGCCCTTATTATAGGGGACTGGGGCCTGGGCCTTTGGAAGGGGAATTTTGTGGCATTTTGAAGAGAAGAAGGTTATTTTGCCTGTTAACAATAATACTCATGATGTTAAAGTTTTACATATTCTTTTTAAAAAAATTTGAGGGGAATTTTCTTCAAAAGTAGGGGAAAATATGTAATCACTGGAATGGGAACGCCCCAAAAATAGTGATAGGAGAGACTTGGCAGAAAACTTTCTGATTTGCAAAAGAATTAGATATTTTTGCATATGATAAAATACAGTTGTAGATTTTGCTTAAAATTTTGTAATATATACATTGAAATATTGGAAGTTGAATCTCAAATTATATCATGTTTTCTGTTTCAAATACTATTACAATTAAGTAAATATAAACAGTGTAGATGAAAAAAGAAAGTAAATTATGTATGAATATTATAAACACAGCCATTACAAGAATATTTGAAACGATTATGATATGAAATGAGTCGCGTCAAGACAAAACCAAAGTAATGCATCTGCGACCAGCATGGATCCAAACCAGCCTGCGCATTCGTGCAGTCTAATCAGGATCCATGCTGTTCGCTTACAAACCCTATTGCAAGTAGAGAAACTGATAGCGAACAGCATGTATCCTGATCAGACTGCGCAGATGCAGGCTGGTCTGGATCAATACTGGTCGCAAACGCATTACGTTGGTTTTGTCGTAACACGGCTCAAATGTTTATTATTTAACTCAGCTGATCCGGTAGAAGAAACTGGACCAGAGACAACAGCGAAACAATTTAGTGAACATCAATATCAGGCTAAGCAGGTAAGCTTAGAATTTTACATGATTAGTTGGTGTAATGTCTATGGTTTGACGTCTGCTGCAGTGAATAAATGTAGAAGGGCTTTCAAATTATTCGTTTATGAGAAAGCCAAGTGTTTTTAACAAACAACCATAAATAGAAAAGAGAAAAACAGAAGAGAATACTCTGCAATATGCCAAGAAATTTGTGCAAACAGGATTGTTCTTTTGATTGCATTTAGTGTAACTGAAACCTATAAGAGCAAAAAACTGAGTATAAAGTTGATCTTTTATGCATATATTTCTTAAGAGCCGTAAAATTTTAAACCTAGATGATTGCTGTGTAATGTATTTCTCTTTTTAACTTGACCTAGTTGAGCTTTGTTATGTGTAATATATCATAGTTTCTGTTTTATTGAGATCTCTTTATGTTTGGCATTGTGTACGCTGTTACATAAAGTAAGGAAATAAGTTCGGAGTTTATAACAAAAATAGCTTGCTTTTTCCAAAATAAGAAAATGAGAGTTTGGTCCTAACTTCCAATTTTCATTCTGTTTTTATTATAATTCCCCCCAGAATAGGTAGGCATATAGCTTTTGTAGCATGTGTCCTTCGTCAGAACTTTGTTTGGTCTATAAATTTGTACTTTATGGACAGATTTTAAAACATTTTGGCAAACTGTTGTTACTGGCAGTGCATGTAACGATGACCAAAGTGAACTTTTATTATAATTACTGTATTATTAGGAGGAGCTGACCAGTGAGACAGCAGCTGCCAGGAACCAGGAGAAACGGAACCAGTTACTAAAGTCGGACATTTCACAGGCGTGGTTCACCACTAGGGATGATAAATACATCTTGCAAAGCTCTGGTAATCTTATGTTCATATACCTATATCTCTAAAAGCTCATTTACTGTATTCAGTGATGAAGTAACAAAAGCTCAAGTCATCATAATTTTAAAAAATATATTGAAGCTTTGGTGATCAGTTGATTAATTTCTTACATGTTTGAAATATTTCATACCCTCTTAAATTGATAAAATGCACTTTTGACCTGCATTAAATATGGAGGTAACCATAAAGATTGGAAAATTTGGTCAATGTGCAGACTTTTCTGCTTCTTTATTGGTGGTACAAGTCTGTCGTCATGACTTGGTTGTTTGTTTCATGGACAGGTAATTTAAGTATTTGTATATATATCTAGTATGATTTATGATTCAGGTGCAACATGGAAACAGGGACAGTGGTCTAAAGATGAAATAGAGCTTTTACAGTTAAACATTTCTGAATATTGCAGGGTATGTATTGATTACTCATTCCCAAGCATTATTAATTTCAGCAAAGATAGCCTTTTGGTATTTCACATTGGTAAAATTACATAGTAGACAGTGGCATAACTTGTTTTTATAGCATCTTAATTATGCAACATGCTTTGAATATTTATTGTGATGTCTTGTTACATAGTCTATGCATATCTTAGCTCCAGGGTTGTTTTGACCCCTGGTGTTGCTTAAAATTTGTATCATCCAAGGTCAACCAAAATTATCTTTCCTGTTCCAGTGTCATATGACCTAAATGTGTGTTGGTGCAAGGGATTTTACACAATTATTATAGACTGAAAAGTTATAATGAAATATTTTCTATAACACAAAATTCTTACAATAGCTTACAAATTTACACATTAAATATAACAGCAGCAGCATGATCTTATTCAAAGCAGGGCCTCAATTTAAACCAAGGTGATTAAAATGACATTTTACCAGCACCATATTGCACACCAGAAAATCCAATCATATATGTAATAAAAGTAAATAAAATACAGCTTTCATGATATTGCAGCAAATTATTTGAAATGGTCCATGTCACATTATGATAAGCATGTCCTGTATGTTTTTTCCAGAGTCACAATATTGGGGATCCCACTGAAATCATATTTGAGATGACCAAAGATGATCGGAAGCAATTTTACCGCACCATAGCAAAAGGTCTGCAGCGGCCTCTATTTTCTGTGTATAGAAGAGTTACCCGTATGTATGACCAGAAAAATCACATGGGCAAATACAGTTATGATGAAAAAGTCAAGTTGAAAGAGTAAGTGTTTATATACCTTACCACGCTAAATATCTTAAATAGACAAGTTCGACTTTCAGTCTTGACAAAACCATTCATCATTTTTGGTTGGGTATATTTCAAATTATGAAGAGTGCAGACCATGATTGATATTTTTGTCAATTTCTTAAATAAAACTGCTCTTTTATACTCAAATTATGCAATGTGCATAGAGATTAATATTTAAATGTTGTTGTTTTTAAAAACTTACAAATTCAATACAAATCTCCAGGCAAGAAAGTTGGTAGTTCTATTAATGTGTCAGCTTATGCCTTAAAAAAGTGTCTACCTCCAGAAAGGCTGGAAAGTAGCCAAATGACTTGCTGTTTTGAATTTAGAGTTTTAGACTTATCATAAAATAAACTTTTCTCTTCAAATTAAACTTTGTGCTCGTTCTTTTTTTGTGTCGCCTCTACGGAGTAGTGGCGACATATAGGGATAACTTCTCCGTCGTCCGTCTGTCTGTCCGTCCGTCACAAAACTTGTTTGGACTACTCCTCATAAACTACTGGTGCAATTTCATCCAAACTTTACAGGAATGATCAGTACCAAGTCTAGTTGTGCATATTGTCAGCATTTTCCGGTTCAATGATTTTTGTCAGAGTTCTGACCCTTTAATAATTTTTATTTTTAAAGTTTGTCCGGACTACTTCTCTTATACCACTTATGCAATTTCAATGAAACTTTACAGGGTTGATCTGTAGCTCAAGTACTTGCACATATTGCACAGGTTTTCCGGTTGAATGATTTTTGGTCGAGTTATGGCCCTTTGATAAAAAGGTGTTTTTTTCTGTGTGTTGCCAGATACACAAAGCTTGTCTGGACTACTCGTCATAAACTACTGGTGCAATTTTATACAAACTTTACAGGAATGATCAGTACCAAGTCTAGTTGTGAACTGTCTGTCCGTCTGTCACAAAACTTGTCCCAACATGAAATTGGCCATCATGAGGCGACACATGTGATCACTGATCGCTCTTGTTACTGATGTATACACAGCTGATTACATTATTGGCAATAATGAACTTCTTGGTTTATAGGTTGCGAGCCAAGCATGGTAATGATTGGGCAACAATTGGACAGGCTTTGGGTCGGAGTGCTTCCTCCGTTAAAGACAAGTGTAGATTAATGAAGGAGACATGTAACTCAGGGAAATGGCTGCCAGAGGAAGAGAAACGTCTCACGCAGGCTGTTTATGATCTCTCTGGTGGACGACCAGGTAGGTTCTTGCAAATTTCTAGAGCACTGTCTATACACAGTGTCAATAGCCATAAGGTTTTGAGAGCATAAAAAGTTATGTTAGTGCTACACTTAAACGCTTACTGTCAAAAATATAATCAATGTCCCCTTTTCTAATAGTGTTATAATCAATCTTTAACAGATGTAAACAAGGACCCTCAAAATTGTTAAAGGCTGTTCTTGGTTTTGATTTTATGGTTATTGGCAAGAACAAAATAAAGGGCCTTAATAGTTTATTTTAAAAAGTATTTAACTCAAATGCTATGTTTGTGGCACTTTTGATTCAGTTTTTTTCTTTTGAAAAGTAAATTACCACTCTTTCTCTTCATGTCTTTGTGATTTAAATGGAATGTTGACACACATTTAAGGACTTGTTAACGTGTAATATTACATTTCAGGTGAAGATATAGTCCATGGGTTATCATGGGCTCTAGTTTCAGAAAAAGTGATAACTCGGTCAGAGAAACAATGTAGGACAAAGTGGCTGAATTACATGAACTGGAAGATGAAAGGGGGTAAAGAGTGGACACGAGAGGAAGATATGAATCTCATTATAAGGTAACTTTGTGAAAATATTGTGGAGAAATTGGTATATACTGGTTAGTTATCAAGGAAAGCCAGTCAGGCGGACTGACCGCCAAGATATGACAAAACATATGTTGAAAATCACGTAAATTCTTGACAGTCAAACAAACACATTTCTTATAAAATGTATAAAAAAAATATGCGTATTCTGACAATAATTTACATATATTAATTATAATCATTATGATGTATTGTTTAAAGGAGATGATTTTATTTTGACTTTGCTGCTATTTGTTTTAATTTTGACATTGTTCCAATGTGATTTTATTTTGATGATCCATTTGTGATTTATATTGCCAGGACAGTTAATATAATTATAACAAATCATTTACAGAATAGCAGCAATGGAAGTAACAGATGATTCAGAAATAGATTGGGATGATTTAGCAAGCAACTGGGAAAGGTAAAAGCTTAAATTATGAAACTTAATTTGTCAGTGATTATTATCTTGAAGGTTGTTGTAGAAAGAGACATTATTAACTATCTGAGGGCCTCAAATTGATATGTTATAATTCTAAGATATATTTTGTTTACATCTTTCTCCGAGTCTGTAATTTAATGTCTTGCAAAATTGATGGTTATTCCAAATTCCACCTTTTCCTTGATCCCAACCCTATTCTCGTTCATGTTTCAAAGTCATTTGACTGGAGAACATTGAAAATATTATAAAATACAATCTAAAAATGTTGATATCAAGTGGTCATTCAAGAATACTTATCAATGGTTCCAACAAAATTTTATACAACCTGTGTTGAGTCCATTATTATTGAAATGACCAAAGTTATGACCTGGGTATTTAACTTAAAGCTTTTACTTTTGTAAAATGAATTGACCCAGTACATTGGTTAATTAAATTTTCATAAAACTTATTGAATGAAGACCTGATGCATGTATATCTGATCTGATTTTTAGTGTAAGATCTCCACAGTGGTTGAGAGGGAAATGGTGGTCTTTGAAGAGACATATTCCAGACTACCAGATACTACCTTTCAATGGTAAGCTGAGCAGACTGTGCATTTATTTTTTCACAATTTTAATGATAAAACTATGGATCTTTAACTTAAAATATTAAACCAATCTTAAACTTTTGAATCTGATTGGGACCTTGAAATCACTGATACAAAATTGGTCAGTGGTAGAGCAATATTCACTTTATTGTCTTGCCTAAATTCGACAAACAATTATGTTATCAGCCAGATCATTCAATATATTGTTACAGTTTTTAGCTCGCCTTTTTTTTTTTTTTTTTTAAAGTAGAAGTATTGTTATAGTCGCGGCGGCGTTGCCGTTGCCGTCCGCAAACTTGTACCTGGATCATAACTTTTTTATTTCTTGGTGTATTGTCTTCATACTTGGCCACAACAACTCTTGGGACAAGACCTTTCAGTAGACCACACTAACCTTGACCTTCATCCATAAATGACCTTGACCTTCAAGGTTAAAAGTCCAAATTTTGCTTGTTCATGCTGTTATTGGCTGTAACTTTGTTATTTTTGAATGGATTGTCTTCAAACTTAAACATAATAATCTTCAAGGATATCCCTTAAAAATAACCCGACAGACCTTGACCTTCACTCATAAATGACCTTGACTTTGAAGGTCAAATTATTGAAATTTTCATGTTTTTGGCTATTATTGGCTGTAACTTTGTTATTTTTGAATGGATTGTCTTCAAACTTAAACATAATAATCTTCAAGGATAACCCTTAAAAATAAACTGACAGACCTTGACCTTCACTCATAAATGACCTTGACTTTGAAGGTCAAATTATTGAAATTTTCATGTTTTTGGCTATTATTGGCTGTAACTTTGTTATTTTTGAATGGATTGTCTTCAAACTTGAACATAATAATCTTCAAGGATAACCCTTAAAAATAACCCGACAGACCTTGACCTTCACTCATAAATGACCTTGACTTTGAAGGTCAAATTATTGAAATTTTCATGTTTTTGGCTATTATTGGCTGTAACTTTGTTATTTTTGAATGGATTGTCTTCAAACTTGAACATAATAATCTTCAAGGATAACCCTTAAAAATAACCTGACAGACCTTGACCTTCACTCATGAATGACATTGACTTTGTTTTGGCTGTAACTGGCTGTTACTTTGCTATTATTGAAGGGATTAACTTCATATTATAACAGAACATACTTAAAGACAAGACCTTTTTGTTTATCGTGACTTCACCACGTGACTCCACCACATGACTTCACAACGTGACTCCACCATGTGTCTCCACCACGTGACTACACCACTAACTCCACCACGTGACACCACCATGTGACTCCATCACATGACTCAACCACGTGACTACCACATGACACCACCACGTGACTTCACAACGTGACTCCACCGCGTGACTACACCGCGTGACTACACCGCGTGACTACACTAGTGACTCCACCACTGGACTCCACCACATGACTTCACAACGTGACTCCACCACGTGACTCCACCACGTGACTGCAACACTAACTCCAACACGTGACTTCACCATGTGACTACACCACTAACTCCACCATGTGACTCCACCACGTGACTCCACCACGTGACTACTACATGACTTCCACATGACACCACCACGTGACTCCACCACGTGACTTCACAACGTGACTCCACCATGTGACTCCACCACGTGACTCCACCATGTGACTCCACAACGTGACTCCACCACGTGACTTCACCACGTGACTCCACCACGTGACTACCGCGTGACTTCCACGTGACTCCACCACTGGACTCCACCACGTGACATCACCACGTGACTCCACCACGTGACTCTACAACGTGACTCCACCATGTGACACCACCACGAGACTTGACTAGGTGACACCACCATGTGACCTTGAATTGGGTGTCTCTATTTATATATATATAAATTAGTAAATTTATATAATAATAAAATATATAGACAAAACTAATGTGACAAAACAGAATGATTTTTTTTATAAAAAAGGAAACGTTAATATTTTGTTCAAACATTTCTTTGTTTGCTTTTAGAGAAAGTAAAAAGTCGAGCGTTGCCCCCGCCTGGCGGTGGCTCTTGTTTTTGTGTGTGTCAGAAAAACAATCACTTTGGCACTTATACTTTTAAAATTTATTTCATTACTCTGACCGCTGTCATAGTTTTGATGAATAAAAAGTCAAAATGGTATATTGATAGTCAGTAGTTCTACTCAAGGACCAGCTTGTGCTTCACTTTATGCAAAAAAGGGGAAGTACTTTTTTTTAAGAGACTGAAAAGTTGCCAAGGAACATAATACTGTTTATGCAAAATGCATGAACTTGTACCTTACAAATTATAGAAAAGTATTTAACTTTATTTCTGAAATGTAAAACAATTATGTTTGTTGTTTCAGAATTATTACAGAGCATGAAAACATTTTACCTACATTATGTACGTATACGTAATGCTACAAGCAGTACAGCTAGAACTAGGAAGATTGTATCGTCCCCAGGACAGTCAGTTCAGTATGTTCCTATAGCAGTTAATGGTAAATGTCTGTTTAAATGTCATTATGCATGTAAGGACCTCTGCGGGCGAGTGGTTTATGTCCCAGACTTTAATCATTTAACTGTCACGGTTCCGGGTTCGAGTTTAGTTCAGAGATTACAGATATTTTTATGTGAGGGAGCTTTCTAATCTGTTCACAGAACACTGATGATTTTACTCAGATTCCAATTTGTTCTTGAAATAATGCATAGAGGGGTGCCTGAGATCTTCTTCCCCAGTAAAGGTAGAAAGTTGTCATATGACCTTTACAGTGTTAGTGATACTTAAAACACAACCAGAGATACAGAAATTCATATATATATCATGGCATTAGATGAAAAAGTCTTACCAGTAATGTAGACTTAAATACATGTATTTATATTGTATAAGTTTTATAAATTTTGTTTATATAATTTGAGCCTAAAAGTTTTCAATGTGAATGTGAAAGGCCATGCCATGATATTAATTTGTATCGAACATAAAGATGTTAGGGCTCTATAAACATTTTAAAGAGGACATGAGTAAGACTTGAATAATTATGTTTTATTGCAGGATTAACTACAGTAGACACAAGCAGTATTGATGATATAGATGACTCGAGTGTAGCATACGAAGTTCTCCAAGAACTCCCCAACAATGGCGGATCGTTTATTATAACTCAGTCTGGAGTTACCCAATCTTTACAGACTTCATTGTCTGAGCATATTATTGTGCAGACTGTACCATCCTCGGAGGTGAATATTAACGGACCTTGATGTTTTTTATGACTCAGAAAGCTCAAAAATGAACAGCTTATTACTGGACAGTATTTTTGGATTTATGCAGCACTTTTACGTGATATCAAATTTCAAAAAGTCAGTTTTGACCTCTTGAAAAAAGCAATTCTCAATAATTTTTATATTCTATTCCTTTACCTTATATCTTTTCATCCGGGAATGGATGTGTACATGTACACCATTTGATTCTACTATTGCAGTACTAATGATATATTTGTACTTCATAACTTTGATGATTTTCAAAATTTGAAGTTACATTGTATTTTTTTTGAGGATTTAGAAGAAAATTGTCTGTTGTCACACACATTTTCATAGGGTGTCACAGTGTATTGGTTGTTTCAAAAGAAAAGAAAAAAAACACCACAAATTTTAATCTCACATAAAATAAGAGAGAAAGGGAGACACAGGCAAATAATTCATTTCTTCGTTTTGAATTTTTCATTCATTAATCTGTAAATGTCCTCAAAATAAATACATAAGGCAGCCACAGGAACAAAACTTTTCTCCTTATAAAGAATAAAATTGTGGTTTCCTAACTTGACACACGTAGGTCAGGTTAGAGCCTTAACATTTCACATTAGTTGTCACAGTGAACTCTGGAAACCTGAAAGAACATGTCATATGAATGAATTAGGTTTGTTTATATCATACAATATCCACAATATCTATTATTGTAACTTCCATGGTTTGTTCAAGTCACATGATTAGTTTTAAACCTACTTGGTGATTCTGTGGGCGGCTTAATTTCATTCAACCAACATATATAGATATATTTATGTTTCAAACCCAAAATATATAGAATTTATACAGAAATTCATGTGGGGACTTTTACAAATGACATTTAAGCATGATTTGAGTACATGAGGTAATTTTGATATTTTTGTCATTAATTTTCCCGAGTATCCCTTTAAATGTAAACTGACTAAGGATCACTTTTGTAAGGAATGGGAAATTTTGCTTATGATAACTGTACACACATGCCTTGACTATGATAAATCAAGTTTTGACAAGTGTATCAAAAAATTGAATTATTTGCGTGATCTTTTAAAGCATTGTGTTTATTTGCTGTTAGCTGGAGTCAGGAATTCAAAGACGGATTCTTTCTGATGCATTTGTGTTTTGTAAGAACACATTTATTAGTATCCACCATACTTACATTTTCTCCTTTGTTGATATTAGTTTCTACTAATTTCTGATGTAGTTTAAAACTGAAACTTTTTTGATTAATAGGCAAAACTTCACTTAATCTTCTGATTAAAATATCATACACAAAATGAATAATGTTTAATAGCATTTATATATTCTTTTCCTCCTTTCAGGTGTCAAACACTGATCTAGAGTTAACAAGTCAGTCTCGTGTTGTTATACGTGTGCCGTCTGCCTCAGATCTTAGCGAGACTGCTCTAGAAACAACAGATCTTGGTACAACTATACAGCTTCCAGAAACAATAAGTCACAGTCAGCAGGGTTAGTGTGCTAGCTCTTAGCTGAACTTTTCCTTAATGAATGGGGCATGATTTGAAATAATACTAAGTTTTGACAATAGTTTTGTTAGCTCGACTTTTCTATGAAAAGGGGAGCTATCCTACTCGCCCCGGCGTCGGCGTCGGCGTTAGCGTTGGCGTCACACCTTGGTTAAGTTTTTCGTACCACCCCACTTTATTTCAGAAGTATTACAAGTATGGCTTTGAAACTTACCATACTTGTTCACCATCATAACCTCCATCTACAGACAAGAGTACATAACTCTGTCAAGGTTTTTGACAGAATTATGGCCCTTTTTTGACTTAGAAAGTGTATTGAGCTTGGTTAAAGTTTTTTGTACCACCTCACTTTATTTCAAAACCATTGGAGGTATTGCTTTGAAACTGACCATACTTGTTTACCATCACGACCTTCATCAACAGACAAGAGGACATAACTCTGTCAAGGTTTTTGAACAGAATTATGCCCCTTTTTGACTTAGAAAATACATTGAATATGGGTAAAATCCACTTATTGCCTTAACCCTTTGAGATATTGCCTTTGAAACTTTTAATGCTATTTCACATCATTACCCCCATCTGTACGCAAGAGAAGGTAACTCTGTCAAGGATTTGTTTTAAAAATTAAGGCCTTTTATCGACTTAGAATCTTGGTTAAGTTTTTAGTACCAGTCCACTTTTTTGACTGAACTGTTTGAGATATTAATTTGAAAGTTGGAATACTTGTTTACAATCATGATTCCCAAACATGTCCAGGAGAAGGTAATTCTGTCAAAGATTTTATTTGAATTATGGCCCTTAACTGTCAATGTTTTGTATTATAGGCAAGCACTAAAAAACTTAAAAAATCTAAAAAAATTCATTCCTATCCACTTGTTCACTTTACCATAAATTATGTCATATAAACATTGCTGTAATATTCAAGGGTATCAAACAACTAGTTCACTTTAAAAATACAGAGATTCTTGTATTGCCTTTTACTGCAAAAACTTTTTTTATTGGCAAGCAATAAAAAAGTCGAGCGCGCTGTCTTACGGACAGCTCTTGTATATTTATCTGTTTAAATATGTCAGCAATAAGAGGGAGTAAATACTGTGGATAAATTTACTGTTTGCGCAAATATTTTGAGAATAGCAAATTTTCAAAATGTTGATTTACATTCCAATACTTAAGATTGTTTGCTGCATAAATAATGAGGGAAATTTCCAGTGTCAGGGATTTTGTGAGGAACAAAGAATTGTAAAGTGAATGCATTTGTACTGTACAGGAAGGGAATAATAATGGCTAGTGGGTTGTTATGAAATATATTGAAGACTTAAGACCCTCTTTGTTTACATAAGATTAACTAATAATTTAAGAATATAAAATGTAGACCTTGTGACCTTGTCTTATGAGTTGGAAAGTAGATACAATACTCATAAATAGTTTCACAGTTATATATTAACGGCACCTGTTAATTGTTCATGTCATTCATTCTATGATACATGTGATTTATAATGATTTTGTTGCAGATTTGGAGAGTCTCACTGAAGAGCATGTGATATCCACACCTGTGTCCCTAGCTGTTGATTCAACATTCCCTTCTCATGTAAGAATTGTTGTACAATCAAACCTGTTCGTGATGACCACTCTGTAAAGAACTATATTTGATCTTTTGCTTTGAGTCACAGGATAAATGCATAGTACAAGCTGACACTATAAAAGGATAAATTTTGAGTTTTTAAGGAGACAGTGTCTCCTGACCAATGGTCTCAAACAAAGGTTTCACTGTAGATGTTAGTACTTGAGGAATTTGTCAAAAAGAATTTGTGCATGTTTTATGGTGTTTGATTGTTTATCTGGTTTAGTTTAGCATATTCTAAGGATGGAGTGAGGCCAGCTGGAATTTGAAAAGTTCATTAAAGAAGCTTTAAAAAGTTCAGGTTTTTATGCCCCCACAAAGTGGAAGCATATAGCGTTGCACTTGTCCGTCCGTCCGTCCCAAAATCTTGTGAATGCAACTCCTCTTAAACAGGATGGCAGATTTTGCTTAAACTTCCAGGGATGAACAACCTTGATGTGTAGATGGTAGGAAAGGAAGGACTTTTTGCTGCGACCAAATTTAACAGAAATATGGCCCTTTGTTGATTTTTTCACTATATAATATGTACTATGAAATTTTGTGAACGCAACTCCTCTTAAACCGGATGGCAGATTTTGCTTAAACTTCCAGGGATGAACAACCTTAATGTGTAGATGGTAGTAAAGGAAGGACTTTTTGCTGCGACCAAATTTAACAGAATTATGACCCTTTGTTGATTTTTAGTTTTCAACTTGTGGCACATGTAGTCCAAAAAATATTTGACCTAGAGTCATAAGATTGACAGAACAGTGGCGTGTGGGGGCATCCGTGTCCTATGGACACATTTCTAGTTTATTTCAGAGTTTCCATATTTTGCTTAGTGTGAGATTTAGCTATATACATTTTATGTGAACATCAAAGCATATATGACTAAAGTAAATTTATCATAAATTCCTACTTTGAATCATAATGTTTTCTGCTAGGTGTAATATACATAATAATAAATTATGCATATGACTATTTCAGGGCCTTGAAGAGGCAGTGATATCTAGTCCAGGTGATGTAGTCATCGATATTAAACAGGAATCATATTCTCAGTCAGTCAGTAACAATGGTCAACTGATGACATCATTCTCAGGTAGGAACATGGCTTATAAATGTATTTTATGTTCGCATATATCTCCGTATGATAAAAAGTTAAGTTTTGTAAAAAGCAGTTTCTTGGAAAATAAAGTTTTATATCTGATGCTATGATCACAGTAGTGCCTACTTCTGCATATGATGATATATGAAAGAAGCAAATCTATGGTCTTGTCTGTATAGCTTGTTATGCAAATCTATGGTCTGTATAGCTTATAATACAAATCTAAGGTCCTTAGACATTACATAAATCTATGACCCGTAGACCTCAAACAAATCTATAGTCTGTAGACTATACGCAAATCTATGGGCAATAGTTTAATAAATCCAATCTTGTGAAAAGCTATGCAGACCCTGTACTTGTATGTATAAGCATTAACTTGTTATATTTTTTGTAAAACATTTAAAGATATCCTCAGTCCTGCACCCCTCATCACAAGCCCAACAACCCACATCACCAGTCCCACATCCCTAATCACCAGTCCCACACCCCTCATCACAAGCCCCACATACCTCATCACTATCCACATACCACCAGCCCCTCATTACCCATTCCACAACATATTACCAGTCACATACCTTCATCACTATCCCCATACCCCAATCACCAGAGCAACAGTCCAATACCCCCACCACCAACATCATACCTTCCACCATAAGACCCACAACCATCAGCTCAAGCCTTATACCTTGTACTACCATAAATCTCTAGATTGTGTTCAATAAATTATTAAGTAAGAAAATTACATTTTAGATCCTATGTTGAACTCAGACAGTATAAGCCTGATGGGATCAGCATCTGATGTAGAGACTGAGCTTGTACAGATGACATCATAGGAGTATACAGCTTGTGACATCATTAGATGACATCATAGGAGTAGAGTATACAGCTTGTGACATCATACAGCTTGTGACATCATAGGAGTAGAGTATACAGCTTGTGACATCATACAGCTTGTGACATCATATGAGTAGAGTATACAGCTTGTGACATCATTAGATGACATCATAGGAGTAGAGTATACAGCTTGTGACATCATACAGCTTGTGACATCATAGGAGTAGAGTATACAGCTTGTGACATCATACAGCTTGTGACATCATAGGAGTAGAGTATACAGCTTGTGACATCATACAGCTTGTGACATCATAGGAGTAGAGTATACAGCTTGTGACATCATACAGCTTGTGACATCATATGAGTAGAGTATACAATGGAGTAGATAACTTGTGACTTCATTACAAGACTGGTTTTCTTTTCATCTTGAAAAATGTAACTCGGCATAAATTATGAATAATTTATCTAGTCATTTAGATAGAAATGAATGTATAGACAGTCAATTGGTATTGTTTAGTAAGTTATTCATAAAAATAGTGAAATTGATCTGAAACTCAAAGTGCTTTTGTTTTACAAATTTATTCAAATATACATTTTGTGTATATGAAAGATTTGATGAACATAAACCTGAGGTCATTGGTCTCTAACTGCTGATCAGAAATAACTGGTTAGTTATCCAGTGTCGGATAGGTGAACCAACCCCCAAGATAAGAGCAAAAAAAGGTTAAAATAGGGATTGAAACCAACAGAACAAACAAACTAACATTAATAAGTGAAAAAATTTCGTTCACTTAGGCAGTATTTTGAAAAATTTCAAAGGAGAATTATATTTTATATGCACCATTTTCTGTATTACTGGTATGTGTTGACATTTTATTGTGCATGTGATTCTCAACACTGCATTATTGTTTATTTTTTATAACAGGAAATATTTAATGTTAATATTAATGTCATTTTCAACATTGTTTTGAAACTATGTTTTGTATTGTAACTTGAATTTTTCGTAATTTTTATGCTTCCAAATGGAATATACATGTATAGTTGACAGTTTGACCTTTTTTCCATCACATTTATTTGACCTTTCCTCAGATCACCATTATTTATTAATTGTTATATTACATTATTGTTGTGTTAGTGCATTCCTTTATCATCGGTTGGAATTTCAGTTTGATAGGGTCAAGGTCACTGTGGCTAAAAATAGATTTTTCTGCTGTCGTCAAGGCAACACCAGGGAGCATCCATATCTGTTGTCAGTACTCTTGTTTTCATCATGTTTGATTTTTATTGATTGATAAAAGAAAAAAATGAAACTATTGTTCTGTATTCATTAGCACGTGGGGATCCTTCACATTAATATGCAATGACTTGCTTAGTTTATTAGTCCCCTACCGTTTTAACCGGAGGGGACTTTAGGTTTACCCTCCGTCCGTCTGTCCGTCTGTCTGTCTGTCCGTCTGTCTGTCTGTCAGTCCGTCAGTCCGTCCGTCCACAAAACTGGATCCCGCGATAACGCAAAAAGTACTGAAAATATTTTTATGAAACTTGATATATGGATAGATGGCAGTATGGAGATTATGCACGTCTTTTTTTTTTCTTCCTATGTTGAAAATTCTGGTTGCTATGGCAACAAATAGTCTGAAAATATGGCAAATTTAACACATAAACTGGATCCAGTGATAACTCAAAAAGTACTGAAAATATTTTTACGAAACTTGAAATATGGGTAGATGGCAGTCTGGAGATTATGCACATCTTTTTATTTTCTTCCTATGTTGAAAATTCTGGTTGCTATGGCAACAAATAGCCTGAATTTCAAGATTTCTGATTTAAATTTTTCAGCTTTTTCACTATATGTTCTTTATTTCTTAAGGTGTTTACTTCAAACTTTAAATATAAGTTCCTGGTCATCAACCACATCATATGTGACAAGGTTTATAACTCTAGCACAAAAAATATTAATATTACCTCCCTTGAACTTAGATTTTTTAGGGGAAAAAAATGTTGTCTTTTTTAAATAACTTCTTTATTTCCTAATGTATCTACTTCAAACTTCATATATATGTTTCTTATTATCACTCGACATTTTTGAGAAGGTTAAATACTCTAGCAAGACTATTTCCAGAATTATGTCCCCCTTGAACTTAGATTTTTTTCGAGAAACTGGTATTTTCCCTCCAACTTCTTCATTCCTTATAGGATTTACTTTAAAATCCCACATCGTAATAATATGACAAGGTTGTATAAACATAATTTCCTTACTAAGCATGGAAACTTAACACATTACTGTGATATAAACAAACTTATTTTATTATGTTTTGTGGTCGATATTTTCAAATACAGACTTCATCCTCAAATTCATTATAAATGGCAATACACAGGAGTGTATGACAATTAAAGAACTTTTTGAGGGACCGGTAGGGGACTACTGTATTGCCCGCAATACTATCAAATGCTTGTTTAATATGATATTATGTATTATAATTCTTGTATCTTTTTTGAGGTACCATAAGTGTTATTGTTACTGTATTGTTAAACTGTGAAATTTGTGTTTAAAAAACAAGTTGAATAATAAAAAAATCTGTGATAGCTGTGTTTCTTTGTTTATTACTTTGATCATTTTTTCTCAGGGTATTAAAGGCCCTGATTTTTTTATTGATGACCCAATTAGCTGCAAGCATTTAAGATGGCATTAAAAGAACTCCATTGAGCATAAAAACATGAAATTTGAAAATCTTACAAATCAATTAAATCACTTAAAAGGGAAAAATCTGCAAATGATAAGAAAGAAGTATACTCGGAATCAAATTGAAAATCAATTTTATATGCAATCATTAGCCGAATTTGAGAGAGAAAAGTCTTGCAACGCTTTTCATTTTTGGACTAGTTTTCACAATAAAAATTATTATTCTGCAAAAATAGGATGAGGAAATGAGCTAAAGATTTGCAAGACGTACACGCAAAAAAAAGTGTTGTGGAAAAAAAAGAGTCGGAGAGTTCAACAAGCAAGCCAATGTAAAAATTCCGGGAAAACGACAAAATCGTTTGATATATAAAATGGGTAATGATAATGTAACATTGAAATGCAATAATTTTCAGTTAGTGCACATTAATTTTAGTTCACATTTTCAAGCTTTTAGAATAGAAATGACAGAAAATGCCACATATAAACGTAATTATGATAACTTAAACTAGTGACAGAATCCGTCAGTGCCAATGAATATTTTCATTATGTCACTTTATAGCCATAGAGATCATAATTTTGGAACTTTATGAAATCTAAGGATGATACACTAAAGCACCAGTCAAATGTCCCAGCACCAGTCAAATGTCCCAGCTCCAGCGCGATGTGGGGGCAGGGACTTTCCCGACTGTTCGCGTAGGACCGGGCCTTCACCAGGGTTTACAGTCCCCGATAGTCCCTTCATCGGGGATGGAGTGCTCTCTAACCTGATACTAAATGTTCGTTTTTGTTAAGGATGTGAATTAGGCAGCCTACTTTCAAATAGTCATGTGCAGCATCTATTCTTCAGTCACGTTGGTTTGCATACACTGCACGAAAGATTCGTGTAAACTACCGGTACAATCGTGTTATGCATACCGGTCCCCGTACCCACAGCTAAACGGGGGATAGTGGGTGAAAAAAAACCATGTTTTTTACTTTGCGTGAGTCCCCGAACTGACTGGTCAATGCGTAGGATATGTTAGTACAAAAAAATAGAGGGTGAAAAATAGAGGATGAGACTCAGTGCGGGGACATTTAACGGTGACTTTATTATCTAAATGACAGGGCCTTTAAAATGGGTTTGGTAAGTCTACGTTAAACCCCGGTGGTTAGAGGCTGGAATGCAATGCACGGACACTTTGATAGCCGGTGTGTTCCTGAAATACCAAGGACCTGTATTTATATTATTCTTTTCAAAATCAGCAGAACTTTTGCATGAAAATAAAAAATAATTTCTTATTTTTAATAAAAAAAACACCCACAAATAATGGCTAATCTGTGGTCTTAGCAGAGACGTTGAAATACTATATATGTCTCTAGCCTTAGCGTACACAGATTATTTTACACGCCCACGCATGTTTTAGTATATTATTCTGTATTTCAATTTTTCAAACACTCGGTTAGTCGTCAACTTGAATCAAATATAAATATTTTTTTTAAAATGCCTCGAACAGACGATGACGGAGCTTTTAGCAAAGAATTTCTAGGAACAATAAGAAGATCAAATAGAACGCAAGTTGAACGACAATCAAAGAGCCTATGTAAGGTATGTAAAAAGTCGTCTGCTTTAAATCAGTTTTTCAGAATAAGTTTTAATATGGTTTAAGAATGTTTGATATTACAGTAATCTTATGAAGGTAAACAAAGTGTAGATTTTCGACGTACATTGGTGATCGAAGCGTAAAGTTTTATTTATGTTATTTTACTACACTAAAATTAGTTTTACGTATGAAACATATATATGGGACTTAAAATGACGTATGTCCCAGATGAAACACAAATATATTTCAAAGATAGCCTACAGCCAAAAACCCTTTATGAGTTACACCGTGGAATTGTTTAAATGTTTGCTTTTACCTGAGACTTAAAATCCTAAATTTCCCAGAGTATTATTACCACTGGGCTTTTGTCCCAGGCACAGAGATATATAATCTGTATTTAAAGTCCGAGGATTAATTTAGGCTACACATTTCATGATGTAAATGTGTGATTAAAGTCATTAATTTTTAATAAATGCCTTATATATATCGTAATACAAGATAATTAAGTTATGTTAAGTTGGGATTCGTTAAGTATAAGATATTAGTATAAGCCGACAACAATATGATAAAAACCTCATTCGTAATTGCTTTAGCTTCCGCATTAGGATCGAGGCTGTCAAAATCACAAGTTTTTCCAAAACATTGAGTTTTGTTCTGTTTAATTAAAATATCTGTAGAGTTAAACTTATTTGTTCATTATAAAATATTTAAGTAGATCTAATTTAATGTAGAAAACGTAAATGCAGCTGATATTACATACATAAAAATCAAATACATTGAATTAGGAAAAAAAAATAACACCGACTGAGTCAGTCGGGCATTTGAAACTGAAAGTTAAAACGGAAAATTTGATATACCAAGCTAGCTTTCAGATGAGGTAAATATGGCATCAAGGAAAGACTATGACGATCCAGCTTCGCGACCCTTGTTTGGGGAAACTCACCCGCAGGTATACATGTTAGTCGAGTTAGTTAGTGGAGTTGGTCATATATTTAATGAAAGTAGGGAAAGCCTATGAATGGGGAAGTAAGATAAAAAAAATTTCGTCACCTTCTTATTATACATTTTTGTTTTAAAGGTGTCATCCGGTTTCATGCACTGCTTACATTTTCAATCGGAACACCTCGACGATTATTCATAAGCCGAAAATTTGAGATTGTTCCATTATTGAAATACCCTGCCAATTATCATTGAGTTACATTAAAAAAAACTAGGCAACTTCTCTTATTCTACTACGTCACATCTAAGGATCAAGGCTGATGGAAGTGGCCCATATTTACAATTATTTCCCTAACTAAGAACCCCCTCTTTGTTTGAAAGGACTGTGAAATTTTACAAGAGGACATTAACAAGTTAGGGCAGTGGGAAACTACTTGGGGTATGAGGTTTCAACTGGTAAAATGCAACATGATGACTCTAACTAGAAAAAGGAAAATAATTTCCTACAACTATACATTACAAAGGACAAACTGGAATTTCTACAATCTATTAAATATCTTGGTGTTCATATAAGAAGTAACTTGCACTGGGGAAAACATGTGGAAGAAATCTGTAACAAAGCATACAAAACTCTTGGACTTTTGAAAAGAAATCTATCAACTCGTCCGCTAGAAGTAAAATTACAAGCATATAAAGGACTTATTAGACCAGTTTTAGAAAATTGTAGTGCAGCTTGGGACCCGCATCAACTTTATCTACAAGAAAAATTAGAAAGTGTTCAAAAGAGAGCAGTTAGATTTATAACATCAAATTATAACTATGATCCTGGTATTATGTCAACACTTTTGAAAGAACTAAATTGACCATCCCTTAAAGATCAAAGACAACAAAATAGACTCATATTAATGAATAAAGGTGTAAACAAACAAGCACATATAAACATAAACATTTTACAACGTAGTAAAAAATCTACCAAGAACCAACATAGTCAACATTTCCTACGTATCCAGTAGCATACTGATGAGTTAAAGTATAGTTTTTCCCCAAATACTGTGAAAGAATGGAACTCTTTACCTCCAGACATTTTAAATAATAATGAAAACACCCTAAAGGACACATCCAGTTCATTCGCAAAAATCATTAGAGAGGGTATCATGTTGCCCTAAGCCGCTTGATAATTGCAATGACCGGTGTAACCAATATGTCTATGACGTCACACCGTATACATATCAAGATCAAGCCTATTACAGTGCAAATCTAGTGCAGCACTTCACATTACCTTCCTTGTCTATGAGCAAAGTTCAGCTTCCAACAGATTAAAGCGTCTGCTTATACCAATGGTCATGCCTATGTATACCTGTTAATCACTACATTATTGATCTGTAAAATCAGATAGACATCTTGTTATTAATTTTGTCTTAAACCTTAACATAACTTCTTTTTTTCAGACAATATTCATTGTAATTATTTTTATGCTTGTTTTTTAGAAAAGCAAAGGGTATCTAAGTAACTAACATTCAGTCTCGAATAATAGTTACAACATATAATTGTTTATTATAATATGTCACACAAGTAATCAAGACATACTCTTATTTCTTCTTCAGGACAGAATTTGTAACCTTGTGGTGGCAACATTTACTGGGATTCTTGTAGCAGTAAGTATTAAGAAGAAGTGGGTTACTTAATTTTTGTTTTTAACATACAGTTTATATGTGTACAATCGATTATGAATATGAATGGCATACACTTTAAACATTGTGATACCACTCTCATCACATATCATTTTGAAAAACCAAATCTGTCTGATTGTTTTCTGATGTATGCTATGTTTGTTATAAGTTTAATTTTACTTAAATCTTAACCTGCTGTCTTCCTGATTTTCCCAGCTTTGAAATTAGAATAGTCGATTGAAAGTTAAAGGGATTTCAATATCGTAACACCAATATCATAAAACCAAAATTGAGCTACCAACAGTATAGAGCCATGTCAGACTACACAGTTTAGCAAACTGTTGTGTAGGGCTCCCACGTTTACAATTTTTTGAAAACGTTTACTCGATTGCTAAGAAACGAAACGATACCGTTTAAACGGTGGTACTTCTATGTACTATACTACACCATGTATTCGAGTCGCCAAAAGATGACTTACTTTCTATTTTAAATACAAGTACAAGTAAATAATGTTCAGGGCTCATTACTATTGAGTCGGCACACATTTTCTGCATTGTATCCCAATTTGGCTATTTGAAAGATCAAAGGAAAATCAACTTTACCAAAAATGCATTATGTCATGAGCAGTTATTGCATGGTGATATATACTGTGTTGTAAACACCCATTTTTTACTTTGGAATAAACCAATTAGAAAAGATAAAATCCATTATAACGGGCAATGATTAAGATACTTTGTAAGACAATATTGTCATTTCAATTAAACGGTAAAACATATTGTAACCGTTTACGATTGAAAATCGAAACAAATCCGTTTAAACGTGTAACCGTGGGGGCCTTAATGTTGTGGCTCTTTATTGGTGGCAAAGGTTAATCACCTTTAGTTTCGGCCTGTTAAGGGTTAAAAGATAATTACTGAATTATTAATTTGTATTTCAGGTGACATTAGTCAGTGCGTTTATTTTCCCTAAGTTCCCACCGAATGGTGTCAATGTATTCTTTGCAGTGGTCATGTTGTTTGTAGGTCTGGCGCATTTATTATTGGTTAGTTATTTCATATTTTATAAGTTTCAAAAAAATGGTTTAAATAGTAATACATGTAATTACACTTCATTATTATACACAGCTTTTCCTTTTTGATTATACTTATTTTTAATGCACTATGCCACTCTTGAAAGAAGCCGGGCTACATGTCAGCACACCAGCCATGTCTGAACTGACTAACTTTTTTGGATTTAGCTCAATACAGGATTGGAGCAGTACCTCTAGACGCTTGCAGAAATCATGATCACAAAATAGACAAATATCGTTTTTTTCGCTGATTTTTACATTTTTCATGCATTATCATACATAAATCAGTGTGAAAAGATGAATTAGACCTATTAAAGTTCATTCCGTTGCGTAAAAAAGCAAGATTTTGGCATTTTACGATTCAAGCGCCTTGCCCGGTATATACCGGAATACGGTATTTAGTTTGGTGCGCCAATCCTGTTTTTAGTCTCACTCAACTTTTTTGTTGCTTGTATTAGGAAATGTTGATACTGAAATCATTTCAAAATAAGAAGGTAAAGAATTTAAAGCAGGATGGTTGTTACATAAATTGAACATGGTTAAATCCATAAAAAAATACCATTCTATAAATAGTAATGGAGTATATGTCTATTTTTCGTTAATTTCATGCAATTTATCATTACATTATTTCTTTCCAGATATACTGGTACAGACAAGGGGATTTGGAGCCAAAGTTTTTACGGTTGATATTTTACAATGCATTTACTATGATTTTACTATGCATCGCTGGAAATCTCTATATACATAAAGTATGAAAAAAAGGTGATGCCGACATGAAACCATGGCATCTCAATAAAATTTGAAATAAAAAACAAAACAAAAAAACGTTTGTGAACTTTGAAAAATAGAAATATAATAACTATTGTAATGTTACATCAAATAATAGTGTTATTATTATTTGGCTTAAAAAAGCAAAGCAGTGAACTGGTAGCAGCTCTTTATAGGCTTTTTTTGATGTCAATCATGATACAAAGGGTGGTTACTGTGTCATTACCAAGAAATTTGTTGTCACGGTAATGCAGAACAAAGACTGTGATACAAGATGCATTATTTTAAATCATTTAAATCAGTGTTCATTTTAAATATAAACCATTATTTTGTTTTTATCATCTTTATAGTTTTATTATACATGTATATGAAAAAAAAATCTGACAATGTGTCCTGTCCAAGATTTTGTTGATATTTTGGTAAATTTTATAGTCTTCTGATATGTTAAGTAAGAGATATTTGAGCCGTGTCATGACAAAACCATTATGATGCGTTTGCGACCAGCATGGATCCAGACCAGCCTGGGCATCCGCGCAGTCTGATCAGGATTCATGCTGTTCGCTTATCAACTCTATTACAAGTAGAGAAACTGATAGCGAACAGCATGGATCCAGACCAGCCTGCGTCAGGGCAGTCTGATCAGGATCCATGCTGTTCGCTTATCAACTCTATTACAAGTAAAGAAACTGATAGCGAACAGCATGGATCCTGATCAGACTGCGCTGATGCCATTATGTTGGTTTTGTCGTGACACGGCTCATTTAGACAACAGCTAAACTTAAACTACCATGACAAACCATAGTAGTATAGTTAAAGAGAGAAAAAACATCAACATTAAAGTACCATGCCTCCAGATTTTATTTCAATTTTTATGAAAACTTAAAATTTGTTTTGTTGGCAAGAGTATAAAATAAGAAATGTAGCCGAGCCAAAGGCACTTACTACACATAGAAATGCCCAGAAGTTGTCAAAATATACAAAAATTTCTCTTACTTTATCAAGGTGTAACATTTTGGTGGTAAAAATAAATTCTTTCATATTTTTATGTAATACAATTATAATTTTGCAGTGATTGTTAATATTATTTAAAACATGTCTTAAACTACTTATCAATTTTTCTTTTTTCTTCAGATTGTGTTTTTGTTTGTTTGTTGTTTTTTACTCATCTGGAGGCATGCCACTTTAAGCAATACAGAATTGTGTTAATAGTTAGTGATATAAAGTTACATCATGACCTAGATATTATTTTATATTTCACTGGTTTGAAATATTTCATCTTGTGCTTTTTACTTACATTTTTGTGAGCAGGTGTGACTTATTTTCTCTGTTACAGGATAAAGAGCAATGTTATATTTATTCTATTTTAAATTTTTTGCACTTTTGTAAGATTTGGTTGAATGTTAGAGTTCATTTATTAATTTATCTATCAAAGAATGAGATTTAACTTTCAGTTATAAATATTTGGGTCAAAAGTTGGGCTTACTGAGCAATTTGCACTGTAAAATGGGTTTTTTTTTAAGCCCAAGAGATGCATGTATTCTTCCAGTCTTACTGCCTGGCTAGTGATAATATCGACCCCTGATCTTGAATCTGTTGACTTAAACTGTCTTTTTAAAGAATAATTTCAATAACTTCTTTCCAATGTGTAGATATTACTGGAACTTTGCATGGATAAGTAGTTTTTGCAGTTTATGATATATTTTTTTTTGTATAAATTATATATAAAAATATGTACAAGTTAGTTGTTAATTAGTTAAATATCTGAAACAATAGACTGAATATTTGGATTAACTTGTGATCTTTACTCATATTTTATATTGTGGTATTGTAAGAGGGGATGCTTAAACCAGATTCTGGGGAGTCTGTGATTCCCAGATACTGTTATACAAAACATGATTGTTTACATTATAAAGATAAAAGAAAAAATATTTGTCTGAGCAGTGTTTATGGGCTTTTTAACACCGGTTTGGAGTTTTGATGCTTATTATGCTTATTTAAATATACAGCCCATTTGTTTACTATGAAATAGTAGGTAATTTTTAATTCCTTCTACATTTCATAGATATTCAGTAGCATTTTTATTTAAGCTGACTTTCAACTTTAACCAGTACTTGTGTCATATCATGTAAAATAAAGCTTTGACTTCAAATAGGGTTCAACCTGATATTTCTGTGTGAAGTGGTGTGAACGTTTTTCCTAGTAGGTTACCACTGTTTTGCAATAAAAAAAAAACCCTAGATAAAATTTTAGCATGAAGTTAAGTTGTTTCCGCCGAAATACACATTATTGTACGATATTTAGTGCAAGAACTTAGTAACATAATTTGAGTAATGTTTGTTTATTATAAATGAATTTTATTTATTATAAAGTGAATTAAGACGAGAAAAACAATAGCAAGACACAGTTAGTGATAAATATCATTTAGGTTTTTCGGACAGTTTTATGATGAAAATATGTTGGAACAAAAACTTTTTTTTTCATTAGGTTTAAACATACTTTATTTGTCACATAAGGACATATTTACATACATGACATTTCAATCAGTACAAAAAAGGATTAGTCTGGAAGCGATCTAATGCTTATTGAAGTTTTTCCCCGATGTATAATAAGTAGTAGTACATGACGAGGCAAATAATTTTATCACTTGTTGACGAAGACGACTTTTGTGTTTCATCTAACATTGAAAAATAAGAAAATATTTACTTTGATGATACATTTCTTTGGCATTAAAAAAAATAAGAGACCTACTTATTTTCAGAAACTTTATGTTAATACCACTTATTTCACAATACATTGACAAGGAATTGACCTGGTATTTGTTAAATATTAACCACATATACTATTGACATTGTCCCACTCAAATTGACACTGTGTTAAATTATCAAAGACTCGTATTTGGTTGACATCTTCCTCTTATTTTTATTGACATAGGCTTAACTAAAAAAATTGACCCAGGTCACCAAAGTTGACATTTTCCACTTATTTGGTTGATTTTGATCATTTTAGCTGACATTGTCCACTTATAAACTAGGTTGAATTTGGCCACTCTGGTTGAGGCCTTATGTTAATATTGAAAAAAAAAACATTGACCACAAGTATATTGACATTTCTCATGCTTAGCAGGTATATCTTCATTATTTGTATACAAATTGTGACCCTTTGCATTATTTGTATACAAATTGTGACCCTTTGCATTATTTGTATACAAATTGTGACCTTTCACACCAAGCTTTCAGTGTTTCACTGTTGTAATTGGAAAAGAAAAAAATATTGGCCTTTTTATGTATAGGATATTGAAATTATTTGATTTTATCAAACATGTATCTTATACATGTACCTATACTGTGTAACATTAAACTTGTTGTTCTTTTTATTGTGCAATACATGTATTTTCACAGCAGATTTTGTGTGTATGTTTTAGCTTGTAAGAATATCATCTTTTAGTAAAAAGTGAACAGCGCATGTCATTTTTTTTTACATGTTCACTGTTACATTTAACGCTTACCAGGCATAAATATCTTAAATAGACTTGTCCATATTTCAATTGGATAAAAAACATTCTTTGTTTTAAAGTAAAATTTCAAAATAGGTACAGTCTGAATAGCAAACAGTGCAGACCGTGATCAGGTGACACATAGGTGCTGGCTGATCTTGGACTGCACTGTCGGCACAAGTACAAGTTGCCGCCAGCAGGCTCAAGGTTAAAGATTGTAAAGTAAATTTCAAGGATGACATAATGTGAAAGTCTCATTTAGCATTTCTAGTTTTCCTATAGCTCAGTCAAAATACTCCCTTGAAATAAAAAAAAATTGTTTTGTTATTTAAAGACAAAAGTGCAAGGGGAGCTTATTCTTGTATTTCCCAACAGAGTTGTTGTTCTTGCAATATTTAATACTTGTATATTCCTATTGTTGCCATATTTGTGTAGCACATTTGTAAATTTAGCACCATATATGAGATGGAGATCTAATTATTATTGTAGTGTAAACATGTACACTTTGTATATAAAAGGTTGTTTTATTAAACAAAATGTTTTATTTTCAGTTGCTTTCTCATTATTTATGTTCATATTTCCCATTATGGCTTCCCTTTTATTTTATTATAACTTTCTTTCATATTCCATACAGGAAAGTATTATGTTATGCCTTTGTCTGTCTGTTTATTAGAGATTTCATGTCTTTCCTATATCTTGCTTACTTGCTGAAGAAAGCTTTTGTTAAATAAGGGACAGTGTTATAAAGCATTTAATGAAAAGTTGTAGAGATACTATTGATCATAATTATACTTCTTTCAATGTTAATTTATACATTGCCTTTCCTATTATAATTAATGATATGTGACAGCTCTTGTATACTGTTTGATACTGGTGCTTATAGGAACAGACCCTATCTCATCTTCCATGCAACTGCAGGACAAATTCAACAGAGCAGGTTGACCCCCGTTTTGTTTATATAATGTGTATAAAATCACATCTGCCTTGATTACCTTAAATACAGCATATAGTCCCTGCATTGTCTGTTCGTCACACTCATGAATATATTGACTAACCTGCTGATTTTGTATAATGGATTTGTCCCAATTTGGATCAGTCCATTTAAAGTCTTAAATGATTTCAATAACAAAATACAAGAGCTTTCCCAAAGACTATGCACTCAACTATTAGGAGTACTTGCCAGGAGATGGGGATGATGGTCACCAATGTATTCAGAGATTTATAGCAATATGCCTCAAGGGATATAGGAAATAAGTTGGATAGTATGAAAAACTTAAAAGTTTAAGACAGAAGGCAGCAACAATGCGGTAGTGACAAGGATAGCTCTCCCTATTATATAGATATGTTATTCTTGCATATCAGACAGGATTATCTACCGTTTACACCGGTGCTAGAAAACCCTGTCTTACACCCCCCATGTAAGACAAGTGGCGTGCTTTAAATGATGTCATTGCTGCGCGCCTTTTATGAATGAATTGCGTTCTTAGGATGACGTCACTTAACCTTCATGAATGAAGTTGTACTTTCATACGCTACTATTAGAAAAAAGTGCGAAATGAGAATATCAATTTTCGTAATTTCTGTTCAGAAAAGAATTGATATGCAATATGCAAAAAAAAAAGAATCAAACACCGGCTGTCGGTACAGACGGGAATATCTAGCTCTTGCGTAATTGTTTAGCGGAAACTCGGCAGAGCCTCATTACGGCCGTAAACAGTCACCCTCGAGCTAGATATTCCGGTCTGTACCGGCAGCCGGTGTAAGATTCTTATAGTCATGCTAAAAATTGAGCAGCCAACAGTTTAGAGTCTGGTCAGATTGCATGGATCTCGCACAACAGCAGGTGTCACGTGCTGTGTGGTGTTTGTAAAAAGTTGCCCCGTACTTCACTTCAGTGTTATTATATTTTTCTGGTCCTGCGGGATTATTGATTCCAGCGCTATTAAGTGTTGAAAATTGAGTCCTGCTCCGAGTACTGCTCCAGTTGGTGCTAGGGAGATGTTGTAGTCTTTCATAATCCCTCATGTACACACTTAGATCAAAACGAGTGCAATTTTCATGTAATTTTGTTATGATTAATGCTTCAGAAGCTCACACTTTCTCCAGATTTTTGCCTTGCTCTATACTGGTGGCAAAGGCTAAACACTTTCAGTTATGGTTAACTTAAGAAAGAACAAACGAAGTGTTGTAATATTTGACATTCTGTTTGTATTTTTTATTCTCCATGTACATATATGAGAATGTAGCATGTTTATCATAGTGAAGAGTAACATTATCTAGAGTAAATATCTACAATCATTCTTTCTGTATTCTCTAATGATTATATACATGCTGTGCAAAACAAATTTTATACATGAACATTTAATTAATGGTACTGCTTAACATTGTACAAACCTTAAATCATGTAGACTTACCCAATAAGCTAAACTGATGTATGTTCTCAAAATAATTCACCTCATATCACTTAAATGTATGAAATAATTACTTCATATCATTTAAATTTATGAAACGATATTTTCATGTAACATATAACTACCTTGTATTACTTAAATGGATTGTATCACATAAATGTATCAAATAATTGCCTTGTAGCTCTTGAAATAGCAAATTATTATCTCATATCACTTAAAATTACCAATTAATTATCTCATATCACTTAAAATTACCAATTAGTTATCTCATATCACTTAAAATTACCAAATGATTACCTCATATCACTTTATATTACCAAAATATTACTTTACTTTAGTATGATTACTTTAAGATTATAAAATAATTACTTTGTATTACATACAAGAAGCAGCATGATACCCTCCAGAACTTGTATACTATACTGTATGCAATGAAAATATTATTTTCATAAGTTATGAGCATTAGTATACATAATAATTTGAGCGGCGTCACGACAAAACCAACATAATGGGTTTGCGACCAGCATGGACCTTGATCAGCCTGCGCATCCGCGCAGTCTGATCAGGATCCATGCTGTTCGCTTACCAACCCTATAACAAGTAGAGAAACTGATAGCGACAGCATGGATCCTGATCAGACTGCGCGGATGCACAAGCTGGTCTGGATCCATGCTGGTCGCAAACCCATTATGTTGGTTTTGTCATGACGCGGCTCATTTGTACTACCTTACTTAAAACGATATATATAGAGATTTTATGGTTTGTATTTTGTTAAAAAACATGAACTAAGCTGGTATGAAAGTTACACATTTGTGTATTTTATACAGAAATAACTGTTCTATCGATTAACAACTGTAAAAATATAATAAATATCATCTAAAACATCATATTTTACCAACAGTGTATGATGTATAAAAAGCTTAAAAAGACTGGTATAAAACTTGTTTCCATAATTTTATACACAACAAGATTGCATTTGAGAAAAATGCTATGCCACCGCATTAATACAACACTAAATAGTAGTGTCGGAACAGATTTTCTTTGTTTCTATACAATTTTGAAGATTGTCATAATGCATAGATCCCTGACCTATCTAATTCTTATTATCAGATTAGTGGTTAAATCTGTTGTTTAAACTCAATAAAAGATCAGAGTAGGAATATATCAATGCACTTGAGTCTAGTGAATTTGGTGGTGAAGGTCATATTTCACACAGCCTAAATTTCATGACTACATCAAAGGACAACATAGTAAGACACTTTGTCAAAATCTAGGTCAGCTGAAATCAAAGTTCACTTAACATCTTAATCTGTACACATGGTTCAAATTTCATAGCTGTACATCAAAGGACAAGAAAGAAGGTCACATCATCAAAATCTAGTTCACCTGATATCAAAGTTCAATTTTACAACTAAAACTGTGCACATGGTCAAAATTTCATTGCTGTACATCAAAGGACAAGAAAGTAGGTCACTGTCCCCTTGGGCAAGGCAAAATTTTGGACCCAAGGGTTTAATTCAAAACAATCTTGATACAGGTCCACCAAACAACATTTCAAGTCAAATATCTAAGCTGTAGCTTTCTCCTATTCAGAAAAGATTTGTTTTATTTTCTGTTTTTACTATGTGAACATAATGAGAATCACTGCCCCTGGGCAGGGCCAATTTTAACACTAGGGGCATAATTAAAACAACTTTAGTAGAGAACCCATAGAATATATTATAGAGCAAACATCAAAGCTCTATGCCTTGTACCTTCAGACAAAAATATTTCTTTTTTTTTTTTACTATATGTACATAGTGAAAATCAATGACTCCTGGGGGTGGGGCCAATTTTGACCCCTGGGCTATAATGTGTACAATCTTGCTAGAGGTTCACTACATAATGTTTCATGCCAAATATCTTAACTCTAGCCTTTGTAAATTTAGAGAAGATGATTTTTTAAGTTTTTACTATATACACATAAGGAAAACCTATGGCCCATGGGGCGGGGCTAATTTTGACACAAGACGCAAAATTTGAACAACTTTGGTAGAGTACCTATAGATGATATCATTTAACAAATATTCAAGCTCTAAGCCTTGTACCTTAAGACAATAAGATTTTTTTACTTTTTACTATATGTATATATTGAAAATCAATGACCCCGGGGCAGGGGCAATTTTGACCCCAGGGCTATAATTTGAACAATCTTGCTAGAAGTTCACTTCACAATGTTTCATGCAAAATATCTAACCTCTAGCATTTGCTAGAAGAAATTTTTTTACTATAAAGTTTTTACTATATACATATAAGGAAAACCAATGACCCCCGGGGCAGGGACGATTTTGACCCCAGGGCTATAATTTGAACAATCTGAGTAGAGGTCTACCAGACAATGCCTTATGCAAAATATCTAAGCTCTAGGCCTTTTGGGTCTTTACAAGAAGGTATTTTAAGTTTTTACTATACCGGTATGTACATATAGTGAAAATCAATGACCCCCGGGGCGGGGCCGATTTTGACCCCAGGGCTATAATTTGAACAATCTTGGTAAGGGTCTATCAGACAATGCCTTATGCAAAATATCTAAGCTCTAGGCCTTTTGGGTCTTTACAAGAAGTTATTTTAAGTTTTTACTATATGTACATATAGTGAAAATCAATGACCCCCGGGGCGGGGCCGATTTTGACCCAAGGGTTATAATTTGAATAATCTTGGTAGAGGTCTACCAGAGAATGCCTTATACAAAATATCTAAGCTCTAGGCCTTTTGGGTCTTTACAAGAAGTTATTTTAAGTTTTACTATATGTACATATAGTGAAAATCAATGACCCCCGGGGCGGGGCCGATTTTGACCCCAGGGTTATAATTTGAATAATCTTGATAGAGGTCTACCAGACAATGCCTTATACAAAATATCTAAGCTCTAGGCCTTTTGGGTCTTTACAAGAAGTTATTTTAAGTTTTTACTATATGTACATATAGTGAAAATCAATGACCCCCGGGGCGGGGCCGATTTTGACCCCAGGGTTATAATTTGAACAATCTTGGTAGAGGTCTATCAGACAATGCCTTATGCAAAATATCTAAGCTCTAGGCCTTTTGGGTCTTTACAAGAAGATTTTTTAAATTTATTCTTATAATTCCTATTGGTTGCCATGGCAACCAGATTTCTGCATGGAATGAAATTCTTTGAACAACTTTGGAAGCCCTTCACCCAAGGATCAATCCTGCCAAGTTTGGTTGAAATTGGACAAGTGGTTTTTCACAAGAAGATTTTTTAAGTTCACTATATAATCTATATAACACACACACACACAAACAAACACACACACAGGTGAATCGCTATATGCCACCGCATCGCAGATGCTGCGGTGGCATAAAAATGCTACATTTATTAACTTAAGGTTTAAATGTCAAATCTTGATAGAGCCTTTATTTTATACAAATTTTTTTTTATAATAAAACCTGTTATACAAAAATCAGAAAGTGGTTTATTATTAAACATACCATAAAAATATTAACAAATCTTCAGAGATTTTGCGTATCCAACTTTCTATGAAAATCGGAAGAAGTTTACGTTCAAAATGAAAAATCATGGAGAAAACAATTCATTATATAACAAGTGTATAGCAGCTAATAGTCTTTTAATTTAAAACAAGAATTTCCAAGAGACACAAAAACAAGACACATAAAATTATTTAACTTTTGAGATTGCACTTTTTCTTATATAAAAACATTCTATTTACACTATCTACATCAATCAACACACATACATATTATACATTTCCACATGGCTGTTTATTTTTAGTATAACATTATACTCTTGTTACATAATCAGTTTTTAATGCTTCCACTGCTAAATTTGTGAAATAGACTCATCTGGCTTTGAATTAGGAACTGTCCATTGTTATTTCATAGGGAGTCAATATGTTATTGAGTTAAATTTAAATTAATTAATTAATTGATTGATTAATTAATTAATTAATTAATTAATTAATTAAGGAGCCATCAGTGTACAATCTTAGGACAGGTTGCACAGATGTGGCAGTTGGTTCTGCTCTTTACTATGGCATTATCTAGTTACATGACAGCTAATATTCAAGGGGGATAACTATGAACTGCTAGTATTCAAGGGGGTTAACTATGAAATGCTAGTGTTTAAGGGGGTTAACTATGAACTTATTTTATTCAATGAACTTATTTTATTCAAGGGGTTTAACTATGAACTGCTCAAATTCAAGGGTTGCACAGATGTGGCAGTTGGTTCTGCTCTTTACTATGGCATTATCTAGTTACATGACAGCTAATATTCAAGGGGGATAACTATGAACTGCTAGTATTCAAGGGGGTTAACTATGAAATGCTAGTGTTTAAGGGGGTTAACTATGAACTTATTTTATTCAATGAACTTATTTTATTCAAGGGGTTTAACTATGAACTGCTCAAATTCAAGGGGGGTTAACTAGTGAACAAGTTTTAATACAACATTTTCTGTGCACTGACACGTTAAAATACTTCTTTAGACTTATTATGAGCCCAAAGTTTGGAAAAGTTGATGTACAGTTTAGAATTTTATTTTAAACGAAACAATAGGAGATGTTTGCTACTTTCTCTATCTGTATCAAAGCATTCTAATTTATATTAATAGAAATTTGCCACACAAAAAATGGCTTTAGTGGAAAAATCATGTTCAAAACATGAAAATGTTTACTTGTACATGAGGTATCATTTTATGTTTGTAATATATTATGTTCTGTAAATGAAATTAAAGTACATGACATAACATGTACATTTTCTGACATTTATGTAAAGTATAACACAAAATGTACACTTACTTATATTCATGTATAGTAAACAACCTGTACACTTTACTGAGATTCATTTACATGCAATGTCATGTACACTAACTGATATGATTCATGTACAGTAAATAACATGTAAACTTAGTACTGACATTTCATGTACAGTAAATAACATTTTACACTAACTGACATTCATGTACAGTACACAACATGCACTTACCAATATTCATGTACAGTTAACAACTTGACACTTACTGACATTCATGTACAGAACATGATATTTTTATAATACACAAATATACAAGTTATCAATTGTTATACGATGACATATCTATGCAATGCATAAATTAATTCATAAAACACATTCATGCACAGAAAACGATAATCATCTGTTTAGAACTGCTTCAAAATGATACTTATATAGTACAGAATATTCATAACATTTGAATAGAATAAACAGTATCATTAATTTTATAGTAAATGTTTGTGTCACTTATGAACAAGTTAACATTAAGTAATGATGAATATTTCTAACACTGCTTCTGTTAATTCCAAATAAGCTTTTTGATTATACATTTAATGATAACATGACTAAAACACCTAAATCTATTCAGGGACATTGAAATAAATCTACAATGGTGCTGCACAACAGCCTCTAATTTTTCAAGTGTTTAAACAATAATTATAAAATTAAAGTAGTTCCCAAAATGCAAATTTAAGAATTAAGCGTAAAAATGGATATGCAATATCATATATATTAATATGATCATAAAACAATACGAAAAATAAATGATTGTATGCAAAATCTTTAGTAATGCATATGAACAATTATGCATGTAAATGAATATGCAATATATAATTATGAATATGCAATTTATATGAATATGCATATACCTAATTATGCAAAAAATTAATATGCAAATGAATGATTTTGAATATTGATAATTTTACATATACATTAATATGCAATATAAATTATAATGAATATACATGAATATGCAAAGGAAATGATTATGCATAAACATGGATATGCAATATAAATGATTATGCATATTTATGCATACACATGAAAATACAAAATAATGATTTTGCATATACATGAATATGCAATGTAAATGAAAAGTTGGTGTTGGAACAGACTATACATGGAATTGTGATGTGAAAGTATCATGAATTATAGTTTTATAAACTTGAATCTAAACTAAGTATTTCTGAAGCATTATAAAAATAATAAAGGTATGCAGATCTTTACCCTGTTTTCCATATTTTGATAAAAACTGGGATATACAGATATTGGATGTTATCTATTTTATTCAATGACAGACTAAAATACATACAACTTCTTTGTGCAGATAATATAACATGTATTGATATTGTAAACTATATACTTGACATTCTGACATTAAATAATATTGATAAAAATAATGGTTGAGTAAGAAATAAAATAAATACATCTATGAAATACTGAAAGGTACAACAGTATTTAACCCATTACTTCATGAGCATTTTGTGAAAAATGGCTGTTTTCATTGAAAAGTCTCCCTTTACAAGTTCAAATTGCTATAATACTATAAAAACTGCTTCAACACTAATCAAACTTGGCACAAATGTTGACTGGACCATTGTCCTTGCAACAACATGCTCAGGCTTAAATTTTCTGTTACCATGGCAACGAGGGGACATCTCAAAATTGCCAAAAATCACTATTTTGCGTTGATTTTTTCCATCAAAATTGATTTCAAAGTGCTGCAACTTCTCAATGGATTGAGATAGAGTCAAATGCTTTTCAGCGTTGGTTACACGTTACCTTATGATCAATCTGGGGTCATTTACAGCCTCTCACAAGTCCAAAATTTTCTTGGCGATGAGGGGGACTCCGCCCCCCTTCAAACCCCCCCAAACAGAAGGGGGCACATCCCCCTTCTGGCAACCCCCTGATGTATCTTTTGGTTGGGGGGCCGCGCCGAAAAAAGGGTCATTTTTTTTAACAACATTTCTCAAACAAAAACAAGTGTTTGGGGCCTAAATAAGGCATTTTTTCATCATTTGAGACAACAAAAAGGGGGGGGGGGGTGAAAAAGGCGTTAAAAGGCGTGTATATGAAGTAATGGGTTAATAAGGTATATTGTAAATTGAGTAAGTTTCATGTACACATATCTTATCCATATTGTATCCAAACAATCCATATTGTATCCAAATACATGTATTTTCAAAACTGTGACACAAAGGTTTAAGAAATATCTTTCTGCTAATTTGAAGCTACGTATTAATAATATTCCAATCTTTTGCAACCATATTTTTTTACTTTATCTGTAAATAGTTTGCACATTTTATACTTTGATTTTTTTTCAAAATAGTTTGCACATCTTATACTTTGATTTTTTTTTTCATTAAGTATTATTTCAATACAAGTAAAATATACAATATAGTAAAATTTATGATGAAAATTACACAATTTACAATACAACAGTGATTTTGCAATAAAATGGAAGACATTGAAAAATATATATCTGATCAGATCCCTTTAACAGAAAACAAATCTATTTTGATTTGAGAAACTGTCTATAAGCTTATAACTTCCTACACAATTGGAATTTTAAAGCAACACTTTAGCATATCACTTTGCTTCATGTCTATTTTTAGAACTGGGTTAAATATAGAACCTAGTCAACATAAGTTATGTGTTATTTTGGCAATACTTTTACACACATACTCAAACAATCTTTTCTATGCTTTTTATGGTAAAAGCCTAAAAACAGGCTCTTAAAGGTGTATGAAAGTCCATTACATAAATTTATCAGGGGTGAAAGTTAATTATGCTTTCATTATGCAAATGAAATATTCACAAATGAACAAAAGACATGGCATGTTTCTAACATTAAATTACAAAAAAAATGAAAATTTTATATCTGCTTTTTTATTTTTCATTTGAAGTTTAATAATGAGGTGAGCATATGAAAGATACAAAAATGCAAATAATTTCTAGAACACATATGTATTTTTACAAAACAAATTGCAGTATTCAAAAAACTAAACCATTCTCTCTAATCCTTAAAACTGCCTGAACTTTGCCACCATTTTAGAGCCTGGCCAGTCTGCACAAAGCATCCAGACCTTCTGACCAAGCTCTTTACTGTTGATAACTCAATTTTTGCATTTTGATATTTAAAATCCCTTAAACTTTAAATGGACAGTTCCAAATACAATGTTGAGCACATACATTAAATAAGTTCAGTAGGTTAAGAGCTACATAATTTTAATGGAAGCTTTTTTAATGTCCCTTAAAAACCTATTGAGTACAGTTTTAAAGGGGTGTAGCTTACATAACAATCCATGGGAAGGCGGAGTTTTGATTCTGAAGCTCCTCCCTTTTTTCAAAAAATGTGAATCAACACTTCACAGAACAATTAATACGGCTGTAGAAATATTTTCATTAAGAACACAAAAACAAGTACAGGTTAAAGACAAAATGAATGTCTTCAGGGACCATACATAAGATCTTGTTATAAATTATCAACTTTCTCCTGGCAGATTTAATACCAGCACAGAATATGGCAATTTTATGACTTAAATCAGTATTACCTAATTCCAGTCCTAAATTCATCATTAAACTATTTGTACATAATTCTAGCGTGCTTTTCTATATAACATATTGCACATATGAACTATTTACTGTCCTCTAATGTGAACAATTTAACGTTAACGTAACATTTTGACTAGATCAAATCGTATCAAACTCCTGGAGGAAAATAACTAACATAGCTGTTAAACAGGGTACAAATGAAAAGTTAAAAATAAATACCAATAAAGCAATCACTATTCAAATATAATCTCTATATTTTTAACTGGTTGTTGCAAAAACAAGATGGCCGACTCATATTTGAAAATTTCAATCTTCTATCTTTTAGAAATGGAATAAAAACAACTTTTACATGACAAGTTTAAAATTGCTGTTTTGTTTTTATTAAACATTATCGAGTGCTTGCTTATTAAAGTCTTAATTCAAAAATCTGTACCTCATAGCTTTTAATTTTAGAAAACAAAATTAAGACACATTTTCACTAAAATAACGGGAGAAAAAATTCTATTATGCATCTGAATAAGAAAATGCTTCTAACATAAATAAATGCTGAACTGAACATTACTAAAGAACGCAGTAAACTTTCAAAGTTTACTTAAAACTTGACGGGGACGAGGATTTTGCTGGAACATTGTCCAAGTCGGTTTCTAATCTTCTTGAGAGATCCGGTGACCTAGTTGTCGGTTTCTTCATGACCGGAGGTTTTGCTTTAATTGGAGGTTTAGGTTTTTCCGCAATTGGGGGAGAAAATGAATGCATGTGAGGAGTCTGCATTGATTTTATATGATGCTCCTCTAAGCTAAACTTCCGGCCCGTTGATGGAACAGATGTTGACATAATTTCCTCTTTTTTGAAGTTTTGAAATGTTGACATCATGGGAGCTGTTTTAATAAGATTTGAATCTGAAGTCCTCTGAATGTCACTCGAGTATACCTCGGAACTTGAAATATTCCGTGGCATTGATGACGCTTTCTTCAATGTACCTTGATTTGATTTCGCAAATGTTTCTGCAGCACTAATTGGGCTGTCTCTATCACTCCCATCTTGTGGTGAAGAAGAATTTGACCCCTCAGGGAGATCGAGCACCAAATCTGGAGTATGTTTCGAAGCCGCTTTCGACTTCTGTACAGGTAAACTCATCCTTTTATCAGATGATTGTTGTAGTTCCAACGACCTTACATCTGACATAATCTCGGCCAAAACTGTATCCATACTTGTTATATCGTCAGTTGCACTTGAGCGATTTGATGACTCAGTCTGTCGGTCAGGACTCGACACTTGCCGTTTCAAAATTTCAACACCTTGGCCAAGATTTGATCTCGGCCCCGTGTCGCTTCTGACACTTGATCGACTATCAGATATGCGAGTACTTTCCGTGTACATTGACTGGCTCATAACATGACCAGTGCTTGTGACATTACCGACAATAATAGTTTGTTCATGCTTCTCATTTTCAGAATCTTTTATCTCCGTCTCGAGGATGGGAGGCTTCAAGCACGGTGCTGATTGTGTCGACAAATGGTCTGTGGATTTCGATGTGAGTGAAAGCAAGGAGGATGAAGAAGTACTCTTTGTGTCTTCAGATGAAATACTTTTCTTGTCCTCCGGTCTGGAAGAAAAAAATCAACCAAAATATTAATAGTTTCATCAATTTTAGCTCATATTTTACGGTGAAATAATTTACACATTGTATTACATTTCATTTTTTTGTGATATACTCTGCAAAAGTCTTTGAAAATAAACTCATGCAAATAATTCCCATTCTCTCTACATATAAATAATCATTTGAGTCTTGTCAGTAATTTTCAATGAGCATGTCAAAAATCTATTCCTTAAAATCAATGTGTTCAACAAAATTGTGAATTTTTTTGTACAATAAATATTAATGTCATATAAAAGTTCCCAAATTTTCTAAACAAACCATGACTTAAAATGTTACTATTTTTTCTTCCTCTTTTATATTCATAGAGAAAAGTAACCAAATAATCAAAAACTTACAAGACTGTATGAAATAAAAGTCAGTTGATCTAATATTATAGGTTTATAAATCATTAAAATAACCATCTGGTACTTACTGATGCTTTATGGCAACATAATTCGTCGGAATAAGACCTTCCTTTCCAGCAAATGCCCCTTCCCACCACTCCGTTGATGCCTTTGTATACAGAACTAGATTATCTCCCTTCTTAAATGACAGTTCTCTTTCTGTTCGACCTCTAAAGTCATAGAGTGCAGTTGCCTCGTATACTTCGGTATCTAAATGACAGATATAAGAAAGAGTCAGTAAAATTTGCTATGTCAAAGAAACAACATAACATTTACCCATGGAATCAAAATGTTTATTGATAGCTATTACAGCGATGTGAAGTGTTTCACTTTTGTGAAATTTCAAATTTAGCAATGTACATGAGCACAAACATTCCAGATCAATTCCCCTTCATACATGATAATATGTACAAGTGGGCACCTGGGTAGAACTAGAACCCCTATGTATTTTGTATAAACAGTATCAATTCAATATGAAATTTTCCACTCAAGACAATTATGATATTATAATATTGATATTTATGGCTGAAATGTTTCAAAAAGCATAACAAGTACATGTATCTTCAGAAGGGTCATTGATATGGAATTTCAAAATAAAAGTTCCTGTAAAGTTCACTAACTCTAAACAATGGTTTTACTTTCTATTGTAGCAGAATATACATGGAAGTAAATGTTAACTTATCAATATATAAATGCAGTACAGTCAATCCTATTGTTTAGTTCAATCAATAATGGACAATATCAGAGAAAATTTCCTTACACCCATATACAATGCCTTTTCTAACCTTCACATTTACAATACCATACATAGAACATATATTACACTACGATATATTGGAGGCCAGTCCAAAAACCAAGGTCTCATATTGGTTAATTTCATACATGTGTTTGAAATCAACCATTAAAAGACCGGTCTCTATTCTCTGTAAACTAAACTGCCTCAATCACTTCAAATCAAGATAAAGAAGTTAAATTATTAAAAATAAATTCTTTTCTTTTTTTTTTCTTTTTTTTCATAATGAAAAATCAGTAAATCAGTTAAAAAAAAATCAAAGAAATCCATTCTTACAGGAACAATGTCCACACTAAAACTGAATTAAAGGGCCAAATGGCCTTAAATGCTCACCAGAGTAAATGGAAAATTTGATGAAATCTTCAACAGGTCAGGGCAACATAAGTTTCAGAAGATTTGATGATTTTAAATTCAATGTTAGTCTATGAATAAATATTTTAATTCAATGTATTATAAATCAAAATTACTCCCAGAATATATCTATGTTTGACTCAATTGTTTTGATCTACATGAGTTTTGTGAAAGCCCACCAGACAATGACCCATAATTATGACATAAAATGTATTTAAACTCTAGGCCTTTTTGTTTCTTACAGAAATCTCATGACCTACTTATGCATCACACAAGAACCATTTATAGAAGTTTTTCAGAGAACCACCTAAAGATCACTCCTGTAAAGTTAGTAAATTTCTACCCAATGGTTTAAGATTGGATGTTGTTTACAGAAATTTTGGACAATTACTCTTGCACGATTATGGACATCATGCCATCACAAGAGCTCATGTCTGAGCACTGTGTGCCCAGGTGAGCTAAAAAATGCATGCCTGATAGTCTAAATGAAAATGATCCAACAGGAAAAACAAAATTTCTACGATAAAATGGTAAACTATTAAACATTCTGACCCAGTTGTTCAAAGCTTAAGATATTAAAGTACGACTCCATCACTAAATTAGTACAGTACTTAGTTTGAACAACTGCGCCTTTGACATAAATCAGAAAACATTTCACGTTAAGATATAAATTATTTTCTTTTTACAAATTAGTCTAAAGCATTAGCATAATCTACAACTGAAAAAGCATCATCTTTACAACTTCTGACTAGAAGAAAAATAATTAAAACACTGAACATTAGAGACAAAACATTCTTGGGTAAGAGGTAATCTTCTTATATAAGGCAACCTCAAGTTCACTGGTATTAAAGAATCTAGGGCATTTGCCCACCAGGACATTTGCCTCCCCCCACTTTTCCCCCACATTCTAAAAATACATCATTGGACATTTGCATTTCAGTGGAAATGTAAACCCCCAAGTTTAGTCATTTGCTAAATGTATGTCAAATGCAATTTTAAGCTTATGTTTCAAGTAATGATGCAATACACACATTATTATTGAAATAAATGTATGGGGAGCAAAATGTCCTATGAACCAAATGTCCTTCTACTGGTGGTATACATGTATTGCTGTGGTCAAATATTTTCCGATACTATAAAAAAGCTGAATGGTATTTTGTACAAAGGAACGTTTATAAGTTGTAGGTTTGAATAAAAAAACAACTAATATCACATTTTTAGACAGGATATCCCCCAAAAACCATCCCAAAGCTCCATTAAGGTGACAACGGAGTCAATTATTACTGAAAATACCTAAAATGAGATTCTTTGCTTAGTAGATTTATCAACCTTTTCTGAACACATTCGTGATTTAATTTTGGAAGCAGTTAGTCCAAAAAATGTGTTTTTAAACGTTTTAAAACGGTACCTGTACCATTTTTATCTGCTATTCGCGTAACTTGTCAATTATCGATAACGCTCCGCCCCCTGTTGAGGCATCAATGAGGGAAATCGGTAGTTCCATATATCCGTGAATTACCCGTCCATACTGGTCCATACTACTCGTAATTCATGTATCGTACAAATACCGTACATCTTTTATGAATATCGTCTACCTTTTATTAAGCATTTTTATAAAATAAGAAATTGTCGGCCAATGTACGTAACATAATGTATGAAACATAAATAATTAAGCATAGCGGCAAATCGCACGACCACGGGTTGATTTAAAATATAGTTGCTAAAATATCCATAATGTGTGAAAATAATTTGTCTGTCCCGTTAATCTGATAGATATTACATTGAGTTTATGGACTTTTGTACGGATTCATCGGCTTGCTTTACATTCAACCTCGTTTTCTAACAATGTCAAGTAAAACAACAACAAAAACAGACAACATTTTTTATGTGAACGCCTGTATGACTTGTGGTAAGGTGTCACCATTTTAGATTGTTTAAGGATGATCATTTCTCTATGAATCAATAAAAAAAGATATTAATATATACTATCAGTGAATGCTCTGAATAAATTGTTCGCCAGTAAATCGAACACAGTACTAATAAACCTGGGACAAAGTATGGAATTTATTGTATATCCCAGTAGAAACTGGATATCTATGCCGTGCATAGATGATTTTCATGATAAAAGAAGTCATAAAGGTTAGATCATAATGATCGAGTGATACCTTTTATTTCTATTATAATATGTCAAGCATTTATTTCAATTTGGAGGAAGAAATATATAATATCTCGTTTTTATTTTTACATTTACCATGGACTTTAAAAGACCATCAGAAGCTCAGTTTTTTGTTATTTTAATTTATATTTTAACGGAATTTCATACACGAATACACAGACAGAGTGACACTGGTATAATATAATAATAATGCTGATGATAATAATAATAATCTTCAAAAGTGAAACAATTAAATACCCCGCTAGCGGTGCGCAAATACGTTCCATTTCCCCCCACCGAGTGCCTCAAATTTTACCGAAAGTCACGTGACATGTGCGACCGACAGTAAATCACGTTAAGATTTGAAGAAATTTCTGTTATAAACTGATATTAATCCGCAACTTTTTAATTGGTCAGATGTCACTGGGTCATAAAATGTTGTTAGAGTATGTTAGCGCAACTTGTGACCCTCTCTGGTGCGATATTTGTGTATTATGCAATTATTTAGCGTGAAACGTAGGGGTCCGAGAGAGAACAGCCGATTTATGACACTTCGTTTGATGCGGGTCGGACTTACTTTGAATCGGCATAACTTTTTTAATAATCAAGCAATTAACATGCGGTTTAAAGCACATGAAAGGGAATTTATTTACGGAGGGAACCGTGTCAGGGATTTTTGTTTGCTCAATCAGCGACTTAATTATCTTTAATTACGTAATATGTATGGTGAAAAAAGTCGCATAAAATATTTGACGTTACGTAATATTTTTTTGAGAAAAGATAGAAAAAATTTGAGACACGGTTCCCCAGATATTATAGGTATGTTTATTTTCCAAAAGTTTGATGACAAAAAAGTAAAAAATGACTTTGATATGACGATTTAAAATTTTAGGATTTTTATTAAAAATCAATCATTTACAAAGGCATTTTTTTCAAATATGTTATTTTTTATGTTGATCAACGACATTTAATGCACAAAGATTAAATAAATAACAATTATTACTAAAATAAGTTGGTTTAAATGACATTTATGTGAGTACCACGGAAAGTGTCTGTTGTCACCTTAATAGGGTACAGCTGCGTTATTACAAAAAATTTGTAATATTACATCTTTGCTTACATAGAAACACCAATACTTTTCACAAAACATTGTCTTTAAAGCTACAATTCTTTAACAAGATTATTGTTTTTTTCCTCAATGAATAAAGAGAAAAAAAACCATCTAGTTACTTCATGTATTTCATTTTTTGGCAAGATAAATATACAGAGAGGACAATCATAAGTTAATGCAGCTCTTGGTCCAATGCCTTTCTCGATTAATGTATAAATACCTACACATATATATCTCTTGGATAAAATTGTATTCAAAAATGCTAGACTATATATTCCCATCCCAACAAACACTGAAAGCACACTTGTACACCAATACATAATATTATCTTTTATACTTGTTTTCCAGTCTGGTTATAAGTCATATAAACATTATGGCTTTTTTGTAGGTTTCTTTTTTCTTTTTTTTTTGCTTTGCTTGAAGTGTCAGACTCCCATGGTCACTCCCCCCATCCCGTAAGGTACATCATTTCAGATAATGGTAGGCACCAGCGTACAACCTTGTCCTTATGTAAGCTAGCTGGATAGCTTCCTCCGAGTAAAGGCTTTAATACTAAACAAAGTTCAAATCCAAAGCAACGAGGCGCAAGTAAGTCTAAAGCCATAACCACTGAGAAACGTTCAATATTAAAATATTTTAAATGACCCGTAAATGTTTTTATCGACACATGACTGTGACAGCATAAAACATCAAGTTCAAAACCAAACAAAAATAGAAAAACACAAAACTGTTCAATGAGTAGCAAAGACAAGATGACTTCAAAACAATGCTATAAAATTGCCTAAAAAAAAACCCAAAAAAAACTTGTAATAAAAAAGAGAGAACACTATAAAAATATCAATGTCATAATACTGACACGTAGCAAGAAGGAAGGCAACATAGGGATTAAGTAAGAGTATATAAAGTTTCACGAGGAGTTTGTCACAAAGCTTGAGATTGCCTTTATTTTCACATAACTGGGTTAACAAGACAAAGTAGCATAGTTCAAATCTTACCCATGATTGAATCTAATGTAATCATATATAAACAATATTGTTATATTCTGCATTAAAACACATTCCTAACATTAAGAAAGAAAGTTCACAAACCAGTCTAAAATTGACATTCTCTACCATTGGTCAATTTAAAGAATAAATTCAAAATCAACCAATTAGATGCTAAGTCTTTGACTGGTTTGTTTTATCAAGCTTTAAAAACTTATGATAAGAATAATTTTGAATTTTATAATAGAGACATAAAAATATATTTATCAAACATTAAAAATGTTTATTGAACATTAACAATACATGTATATCTCAAAACTGAGTAGACTGCCTTTTGCAATATATCTTTTATTATTTAGCTCCTTCTTCATCACCAACAAGAAAACACAAAAGTAGCACTAACAAAGCTCAGCTGAAAATTGAAATCTACAAATTCTTGCCAACTTACATAATATTAAGACTAATTCATTGACTTAGTTATGTGGAAAAAAAAAGATTTATATACAAAAATCCATTTAACAAACATTCAATTTTGTTAGTTTCAGAAAATAATAGTTTACAAATCACTTATGCCTAAAGAATTATATGTGGAGGACAAAATATTCAGTAAATCAACATATAACTTCCTATGATATTATATCATTAAAAAACCGCCTTTTTTTTTCAAATTGTTAAAGGTCATATCTAATCTGTTAAAGAATGTTTTACCTTCATCATCATCATCACTCTGCATTGAACTTTCTCCTTCCTCATCCTCCATTCCATCTAACGAATCTTGTCTGTAAATTTTAAATCATATATTCATATATAATGTATACTTTAAATCGCATAAATACATGCATATCATATATTGTATCTACAACATTGATCTATGATCTAATTTTAAATAATCATATTGGATAAACCAGTCAACGTTCTTTTTTTGCAAGAAAGGTACAAGTTGAAATTCAATTCAAAAAGTAAGGCATGAAGCATGTAAAAACAATGCCTATAGCACAAAACAATTTAATATTTGAGCCGTGTCACGACAAAACCAACATAATGGGTTTGCGACCAGCATGGATCCAGACCAGTCTGCGCATTTGCGCAGTCTGATCAGGATCCATGCTGTTTGCTATCAGTGTGTTTACTTGTTATAGGGTCTGTAAGCTAACAGCATGGATCCTGATCAGACTGCGCGGATACGCAGGCTGGCTGGTCTGGATCCATGCTGGTCGCAAACATATTATGTTGGTTTTGTCGTGACGCGGCTCATTTCATGATATGGAGCACAGAGAGTACATATATCATCTACTAAGAATGGTACAGCTATTGCTTGTAATCAGGACATAATACACATTAGATTCAATAGACTTAAAAGAATTGTTACAATGACTTTGCTTATCCACTGTGGTGATTTTTGCTACTTTCTCACAACATTAGCATTAGTTTTAAATTAATTTAGTTTCAAATCTGACACAATTTACAGTTCTATCTTTTGAGTAAATATGTATAATTATCTCCCTACAAAATCATGAAAATTGCCAAAAAGATCATCTCACCCCATATCCACTATACATTTCTCATACACCTCTCCCGCGTCGTTAGGGAATATTTCATCCTGGTTACGAATGATAGTTTTAATGACTTCATTAACGTTGGTCTGGAACGTGACCTGGTCCCTGTCTGGAGGTATTGGGATCAACGTGGGCCCAAAACATATGGCAAGATTATACGGGTCCATCATGTTCTCATCAGAATACTCAGATAAACTGAAATATACAACATTTACACATATGAAATGTGATGATGGATAAACTGAAATATACAAGGTACCTTTGAATAAAATTTGAAGTAAATAAACTGAAAACTCTAAGTTTACTCAGATAAACTGAAATATACAAAACTTAATGAGATAAACTGACATATACAAAATTTACTCAGATAAACTGTAATACATTAAGTTTACTCAGATAAACAGAAATACATAAAATCGACTAAGCTGAAAAATACAAAGTTAACTTGGATAAACTGAAATATACAGTTATCTCGGAAAAACTGAAATATACACAGTTAACTTGGATAAACTGAAATATACACATTTAACTTGGATAAACTGAAATAAAGTTTACTCAAGATTTACTAAAATACACAAAGATTACTCAAATAAACAGAATGAAACACTAATTTCAATGCCAAAAAGGCAGACAGTGCAATCCATGATCAAACAGCACAGATGTGGCATAGGTAGAATGAGCATCTGCCAGTAGACTAAGGGTTACCTTTTTATTTTTGGTTGGGTTTTACATCGCACTAACACAGTCATTATAGGTCATATTGTTGACTTTCCAGCTTAACTGGTGGAGGAATACTTCAGGTACACCTCTGTGCACCTGAATAGAACCACCAACCTTTCATAGGCTAGCTGGATGACTTCCTCACATGAAAGAATCCAAAGTGCCTGTCAGGACTTGAACCCAAAGCAGTGAGGGGCAAATGGTTTGAAGTTAATAACCTAAACCACTCAGCCATGGAAGCCCCTACAAAAGCTATAATCATTGCCCTTGTCAGGCTAAAGGTGAATATTCCGAATCAGCGCCCTTGTCAGGCTAAAAGTAAATAGTCCGGAACAAAAATGCCAAATTTGTTTAGATGCTATTAAAGACTTACTGATTAAGGAATGAGAAGAGGTATCGCATCACTATAATAATAGGTCGTGGTAATGACAGCAACAATTCTTTTATCTTGTCAATCTTAGCTTGTTCATCTAGCACTGAAAACATAACATAATACCCAGTAGTGATATAAAATTAACATATATTTTGTATGCCATAGTATTGAAAATTACTAATAACAATGATATACTGGAATTTATTTATTTTTTTTTTTGATTTTCACATTTTAGATTCCATGTTTTGGCATAATTTTTACAGTAATTTCATATAATTATATATATTATAAACACAAAACAAACTGTCATTATGACAAACAAATAATCCAATCTTGTTCTGTAACATTGGTGTAAAGTAGCAAAAATACGATAGTATTTCAAAATTTATATTTTCTGTTGTATTGATTTAGCACTAATTTACGATAATACACTGGAGAGCAATTCTCTGAAGCGTGCTCTTTGATTCTCAAGGCATTAACCTGGATTTTTTATGCAAGTAACTGCAGACTTTTCATTATCATTTAAAAGTGACCTTCAGCCTTTTTTTTGTTGTTGTTGAAAAAACAATTCTGTATTTCAGTAATTTCATCTCTGAAGAAGTGCATCGCATCTCTGTTAAGCCTTCCTCAAAACAGCGTCCCTAGAGTTATTTATAGTGTAAGGTATGTTCCTTTCTTAAAAATAGAAGTTCTGGAAACGAATTGACCGCTCAACTAATTTACATATAGAGAGTGGACCAGTTGATTAGAGGTATCAAGGGATTTCCTTATTGTTTATGTATTTTATCTGCAGCCAGCAAAAGTCATTTTCCACCTCAATTCTTTTAATTTGACAATTATATGAAACAATTTATCTAAAAATAACATACATTGAATTTTACCTTTAGGAAAACTGAAGGCCGCTTTAAACAGCAGTGCTGGACAAAATAGTAAAATTAAATTAAAAACTTTTCTTGTCACATAAAAAATATACTGGTTATTCTATGTAAGATTTAAACAGCCGATATGATATATGACTACTCACTACTGCAGGCTATAAGCTCATCAAATAATGGTAGAGGAAACAATGGCGGTTTAAGCTCGCGGAAAAACATTTTTAGCACGCCTGCTGCGGAGTTTATCTTCTCACAGGCATCCTCTTCATCGGCTAATGGGTCGTCACCTACAGATAATAATAATCATTTTTTACAACAAAATCTTTAATATTTTTTACATATAAAAACAAAAGAAAACTTTGTTGTACACAATCAACATTATTAAATTCAAATGATTTAAATTTATATATCATAAACATTTAAGAAAAGCTGTTTATTAAAACACAAAGACTAATAACAAGATTTTTTTTTGTTAGGTTTTAAGTCATAATGTAAACGCCTTTTTAGCTTACTGGTCGGGGAAAACTTATGTACCGGTACTCACCCATTTATGCATTATTTCAGGCACAAGAGGGCACCTGAGTAGAACCCCCAATCTTCAGTAAGCTATTTGGATAACTGACTAAATACAAGATTAATATGATAAGATAGGAAAGTAACGAAAACATCAGATGTCAACTTTTTAATACATGTATTACATCTCTTTCAAGAATACAAGAACACCTTTTATTCATTCATTAATAATAACGAAAGACACCAACCTTTTTCAAATGCATTCTTAAGGTCATTGATTTCGACCTGTGAGCCGGGAATTCGGAAAATACCCTGATGGTGCATGCCATAAAGATTTAACACTCGTATACAACTCTTGATCACCGTGGGTATCTCATGTCCGGTTGCCTGTAATATATAGACATAACATGTACACTTTGACATAATATATAGACATAACATGTACACTTTGACATAATATTTTTGTGATTTTTTTTTACACATGAAAACTAAACTTCTTCTGTTAAAGTTAGTAAACGTCTATGAAATTGAATACTTTTTAATTGTACACCTTTGTCTCAATAACTCTAATATCTATTTATAACTAGACTGTTAAATACACACCATAGTAATAAATAGTTGCTTCTGATAGTATAAACTTCGGATTTCTCAAGTTGATGAAACTTTTGCTTCTCTAATAATACCATCCCATTTTCTGGCAGAAGACATAACCATGTACTGTATTGCACTACAGATACAAACTTTCTCTTTTGGTCTAATCAGACCACATGGATTAGCAGGCTGACCTGGCTCTTTACTAAAGGTATATGCCAGCTACATGTACCTTTGATCAATAGCAATGTTCTTACCTCTATATACTCTTCAAGGTTGCCACCAAAAAGTTTTGGTTGACCTATTTGAGGGTTTCTACCGATCCTCCTTTTCTTTGGTTTTGGAGGTAGAGATGGGGGTCTAAAAATAATACAAAATATTTTTTTCTTCATTTTTTACCACAATAATGATTATTTTTGTCACAATATCTAAACTCTTTCAACAACTTCATATGTTTCTTTCGAATTGTTTTTACAAAGTTATGTTTTTCATTGATATTTCTTAATCTTGACACCTTATCAAATGTCTACTGCATTAATTAACATAAATTAAATCAATTCCACTTTGATCATTTTAAACTGAATTAACAAATTCCTTAATTCAATCTTTACAAAATTCTTTAATTCAATCTTTACAAGGATTTTCCTGAATTTGACCAAAAAAAACAACTCAACTTTTAAACTTAAGATTAACGCTGGACATGGATTCCTAACAGTGAGGGTTCATTTTAAGCGTCATATCCCAAAATGCAATTGCTACGTAAAAGCTACAATATCCATTGGTTGGGAATTCAATGCGCATTTTTTTTCTTCTCAAAAAATGAAAAAAAAAATCTCTGCATGCCACATATTTTGTTATAGTTTGCTCTACTGATATACATATTAATATATTTCATCATGCACTTCAAACGACTAAACTTTTTTCATTGTCAAGTTGGTTATGGTGATACAAACAAGTATAATCAAGTCCTATTCATGAAAAAAAATCACATTATACAAGGATAAATCTTTCACATCAGATAAATTATACAGAACTAACTTTTTTTTTCATGCTTACTGGTGTGAAATACATGTATAGCCTTTATACATTATAGAATACGAACAGAAAAAAAAAACGTCAATGAAAAAATAATAAAAAAGGATAAATTTAGTGAACTATCGTTACAATCATTCCCAACATGCATGTGATGTTTATAAAGACAAGTTTATGAACTAGTGTACACATTTTATTTAATATCTATAGTGAGCAGAAACTGATTATAACTGTCAAGAGAGGAGCTAAAAATAAATGTGTTGTTTTGTCTTTTAATGCAGTCATACTGTAAGGTGTTACACAAAACTAGCGTAACGTCACAAGTCGGAACTCGAGTTACAACAATTTTGCGAGACGACCTTGACAATAACTACCTGTGAAGGTGTAGTCTTGCACAAAGCTCGAACAAAACTCGTTGTTCCGAGCCTTTTCTGAAAGTAGCACATTAAATAACACTTAAATGTAGCATTATATAATTCCAATTATTCTTAAAGCAAGAATGCTGTGATTAATATTCGTCAATTATTAGTTAACAAAGATTTGAAGAATTTTTCTTGAATTTTGACAGTTTGACCCTGAAGGTCAAATTTGACCCCGAAGATCAAAGTCATTCAGAGATTAAAGTCATACTCCAGACTCCTCAAGATATGTCTAAATGTAGATGTAAACCACAGGTAGGAAAGGTCCAGGTTTGAAGGCCCTACCTTACAGGAATAATACTTATTATACTTATAATAAAGTTATCAATTAGGTTTTTTTGCCATAGTACAGACAAAAAAATACAACCCTGACCTACCCACAGATGCATGGCTATCCCTATAATTCATTTATATATATATATATACATCATGATAGTTAAACATGATACAGTCTTTAACAAAAACTTGAAGAAAAACATTGATGACAGTGAAGCAATGGGCAATGGTCTGTAAACGTATTTAAATAAAAAACGTATTTAAAACATTTTTCCTGCCAATTTTTCCTCCCAAGTTTCTATAGTCGTTCAAAATATTCAAAATAATAAATTATCACCCTACTGAACTTTGTTACCAGCCCTCAAATTCCTAAATGATAAAATCAATAACAGTGTGTAACAGTGTCAAACACTGCACAATTACTGACTCAGGGAGCAACTGAATGTGGATATTGTACTCTAACATGTGCTGCAGTTCATTATTGAGCAATATTTCTATATATACACACACACACACCAATAACCACCAATTCTCTATATATAGCATATCTTAACCTTTTACCCCTCTAAATATAATAGACATGTCCTGTTTTGAATTTGGAATATTCCATTATTAATTGTTACATTATTATTATCAAAAATAAGCAACCAACTGTAAGTAGCCTGGGTGGGCTGGCCCTGGCCACAATCATCACCAACATTACTACATGTTAGAGGGACTGATCTTTAAAAAAAAATATTCAATTTTATGTACCAAACATTTTTGAGGTTTTGTTTAAAGGGTTGGATATGAAGTTACACAAAATTTACAGTAAACATAAAACATAGACTTATTTCACTTTACCAAAATATTTGTTTATATGAAAGGACATTAAAATGAATTTCCATAAGACTTCATTTCTCTTTAAAACTTCACAATTTTTCCACAAGATATTCATTAATACATGATATATTCATTATAACTGGGATAATAAATTATCTATGTTTATGAAAAGTTGAAATGATAACACAATACAATAATAATCTAGCATAAAACTGCCATTGTCAATAAATTTCAAGGATAACCAACCCCCTTTTAATACTGTTGCACTCTCAAAGAGTAACAAATTGTTCAAAGGAATTTGTACAGTTCAAGCATAACCGGACATGGCCTTCAATATTAATATTTAAAAGGAAAGGCAAGAAAAAAAGCTTTAGAACTTTGAAATCAAAATTTTGAAGCATATAGTGAGTAGGACACTTCCTTGAACAAACAAGGCCAATAGTTTTTGTTTATTTGTTCTTATTTTTTGTATGGGTTTTAAGATTTGTTTACTTCTCAGTTTTTCTTTTGTTGGTTTTACCTGTACAGTAATGGTCAACATTGACTTGTTAGCCTTTAAACTCATGGCGAAAAGCTTCAGGTTCATTGTTTAAGATACAAGCAAGCCAATGAATAGAACCACTGATCTTTCATAAGCGAGCTAGAACAGGTCATATTAAAAGACTTATGTTACCATCTTATTCATTTTGGACATTTCTTATGCTAGAACCAAATCAACAGATGCTTGTTTTTTAATGATACTTGTAACATCTACAGATCCTACCTGCAGCAGTCTTCTCCTCAACAAAACATGTGACATTAATCCTTACCAAGCTAAATATCTTAAATGGACTTGTCCATTATTCAATCTGGACCAAACCATTCATCATTTTTAGGGAAAATTTCAATATATGTACAGATTGAATAGCAAACAGTGCAGACCATAATAAGATTGCAGATATGCAAATAGATCTTGGTCTGCACTGGTCACATGGGCAGATGCAGTAGCCGCCAGCAGGCTAAGGGTTTTAATTAACCTTCAGATAATTCCCTATAATAATCAGCTGATGTTACATGAAAGAGAAAAACAAGCACCTGTTGTCTTTATAGTAACAAACAACATTTCTGACGAGACAACATTTACACTAATACTGCACATATACATGTATATTCCTTTATATTAAACACAACATGAAAAAAATAAATATCTTTTGTAATAAAGAACAGAGCTGAATTTGAAACAAAATATACATATACTTCCACTATTCAAAACAAAATTTTGACAGCGGTTATATACAATAATGATTTTATTTTTACTGGATTCATCACTTTAACAAGGGAAATATATGATAAAAGAATGGTGTATTAAAATATAATTGAAGAGTGATTTATATACTGGATTCAGGAATCATATTAATTTTATAGTGCTAATGTATGATAATCGACTTATATACAGAATTTTTTTGCTAAGTGCAATAACTGGTTAACTCCTATTAAATTTAGAAAGACTTAACTCATTACTGCACTAAGAGGATGAGTATTACTTTGTAAAAGAATGATTTATTTACCTGATTCTAACACCAGATGATGACATATCTTCACCTAAAGCCTTCTGTATGGCACTATACTTGGCCTGTAACCTGGCTATACGATTGTTACTCAATGTATATGACCTAAATTTCTGTAAAACAAGAAAAGAATACTTTAGTATACACCAGTATTGTTAATTTGAAAGCCTAATTACATGTATTTATTTCTTCAATTTGATTTTTAATTTAAGCCAAGATAAGTACACAATATTTTGTTGATAATTATGTCTCCTCTATAGGTCTCTCAATCTACCATAAAAGATTCAGGGCGTACAAAAAATCTTTTTTAGTTGTATAGCATTCTCATATGAAAGCACCAGCTGTGAAGACAGGCATAAAATTTTATGCAACTTTTTTTTTTAGAACATAAACCCACATAGTAAAAGTCTGGTCAAATTGTGACTTCTGTTTAAGATATACCGGTAGTCAAAGCTGTGCTAGGATCCTAGACTTTAACAAGAAATGTGTCCAAATGACCCTGTTTTGTTAGTCTATGTACAGACAGCTGGACAGATGGAAAAGGGCTAATCTATATCCCCTCCTCCCCCTCAAGTGGAGGCTTATCAAGAGCTGTCACAGGAGACAGCGAAGCTCGACTAATAAAATACTGGACGCAGTAAGGAGGACAAAACTATGAAAGAAAAATCAATTATGTATAATTATGTATTAAGTTATAGTAAAAAAACATTTGTTAACATAAATTCCAAGATCAAGGGGAATAATTCTAGAAATAGTCACACAAGAGTTATGAACCTTGTCACACAACATGTGTGTAATGATAAGAAATATATATTTGAAGTTTGAAGTAGATACCTTAAAAAGTAAAGAAGTTATAATATTTCTTAAAGAAAATCCTAAGTTCAAAGAGAGATAAATCTGTAAATATTGCTTCAAGAGTTATGAACATTGTCACATAAAATGTAATTGATGATAAGGAATAAGTATTTGAAGTTTGAGGTTGATCCCTTAACAAATAAAGAAGTAACAGTAAACAAGAGCTGTCGGTAGGACAGCATGCTCGACTATTCTTAGTGCTTGATAGTAAAAAAAATGCCTGATACAGTTACCTCCTCCTGTTTACAGGTTGGGGTCATGATGGTGAACAAGTGTGCAAAGTTTCAAAGCCATATGTCAATGGACTTTGAAAATATTTGAACTATTACAAAAACTTTAACGTAAATTCTAAGTCGAAAAAGGGGCATAATTCTGTCAAAATGCTTGATAGAGTTACCTCCTCCTGTTTACAGGTTGGGGTCATGATGTTGAACAAGTGTGCAAAGTTTCAAAGCCATATGTCAATGGACTTTGAAAATATTTGAACTATTACAAAAACTTTAACGTAAATTCTAAGTCGAAAAAGGGGCATAATTCTGTCAAAATGCTTAATAGAGTTACCTCCTGCTGTCTACAGGTTGGGGTCATGATGTTGAACAAGTGTGCAAAGTTTCAAAGCCATATGTCTATGGACTTTGAAAATATTTGAACTATTACAAAAACTTTAACGTAAATTCTAAGTCGAAAAAGGGGCATAATTCTGTCAAAATGCTTGATAGAGTTACCTCCTTCTGTCTACAGATTGGGATCATGATGGTGAACAACTATGCCATATGTCAATGGACTTTGGAAAGATTTGAGATGGTACACAAACTTTGATGTAAATTCTAAGTAAAAAAGTGGCATAATTCTGTCAAAATACTTGATAGAGTTACCTCCTCCTGTCTACAGGTTGGGGTCATGATGGTGAACAAGTGTGCAAAGTTTCAAAGCCATATGTCAATGGACTTTGAAAATATTTGAACTATTACAAAAACTTTAACGTAAATTCTAAGTCGAAAAAGGGGCATAATTCTGTCAAAATGCTTGATAGAGTTACCTCCTCCTGTCTACAGGTTGGGGTCATGATGGTGAACAAGTGTGCAAAGTTTCAAAGCCATATGTCAATGGACTTTGAAAATATTTGAACTATTACAAAAACTTTAACATAAGTGGTTACGCCGACGCCGACGCTCGGGTGACTGCAATAGCTCTACTTATTCTTATCGAATAGTCGAGCTAAAAATAGTATTTTTTGAGGAAAATTCTAAGTTCAAGGGGAGATAAATCTGAAAATATTGGTGCTAGAGTTACGAACCTTGTCACATAAGATGGGGATGATGATAACGTACATATATTTGAAGTATGAGGTTCATCCCTTGACAAATAAAGAAGTAACAGTAAAAAATAGTTTGTTTTTTTGGAAAATTCTAAGATCAAGGGGAGATAAATCTGAAAATATTGGTGCTAGAGTTATGAACCTTGTCACATAAGATGGGGATGATGATAACGTACATATATTTGAAGTATGAGGTTGATCCCTCAACAAATAAAGAAGTAACAGTAAAAATAGTATTTTTTTAGGAAAATTTTAAGTTCAAGGGGAGATAAATCTGAAAATATTGGTGCTAGAGTTATGAACCTTGTCACATAAGATGTGGTTGATGATAAGGAACATATATTTGAAGTTTGAAGTTGATACCTTAAGAAATGACAAAGTTATAGTGAAAAATATTTTACTGCACCAAAACTTAAACCTGAAATCTGGACGCGGACGCCGGGGCGAGTAGGACAGCTCTCCATATACTTCGTATAGTCGAGCTAAAAATGCTTCAAAGAATCCATTCACTATATAAAATTGTATAAACCTCACGACAAAGACTTAAGAAAAATTTCATCATGACCATGATTATAATGGAACTTTATGGAAAATTTATATCATAATCATAATCTTACATGTAGATAATATCCTTCTGTCTCGAGCCTCTGTGCTCGTTTCTTGTCGCTCTCATGTGGAGACCTAGGTGGCGTGTTTTCGTCGGTAAACAAACTGGTTACATCTATATCTTTCCTATTAATCAATTCTGTAAGGGACTTCTCTGTAGCCTCAAGGGATTTCCATGTCTGAATAAAAACAAAATACAAATGAAGCTCAGATCATTAAGCTGTACGTAAATGACCTTACTGATAATAAAGTAACATTGTTATATAAAGATGAAAGCCAGTTTACTGGAAAAAATCATACATGAATAAAACCAGTATCATTAAATAAATATAAAGTTATTCTTCAAAAGTGTTACACAACTTTATCTCAGAATAATTAATAGAAATAATAGAAACGTTTTGAGCATGAACAAACTCGGGTGCTGTGCCCCTCAGGTGTGGCCTTAACCTTGGTAACCTTGACCTTGACCCTGCGACTTCTAAATGAGTCTGCTGACAGTAATGAGCCAAGCCAACCTGCACATTCTGTGAAGTCTGTTAAGGCTACCGATATATACTGTTTGTAGCTTATTTTGTAAAAATCTTAACTTAAAATTTTTAACAATATCCAAAGCAGGGAAAACCCATTTTCAGGACACATGTTATTATGTTACCTCATCATTATCCAGTTTGAGCTGTTCTAGAACTTTCTGTGAGGATTTATAACTCTGTAATAACTGATCCTGTACGGGTTTCTGAGCACTGATTTGTCGAACCTGTAATACAGTAAAATTACATTTATCAACCTTTTTTAAAAATGAACTACATGTTTACATGCTTTAATGGTGGATGTGAAAACTGATTTTCCTCTGAGCATTTTTTCAGGTTCAGGCTTGCACTTGATAAGAGTTATCCACCTTTAACAAGCTTGCTCGATAGCTTACTGGTGCCTACAGTATTGTCTGTAGGAAAATAATAAAAACAGCCCTTTGCAAAATCAATTAACTTTTAGGTGAAAGAAAAAAGCTATGATAGTTTCTTTAAATTGAGAGTTCAAATGATCAACCCTAAGTATGTTGGTTTTTCTACCATAAACTGCTGATTTTTCAAAAACATACAACTGCTAGATTATAATAGTTTCATACCTATAAGCCTATAAAAGGGTCTAATTTAACACAAAGTACTGCTAAAACTTGATATTTATATGTTTGTTTTTTGTTTCAAAATTTTCCCTCACATAAAACAAAGCCCCTTTTTGGGATTTCCCCCCGGGGTGGGACAAAATTTTGTTTTTCAAATCATCCCGGCCCAAAACAGCGCCCCTAAAAATTTAAATTTATCTTTTAAAAAATTTAATAAAAGAAGTAGTCCCCCCGAAACTAATTTAAATTTTTTGAAAAAATGCTTTGGTTATTTAGCTCAAGGGAAACTTGTTTTTTTGTTAACGGGTCCATTTTAGATATGACTCATTTAATGAATTATGCTGCCGTGTGCGAGTTACGATGTTACGTGAGCGTTGAAAAATCATCACCGTTTCCCCGTTATAGAAATTTTGATAACCAAATCCATCACTGAAAAAAATATTAAAATATTTATATTTCATATTAGGATTGTCATTATCATAAGTGAATTTATAAGAATTATTCCAACAAATTTCTCATTTATCAATAATTTGTGACTGTTTATATTTGCATCAAATGATAAACATATTTCTTCAATTAGTTTGTGCATTAAACAAACCATTCTTCTTAAAATTCTGAAAACACTTCAGTCATTGAGTCAAAAGATTTACAGACATATTAAATTTCCATGATAATGTTTTTAATAAATAGCCACTTCAAAAGACCAATGAGAATTTTCAGGATCAACCCTCAGAGGAATTTTTGCACCATCCCTATCTTGTTATAAAATACACATATTTATGTTAAGTATGTTAACAATCACACCTGCTGCAGAGGAACATTCACACAATACAGTTATGCATATGACAGGTGTTAATAAGTAATTAAAAGAATTCCCCTGCATCAATATACCTCTCTTGTAAAGGCAGACTGGTTTATACTAAATACAGTGAAACCTCCATACAGTGGCCCTCTGTAGAACAACTACCTCTGTACAACAAAAGTTCAATTTTTTCCAATAGTACAAGTTCACAAATAAATGTAACCTCTCTAGATCAAACACCTCTCAACAACAACCAAAATCTTGGCCTCTCCAAGGGTGTTGCTTTATAGGGGTTTTACTGTATTACTGTATCTCTAAGTAAGAAACATGTTGAATAAATTCATGCTCAAGAAAATCACAAGATCACAAAACAGCAATATGTTCAGCATCAACTTATATCTGCAGATTATCTTTTCTTATTTTAGTTTTTGATAAAAACGAAAATAAAACAAGGAGTAAAACTGCAAACTTTCCTTGAAATGCCTAACAATTTTCGAGATAAAATAAACAATTTTCAAATTCCTGCAAATATTTTCTAGAGATTTTATATTTTGGCATTGCTGATTTTTTGTAACATAAGTTTAACATTTTATTAAACAGTCTAATTTTGACATCTGGAACAGCTGATTATTCATTAAGGGGATACTGACTATGAGAAGACTGATCTTAATCAGCAAAATATTCAAATGTCTGCTGCAGAGTGACCAAACCAATGAGTCAATGAGGTGATTTTGTTAATGCACTAAAACTATTGGGAAATATTCCAACTCTGTGAGTGCACAAAGTGCAGTTAACTAATTAACAGTCCACACAGGGAAGGGCTTTACAAATAGTTGAAAAATCTAAGTCAAATGTCCCCCCCCCCCTTCCAGTATTCCCTGGGGCGGGTTTACAATTAGCGGGTACTTTAAACTGTACTGTTGTTATTCAAATTGGAACTTAAAATGATAATCATCAATATCAAGTTCTTTTTATTACATGACCATCATTTTGGTGGTGTAGTCTTTGTTTCAGGACAGGTTTGACTATAACACAAGTAATACATAAAGCCTATGTTAAAACACATTAAAATACTTACATCCATTAAATCAGAGACATCGTCTGAGAAGTATTTATTTATAGCTGCATTGGCGACCTCTATATTCAACAAATATTCATTCCTAGCATGCAATGCTTTTAATTTGTTCACGGAGTATTTATCTTGTTTCTGTAAAAAATAAAAATAGACAAGTACAGAAAACATGTTAAAGAATGAACTGTAAGAATTTTTCTATTAAATACATGTGTACATATACAATTCAGGTATTGCATAAATGAAACTACTCAAGACTAGAACAAAAGGATATAGCCTTCAAACATGTACATTTTTCTTGAATTGCAATATTATATTCCTGACATTATTAAGAACCCCTTCTGGCCTTCCCCACTACCCCCAGCTTACCCCGCCTACCCCTCTCACTTTAAGAGAAGTATCTTCAATTATGATAAAATTGCTTTGATAACAACTCAAAGCAAGTTCCAGTATAATTTAGTACTTAGTTCCCAGTTTTTGCAGACATACAGGGCTGTATAGCCTAGCCACGTCCCCTGTTGATCCCCTGGAATAGCAGGCATAGATCAGGTCATCCATCACCAGTGGTGATCCAGCCAATACCAGTATCATTTTGTTATATCCTAAAGATACACAGAACTGCACCAGCTTCAGTTTGCTGTTTCTGAATATTTTTTCTGATCACCCTCACTTGAACATGTATAAAACATTTTCAAATAACAATGGCTGTTCCATGAATTGAGCTAGATCTACAAGATCCTCGTCTAGAATTGTCCTGGATGTTTAAAGTAATTTTTATGATACTGTATGAAAGACAAACAGCAGACAACCGTCTTGGCTCTTCAAAAATAAAAGCATAAACAAAAAACATTCTGCTTAATTAATTTTGTTTTCCACTCCATAAAGTCTCTTGGTTTAAACATATAAACAGATTTACCTAGAATAAACCTCTTAGCTTTAACAGAGTTCATTCTCAGTACACATTATCCTGTTACAGACAAACAAAAATATACAAGTGCAGAAAAACATTCTTAAAATCAATTTTTACTTTAGATGCTATATAAAAACGCACAGAAGAGAACCAGCTGTGAACTTCTGCTGTCCTTAGTCTTCTTTTTGTTAACCTTTGTGATTTGCACATGCACTGTTTTGAATTGCTTATTAAATAATGGTCTTATGCAGCCAGCAGTACAGGAGCATGGCTAAGGTTAAAGGCGGCTGGCTGTGGCCTCTATATGGATGACATTTAGCATGTCAATTTCATCACAAGCAGATGAAATTAATCATGTCAATATGATCACTTGTAGATGACATTAATCATGTCAATATGATCACTTGTAGATGACATTAATCATGTCAATATGATTGCTTGTAGATGACATTAATCATGTCAATATGATTGCTTGTAGATGACATTAATCATGTCAATATGATTACTTGTAGATGACATTAATCATGTCAATATGATTGGATGACATTAATCATGTCAATATGATTGCTTGTAGATGACATTAATCATGTCAATATGATTGCTTGTAGATGACATTAATCATGTCAATATGATTGCTTGTAGATGACATTTAGGACACCAATATAGTTTTCAGTGGATGTTATAAGATATGCCTTTATAGACTTTAGTAGACATTAGGGAGTAATATTATGCTGAGTCATTGCTCTGACATTTCATGCAGCATCATAAAATCACATGAGAACTCATTTATTTTCTTAGGAATAACAAATGGTCAATTATATCACATTTCAAATGCACACAAATAGACATTGGTAAAGTTCAAAATATATTCTGTATAAAATAAAATACTAATATAGTATAGCTGCTATTTATCTTGACAAAATAAATTACTTTTTAAGGAAGAAGTATGAGGTAATTGTGAGTAAATATTACTATTACTAATATTATTCTAGGGAATCAGTTTTATAGGTTGATAACCGTATTTCTTAAAATGGAACATCATCTATTTATACACTGGACAGAGTTCATACAATCTACATGCCAAAAAACATTCCCCCTCATAGGGAAATTTTTCTACTTTTGCCCGCATTTAACTTTAAATTTTTACACCCTTGATTTTTCCCCCTAAAATTTTGATAACCAAACGGCTCCCAAAATTGGAATAAAACCGCGTCGGCCGGGGTTACTAGATTAACTATTCCTTAACTTTTGATTTTTAAATTGACATTTCCCTTTCACCCTTTTTAAATTTTTTCAATCTTTTTAAAATTTTCGGCTTCCCGACAAGGTTTTTCCCCCCGGGGAGTGTTGTTTCCACCTTTCGCCTTTTTTGGACTGGGCCCTTTTTCAGGGGCCTTTTTTAGCTTGCCTTACTCCCCCCATCTGATATTGATGTTTTGTCCCATCGGGCCTTTTAAAATAAAACATGTAGAAATGTCAGCCCCAAATATTTTTGGCTTTAAAAAAAGGGGGTTTGGGGATAAAGGGGGCCAAATTTTAAACATTTACAAACATTTCCCGGGGGAATGTTTCAAATTTCAAAATTTCACCCATGATAATTGTTTTAAAATAAAAATAATATCCCCATGGGGGATTTTGTGAAAGTAGCTTAATTTTTTTAAAAACCAAATTAATGTCAATAAAAACTTTTCCAAAAATAAAACCGGGAACAGTTTGCTTTTTTTTAAAAGGTTTCCGTAGTGAATTTCATTTTCTTTTTCTTATTTAAGGGATCAATTCTTTTGTTTTCATTTTCTTTTGTTGCAGTAGATGACCACAACACCTTATTCTTTATTAAATAAATAAAGTCCAATATTCACTCAGCAGCAAGTACATGTACATTCATTTTATTGTATATCCCAGTTTATAAGCAAACCAAAATTATCATTATCATAATAAACTTTGAAATAACTTTCATTTAGAAATACAGACTTTGGAATTTTCAAATTTAGATCAAGGACTAGGCTAAAATATTCTCAGGAATTTACGTACATAAATCATTGTGTGTGTTTATATTGCAGCTACCTGATAAGAACATGAAGAAAGGAACAAAAATCAAACAAAATCGTTGCGATGCACTTTTTGCTACTTCGCATACACAACTGGGCATGAAAATTCTTAAATCTTTCCAGAACATCTTTATTTCAATACTTTGATGAATAAACATGACAAGATTTTTTGTCACTCACAGATCCTTTAGAATATTTCAAGAGAAGGTTGCTTATTTCCCAGAGAACATAACATATGACTCATCAAATAATTTATTTCTCTATAAAAACACAAAATCTTAGCATTAAAATGAAATGTAACAAAATTTACAAGAACATTTTGTTTTCAATTTGATTTCACTTATAGGACTTAAACGTCTTTGAATTTTGAAAAACTTTTGAATTGTACTTATTACTGTGGCTACTAGAGCTTAAACAAAACATTTAATATTCAATCATTCTCAGTTCCAAGTACAAGGACAATTATTGCTGGTCTACACTGTAGAGGTCATGTATCAACTTGTCCTGCTTTTCTGGTTGAAGTACACTTAAGGTGCTCCTATCTACAATATGTCAGGCATAAGCTGGCACTACAGTAGAACCACCAACCTTCTGTAAGTTAGTTGGATAACCCTCCTAACATGAAAGAATAAAAAAACCTGGACAGGACTTGAATGGTTAGTGGGGCAGGTGGTTTCATGTCAGCAACTTTAACCAAACGGCCATGAAGGCTATGTGGCAAGAAAAACATGGACTCAAATCAACCAACCTGACATCTGTAACAGCAAATCATTCTGGACAAGCTATTTTAACAGTTAATTTTTCCTTCCTTTTTAACATGTAAATTATATACGACTCTAAATATAGCACTCATTCTATGATATAGCTTTTATTTATCTAAAGAAAAGTTCCATCTGTTTTAAAGCTGACTTCATCAGGAAATGATTTTTTGACAAGACATTGTTATATACACATGTACACATAAACAACAACATTAGAATTACATAACAACACAAGAATATATGAAAGTTTCTGACAAAACCACATCAAAAGGGACTATGATGTTTATACAGCGAGCAAATCATACAGGAGGTGGATATAATCTACTGTTTGATCTTACATTTTAAAAACAAGGTTCCCCACAAAGCCTTCCCAGTTTCTATTGATGATATAACACGAGGACTTGAACACTTGTATTACAAAGTTCTATATAGAAATCAAAATACTTTTTCAAGATTTTTTTTTCTTGCCATTCAACATTTACATTCACCATCTGTAGTTTATAAACTAAATGAAACATTTTTTCTTTCATTAAGAACATTCGGCATGTGAAACTTAGGTTTGCAGTATACTGAAGTATATTTTCTTTTGTATTTATTGATCATTTTGCATTTCATTAAAAATTTAGGGTGTACCTACATTTGATACATACAAATTTAAAATAATTGTGGACACATTTAACTTAGGTAGTTAATTAGGAGATTTTGGACAGATTAACCTTCTGTAGTTCATAAATAAATTTTGGACACAATCATTTACCTTTTGGAGTTCATATGGAGATTTTGGACACATTTACCTTAAGTAGTTAATTAGGAGATTTTGAACACATTTACCTTTTGTAGTTCATAAGGAGATTTTGGACCACATTTCTTTTGTAGTTAATAAGGAGATTTTGGACACATTTACCTTTTGTAGTTCATAAGGAGATTTTGGACCACATTTACCTTTTGTAGTTCATAAGGAGATTTTGGACCACATTTACCTTTTGTAGTTCATAAGGAAATTTTGACACATTTACCTTTTGTAGTTCATAAGGAAATTTTGACACATTTACCTTTTGTAGTTCATAAGGAAATTTTGACACATTTACCTTTTTGACTTCTAAAGGAGATTTTGGACACATTTACCTTAAGTAGTAAATTAGGAGATTTTGTACACATTTACCTTTTGAAGTTATTTACAAATTTTGAGCACATTTACCTTTTGCTTTAATTAGGAAATTTGCTTATATTAACCTTTTGTAGATTATATAGGTTTTTTAAGCACCTTTATTTTTTGTAGATCATAAACAAACTTTGGATATATTTACCTTTTGTAGTTCATACAGAATTTTGAGCATATCTTCATGGCTTTCTGACCCTATCTCTCTACACTGAAAACAGAAAACAATCATGATGACCAAACATGAGCCTTCAGCCAACAGAAGAAAATTTATAAAATGGAATATAATCATAACTGACTGGCCTATAGTAAACCATTCTCACAATTTTGGTTTTATTTTAAATAATAGGGTTTTCCCTATACCAGGCTTAATAAAATGTAAGTACCCAAAAATTTAACCCTTTGCTTCATCTTATTTTAATTGACATTATTTTGTTTTAAACAATTTTTAAATGCAAATAAATAAAATTCAGAAAAAATATAAAGTATTTTTATACAGATATTTGAAAAAAAAACCTTTCTGTCAATAGAAAATTTAATTCATCACAATATCCATATAAAACATACAGAAAAAAATATCCTACAAGGCACTGATCAATACCTGACAGACATTTCCAATGCGATTATATTCCCTGAAAGTCTGTCGAATTAATTCAGTTTTGGTTAAACATTGATCTCTGAAGAGAATTTAGTTGCTAGGGAAAATTTATTGAGGTAACAATATATGTTATATATATATTCTCATTTTAATATATTGTCAATTGGTTTCTATAATTCACTTGTGTCAAAGTATGCCTGAAACAAGACAAAACTACTATTTCAGATTTTACACAAATCTGTAATTTTCCCTACTCCTCCCAAGTCATTTTTTAACAATTGTCACGCCTAGTGGTTAAGGTGTCTGCCTCTGAACCCAGGGATCATGGGTTCAAGACCTACTCGGGTCACGACCATGTTTCTTCATATGACACCAGTACAGGTTGGTTATAGAAAGAGGACTCAAGTGATTAAATTGTTTCGCAATCGATCCTGAGCTGACTTGAATTCATAATAAGAGAGTAAGATACCAAAATGCTACAGGGTTAAAGCTGATAATTAAACTTATAAATAATCTTGAAATAATTTTGACCAAAAAGGGCCATTGAGCCTATAATTATTACCTTTTTAAATATTCGTTGAGAGTTTTCTTGTATCTCTGATAATCGGTTGAACACATGGGAGCCGCAAATTTCTGCGAGTATTCCATGGTCATGACTCTGTTTACGTGTTATTTCCAATAATTGTGACCAACAATTGAAAGTGCTGAATTTGTCCCAATGTTCTCGTCTGAAATAAACAAGTTCCTGAATTTTATTGGTAAAGTTAACAACCTTCCATAGCCTCAGATTGTCTTGTAACATTTATGGTTAGAAAAATGAGAAACATTCATGTTAGCAAAAATATAAAATTCTGCATTAAAGATTAACAGACTTCAGCCTGTCCTCAAAACCTGATATGTGTTCCAAATTTTCCAAAGAGCATGGTATTGTTTTGTTGTTGTTCTTTTTCACAATGTTTATTGACCATAAATATGCTTTTTGACTATTCTCAATATTTTGACGGCCTTGACAGATTTTACAAACTGATATTACATAGATGTTGGTCTTAATGAAGGGCGATCATTGTCTATATAATAAAAAGCCCTGGCGCACAATTTGTTGTGATAACTTTTTGTCATACAGCATTTTATAAGGTCCTTTTTTTACCCTAACATTTCTAAAAATTGCGCTATATATAAAAATAGCATTAAAGCCCGCTATTAAATGTTAGCGTTACACTATAGACGCGTCGTTGAAAAATTACTCATTTAAACAATTTACTGTTCTTATTTTGTATATGTGATAAAAAGAATATTATATTCGTGTAGATTCAATACAAAATTTATTGAACTCGTTGAAAACAACAATACTATGCTCGCCAGAGGCTTGCATAAATAGAGGATATTGAATGAGTGTAGTTTAATACTAAATTTATTGAACGAGTTGAATAAAATCATATTATGCGAGCCTCTGGCGAGCATAATATTGTTTTATTCGACGAGTTCAATAAATTAAGTATTAAAGGGATATTCAGGCAAAATAATGACAAAAATATTTAAATGATCTAATGTACTCAAATCACGCTAAAATGACTTTTCTTGAATTTTCAGTATGAATTTTCTGTTTAAATTCTATATATTTTGGGTTCAAAGCATAAATATATCTATATATGTTGTACAAAATTTAGACGCCAATAGAATTACCAAATAGTTTTTAAACAAGTCAAGTGACTTGAACAAACCCTTGCAGTTACAATAACAAATATTGTGGATATTGTATGATTGAAACAAGCCTAAGTCATTCATTTGACATGTTTTTAACGTTTCCAGAGTTCACTTTCACAACTATTGTGAAATGCTAGCGCTCTAACCTGACCCACGCGGGTCAAGTTAGGAAACCACCATTTTATTCTTTATATGGAGAAAAGTTTTGTTCCTTTGACTGTCTAATATATTCATTTTGATGGCATTTATAGAATAATGAATGAAAAATTCAAAACCAAGAAATGAAAATTTTGCCTGTGTCTCCCTTTAAATCTACACGAATATAATATTCTATTTATCACATATATAAAATAAGAACAGTTAAGTGCTAAAATGAGTAATTTTTCAATGACGCGCCGATAGTGTAACGCTAACATTAGCGCGCTTTAACGCTATGTTTCTATATAGCGCAAATGACGTCAGGTCAAAGTGTTATTACACTAGTGTAATATCGTTTTTATTAAATGGCTTAATTATACTCCTGCGCCGCGGTTTATGTGATAATATGATTTTATTCAACTCCTTCAATAAATTTATTATTAAACTACTCTCATTCAATATCCTCTATATATTTTATATAGTAAACGGGTGCTGGATAGCATTTTGTACTTGATAATCGAGGGGTGATTATTTTATGATAATTTGACCATTATTGGCATGGCAAATGTGCCCAACGCCTGTGTGACACAGATGTGCCAGCAGCTGACCTGGCTCTAGTATAAGAGAGTCAACACTTACTTCTTGAAGTCATTATTTATATAATTTGTCTGAGCCCACATACTATCTTTTATTACAGAATTCTATTATAGCATAAAGACAATAATATTTTCATTTACAAAGACAAATTAGATTTGGAACCTTGCCCTACTCTACCATGCATTATTACACAAGTATGAACTATTTCTGTAATACTGTTTCCTCATTCACATCTGTTTCCAGTAATTTTTCTCTCCATGTGATGTTTCTCCCCCCTAATTTTTCCCATCATAATGTTTTGGTGTATTAATCTTTATCCCATTAGTGCCGCTATATTGTACAATAAACCAGCACTATTTGATATATTGGCTTAATTCTGTTACAAACATTGTATGTATAAATAGAATAGATACAACATGATGTAATAACCCTTAATCTGCCAACAACTCTCTTTAATGGACTTCTGACTCACAGGGACTAAATTAGCCCAAGCGACCAGTGCTGACCAAAATCAACTGCAACATCCATACAGTACAAGGAGTCATCCTATGGCCACCACTGTTTTACCATTTTATAATGACATGATATTTTCCCTAAAAATGATGATGGTTTTGTCTGACAAGGTCATCAAGGCTTTTACAAGATAAGGGCTAATTTCTAATTTTAAACAGTTCAGTATCAATTTTAGGGATATCTGAGGGTTTCTTCAGCCAACAGTTAAGCTCATGGTCAGACTGCTTTAAATGTATTAGACCTACCATACAATGAATGGTGGCTACTGCTTTGCAACTATGTTATCTTACAGTATCAAAAGGATTTAAAGTGAATTTTTTTATGAAATACATGATTTTAATATTATATTCTTCAAAGCTTTGTTGTAACATCATCAGAACAATGAAGGTAAAACTGAAAATTAACTGCATAAATTATGTGATATCACTTATGCATTATGAATTTTGTTCACTATCTAATTTATTAACCAACCCTCAAATTATGCACACATTCACAACTCACTTAATTCATACACACAGAGATTCTCCTTTGAACAATATAATTCATCATATTTGAAGGATCTACTTCAGTCAGATGTAATTCGGTTTTTCATCTGCATCAACTGTTAACATCATTACTGGCAATAGAGGTTTGGTTTTCTATAAATAACAAAGACAAGATCTGGTGGCAGGTGACTGATTTAATTATAGCTTCGCCTAACTGGAGTTTACTGTTTTAAAGATAGAGACTTTCAAACCAATTAAATTATAGCAGCAAGGAAATAAACTAATGCATTTTGTCCTGGATTTTCAAATTAACCCAACCTGTCCTTAATTGATGGATTTGGTACATTTCATAAGTACAGTACATTTCATAGGTACAAGTAAATTTCAGTATCAAAACACAATTCTTTGATATAGAGCTGCAGCAAAATGGATTTGCCCTGCAGTCCATTTGAAGTTAAGTGAATACACAAATTGAGTTACCAACAGTTACAAGACTGCACAGATGTGAAGGCTAGGCTGACTCTATACTGGTGGCATATAGGCTTATAATCACTTTTGGTTTCACAGCAAGTTTCCCCATTAAAGTCAGAATGCAGGGACATGCAAGCTGGACTGGTTCAATGACTGACTTCATTATTAATATTCTACAGGCACCGAACTTAGTAAAAAGTTCATATTGGAAAATTAGAACATCATTTAAAAACAAATTCACAGGACTTTTTTTATACCCTAAAATACTCTTTGGGGTTTACAATACTTTAAAGGATTAAGCAATGCTCAAGTGCTTGTGGTATATACCACATGAACATTGAATAGAGTTGACAGCTGTTAATGTTGCTGTAGAGATTATTAATAGGTTTAGAGATGTCAGCCCTTGAAATATTTAGACACAATGAGCAGTGAAAGACAAATATTAAATACTTTTTCAACAATTTACATCCATCTTGTTTCATCAAATCTTTTCTTTTCACAAAGGGGTCATTTTGACATTTAATTTTTTTGCCAATAATGATTGTGCCTGGTGAGTAAATGCATCTTACTTCCTGTGATTTCAAGAAATGATACAAGTTAAATTAAGTTAGCTTGCGGGAGTAACAGGTGCATATTCAATTCAATTCAATGTATAGAGACTCACAATAAATTATAGTGATTTTGTTTAAAATGGGTGTATAACATCAAAGAATAATGGCCCTTGTTTTACAACTGCACCTTGTATTGATAAGTAAGTACATTTGTATTCAAAGTTAAGTGCTGACTTTTTTGCATGACAACAACAACCGAGTGATCACAATAACTAAAGACTTTTCTTTGAACTAACAGACAAGCTGAAAACTGAGCTATAGGTTAACAGTTTAGAGGTTAAATTGCTTTGGTAAATAATGTATCTCAGGATTGATTAGTAATATATGATGCATTGGTCAGGATTTTTATATTCATATAATTATACCTGTATTTGTTAGATTTTCCCAGTGATACAGTCATAAACCTGTTGTCAGTTAACAATCAGTAATAATGAAAACTAAAAACTTCCATAACTTAGATCAATACAGAGGGTACCACACTATTACTTTCTTGATAAAAAGGTATTGGATTTGTATGAACAATACCTAAAATTTTGAAAATCCTATAAGGAGGAGCTGCCAACTGGGAATGAAATGGTCATACTGTATGGATATGAAGACAGGCCTAGACAGAGTGCTAGGTCAATTGCCCCCTCTCCCACCCCCTTTCCTGAACCATCTTCTCCCAGGGGATATCAGGGGTAAAATCAATGTTCACCAGCACTACAGCATCAATGCATTTCAGGATGAAAATAGTGGGAGATATATCATGCAGTGCAGGGACTTAAGTGGGGGATTTACCACACGATTGCCCCAATGGGTATGGGGGTGGGGCATTTTGGATTTTAATTGACTTATGGGCTAAAATACATAAATGTATTTTAAAGCATATGTAAAACTGACCAGGAAAAATGCAATAGAATAATAAATATACAAGTCATAATGCAATAGAATAATAAATATACAAGTCATAATGCAATAGAATAATGAATATACAAGTCATCCATAAGCCATGTGATTTCATTCATAAATAAATGTTAGTCCAACATGATTCTGTCTTTTTTCCTCTTCCTGTTCCCACACTGCTCCATCCTGAATAGGTTAAGTTTTGTAACTTGGTGGTGTAATTGTCTATAAGTACTGGAGCACTTTGGTGTAATAGGCGTAAAAACCACTTCACATTCTACGACAGATATTTTTGCCTGCTTGACTTAAGACTTTTGACTTTGATCTTTGTATTATTTTTAAAAAAAATTCTAATTCACTTTCTTTGCAAATACTTCAGAATGTAATCTAAGTTTTCCTGTTTTGCTTTTCATCTTTGTCTTCAATTCTGATGAACTAAAGTCTTTTTCGGGTTGATTAACTTCGCAGTTATAATAATAAGTAATATGAAAGTGTCACAGGGCGCCAAATGTCACAGGGTGAGAAAAATGTGCAGCCTGACTGGGACTCGAACCCGAGACCCTCAGAATACCATTCCGCAGTTCTACCTACAGAGCTATCCAGCCGCTTACATACCTTCTCCCCGAACAGTTCTGAATTGTGATAAAAGCCAACACGACATAAAAATCTGGTCAGACTACACTGATAGGCTGATCATTTAATACAACAACAATATCATGGACTCATATGCCCCTTATTTACTTGACCTTCAACCAATAATACAACTTTTGTGATTTGAACACTAAGATACCTGATTAACAGACATATTTTTGTGAGCCAAGATTGGAGGTGTGTGTATTATACAACCCAGGCATCAGTAAGTTAAGTTTGAAGTTAATTTTTAAATAAACTGGTATTATGCAACCTTTTGTACTTGCTATAGAAAATCCTTCTGGAGGAGGTGCGCATCCATCAAAGGTTTATATAACTTTGGCAAACTACAGCACTTAAATACTGTGAGTATCCAATGCTAATAAATAAAAGTATTTAATTTCACTTCGATACATATATGAATATTTGATCACTCAGCTTATTCATTAAATGTCTCAATACTGCCGACGCCTGAATAATAACCATCTTGGGCTTAAAATTCCTAAAATTATCAACAGGTCAATTCTTTTAAAATAGAGCTTAATAGCAGGGAAAAGTTAGACTAGTACACAACTTACTTTTGTTTTTCTTGTTTATGTTTAGCCCAGGTACTTTTTACGAGTTTTTCCAAGTTTCTGGAGTATTCTGCCTCCAGGTCGGCTTTCCGGCGGTAAAATTCCTGCACCTCTTGAACCATGGCCATCTGAGATTCTAGCCGAGACTCGAGACATTTTAATTGTTCGGAAAGTTGTTGTCTAATATCTGAAAATATAAAAACGGGGAGAATTAGATATTTTGTCTAGAGCTTCTAAACAAGAGTGTGTTCCAAATCAAGTTTTAGAAAGCCTTAAACTGCTGTCTAGGCCCATATTTCAGGGCCTCTTTTATCCTCTCTGAAATAAACTTTAGTTGATCCAGATAGCTGGAAATGCATTTAGTAATGACACAGAATAAAGAATTCTATATGAATTCTATTCAAATTTTTAGATTGTATTCCAGTTAGTTTTGACAGTTTCTTTGATATAATGTTACAACTACAGGCCTAGGCCTATATGGCCAGATAGAGCTGCTAACTGTGTATGAATGACCACCACAGCCTTGACAAATAATAATAATGGTCAGATAATTATGATAATATAATGTGCATGGTATTATACACAATGTAAATAAATAATAAGCGACAGCATTAACCCTTTGCCCACAGGAAGCAATTAATTCTATCCTGCAAGCATCCCCTTTAAAATGTGCCACCACGATCTATGTCTGTGCTGTTTGCTATTCAGTCAGAAAATATGTTGAATATTTTTATTAAATTAACAAATAGTTTTGTCCAGATTGAAAGATGGACAAGTCCATTTAAGATATTTAGCCTGATAAGAGTAACTACATTTAAAAAGGTTTTATGTTACACTAAAACAATGATATTGTTTGACTTATAAATGTTAAGACAGATATATTTAACTACAATGAAATATACCAATATAATACCAATGTTTGACCTATATACTTACAATTTTGCAAAATCTGACCAGCCTTAAAGTTCATTCTGACAAGTCATGGACTTTATTAGGTTAAATCAAAGTAAATTTTCATTGATAATTATAGAAAATTTGATCATTTTTTTTCTCTCAAGTTTTCATCTGTCAACAGTAAGAAAAATAAATGGCTAGTTAATGTGCCCAAAGGCCATTACTGAAGTTTTTCTATAAGGAAATCACGTGATATTTTAGTACATTTATATATTTTTATATGTAACACTTTGAAATGTCATAACTCGTGATTCATCACTTTTAAACGGTAGATGAATAGTTTAAGTGACAATTTATTGCAATTTCACTCCACTTTTAAACACCTTCTTGATGCTTATTGTTTGAATCATGCTTCTAAACTACACAGAGTTTATAAATCATGTTATTAATGACATAGTTTATTTATTAAATTGGTTTGAACTGCTCTGTAGATCAAAGAGGGAAGCCCTACATACCTCTGTTGGTCACACTGAACTTGTTGACATTAATAATGACAACAAGACATAATTTTTATCCCATTAGGGGTCATTTCAAAATTTATCTAACTCACAGTAAGTGATAAATATGACATGGGGGCATCTCAAAATGTATTTACCCAAATGATGGATAATCCAAAATAGAGGTCATCTCAAAATGTATTTATCTAAGCCTACATTGTAAATATTAATATTAATGGGTGTTTTCAATAATGTGAAAAGTTATGAACATAGATGTACTTTTCTAAAAACATATTAAACTTTTTAAAATAGAAAACAGAATAATTTTGGTGTTTTGAAGGTGTTTGATTTAAATAAACTTTGTACACATTCAGCTGACAAATCAATTGTAACCTGCTCCAGTTAGTACTTTTTTAGTGTTTTTTTTATCAATTTCAGGTCAATTCTTCATTTAGTCAATATTGAAGGACAAATAATATAATTGGTTGGGGATTATACTAAGACTAAGTTTAGGATCTAGGCCATTTGATTATATTTTAATAAACAACTTAATTGGGGTGGCAGAATGATATTTTAGTACCCCCTCCTACTCCACCGCCCACAAATACACCTGAGATCTAACATCAGAGACTTTTATTAAAGAAGGATTATAAAGCAGCTCTAAAAATAGATTTTCCCGTCAAGACCCACAATTCCTTGTGCGAAAATTATACGCCCTTGGTTTTGGTCGATTTTGTTCATCTCGTTTATATATGGCAAAGTTATCTACCAAATGTGTTAACATTTCCATCCATTACTGATAATAATTACATCTTCCTAATACATTTCTTTTAAACATTTTTACAAGTTATTTACAAGATTTTGCATTCCCAGAAAAATCTCATGAAAATTTGAAATTGTGAGATTATGTTATCCCCATTATAGATTTTTAGTGTATGACATCTATGTTATATAAAGCTGCATGCTTTTACATTAACTAATATCTCTACTAAATGCAGCTTATATAATTATTTTGAAGAACATTCCTTGTGAATATAAAACAATTCAAAGCAAACTCTACATGAAAATGATCCTGATCTAAATTGTTCTGTACAAATATTATAAAAATGTCTTCCAGAATGGCTTTCTTTATTACTGACATATTAATATATCAAAATAACTGATACAGATATCAGCCCAGATGTGGAGGCTGATACACGGCAGTCAAAATGGCAGTCAAAACGGCATAAAAATCTCAGCACAGAATTTTTTACACAAAAGAATAATGTGTCAGCAGGATGTTTGAAAGTCGGTTATAACATCTGCTACTTTACTTTACCAAGATGTTACTGCAGAAACTAGAGAACTGTGAGACATCAAGAGAAAAGTTTGGTTTGTAAATGTAAACAGACGTAACAATAACACCAACAATGTCATTACAGAACAGGGACTGACATTGACAAAATAACGTTGACAAAATATTTAGTGTACAAAATTCAGTTTGATACAAGTTCAGTTTTTCTAACACTAATTTGTAATCGATATATGGCAATCAAATGCCCAAAAAAATGGCATATTCTGAAACTTGTCTGACCCAGACATGGCAAGCTTACACCAGCCTTGCTTTTAGAATATGAAATGTCTTTGTCCTTAACAATCAAGTAATGTGTTTTGTCATTTAAAAAGTCAAAGATTAAATTTTACATGTCTTGAAACTGAGAAAAAAATGCACCCCACAAAATAAAGCATTCTAAATTTTGTTTACTTTAAATACTTTTTGATCAAACTGCAGAAAATAATGTAAATTTAAGAGAAGTCATTTAAAAATAACTTAAAACAAAATAAATTTAGGCTAATGACTCATTTGCATGTGTTTTTCTCTTTCATTTTCATTTTTAACTTTAATTTCCTACATGCATAATCCCGAGCATTATAATATTCTGCACTTATACAGTCGTCAAAAAATTGAGATAAAGAATGAATTCAAATGAAGATTATCTTTTTTTGTGGTGTTTAGCATAATGCAGTTGTAATTGTATACACTGTGTTAAATTGTTAGATAATTGTTGTATATTGTAGACTTAAATTTCAGCGTTAATGTGTAAAAACCTGTCATTTGTAGGCAATTTGATAGATAAACATAGACATTTCCTTCTAAAACTTACATTTAAGTAACATTTCCTGCATATCAATTAGGCCCGGCTTTTGAAAATAGATACAATTAAAAGTAGAGGCGACCCAGTAGCCATTTGATTTGACAATAAACTAACTGTTTACAGTAAAGATAACAATCTTAACTGTTTGATCTATTACATGCATACAGGAATTTACCATTAATTCAATCACCCTGTAGTATCCTGATCACTATTTATTTACTAATTAAGGACTGTGAATCATAATTATATACTACTTAATTTTGTATTTATTTTTCCTACCTCCCTTTCAGAATGAGAATATTCTCAGTTACTAACTCAAGATGTCATACCCACGCATAAATTTAAATTATGACATATGCAAGTGTTTATAAAAGTTAGAGATAAAGCAATTTTATAGGCTGTCTAACAGACAGACTCTGCAATTTAAATTTATGAAATTATTTTTTTTTTGCTCTTTCCCTTTTCAGAAATTTTTCAATCTATTTCGAGACCTAGCCATCTCAGAAAAGCAATTTCACATGTACATAAGACACAGTAAAAAGTTTTTACAAGAATCTAGTGATGATTAAGTCTCGAAGAACTGCACTTAAACAACTGTGAAAAAACATCAATTTAATCCAGGATGCTTTATTTAATCTTACAATTCGTACTTAATGTTTTACCTTGCTTTGTTTTTTTTCGTGCCTTATTTTCGGCACTTTAAAGAAACATGGTGAGACTACTTTGCCAACGGATGCTGCGAATGATAATACAGATAACATGCAGACGTCTTACGTCTGTTACCTTTAGTATCTAAAATAGAACTCATGAATTCCCCAATATCCATGAAAAATTGTGAAGAATTATGAAAGGAATTTATTAAAATGTCATGATGTACCTTTACAATTATAATCTATGAGTCATGACAATTACAAATGTATGTATGTAGTATCTTTTAGTATTCTTTCTTACAACCCGTAACCTGTTGAACTTCATGAATTTGGAAGGCTAACAGTGTTGAGCAGGTGAAAACTGCCTGATGTTAGTACTTTGGTACATAACTCTATTACTTCTTCTTTGTCTGTTACTAGAAAGCCTGTGTCTAGGCTGAATGAGAAAAATGGCCAAAGAAAACAAGGAAGTGTTCAAAGAGCCCCTGGAGTATGCAGTATGGCTTAAAACGCAAGCCCTTTGCTTAGCACCATCATCATATTACTCTATGCACAGCTGCACAGTGACCTACTTTTGAGTCAAACTGTATCCCTTAGGCTAATACTCTGTGGAAATTACACACCACTTTGAGCTTAAATAATATCTTGGACATGCTGACCTGACATGTTTGGAAATATATTTTTTGGTTTAGAAAATAATATATTATTTTGTAGGAAGCTGAAAAGCAACTAATGAATGTTTATACAATGAATTGATACATCTATAAATATAACACCCAAGTTCTTTGAACGATCACTTTTAAATGTGAATGGCAATGACATTAAATAACAAGAGCTGTCTGTAGGACAGCATGCTCGACTATTCTAAGTGCTTGATAGTAAAAGAGCTTGATATTGTTAAATTTTTTAAGTTCACAAAAGGGCTAATTTTTTTTTATAAATTCATGTTATAGGCATTAGAGAGAGTCTAATTATACAGAATTGGCTTGACTATTCGGAAGGTAATGTCACAAGGGTTTTATATTGAGTATAATAATACTAATTACCTATGAATACATAAATTTGACAGAAAAGGTACAAAGGCTTGTTATAAAGATGTTTTATCAAGTAAATCACTGCTTTATTATTATGAATGCATAAAATTGTCCCAAAAAAGGCACAAACCCTTCAGTAGTTATTGAGATAACAGCTTACAAGCAAAACTTTACCATGAATTTCTAAGTTGAAAAAGGGGAGAAAAATCAGCCTAAATGCAAGATAGAATTATGGATCTTTGTCAGTGACCTACAATTATGACCCTAAATGCATATGTGAAGTTTTAAATAAATATCTTTAATAGTTATTGAGATATGTAAAACTTGCATGTAAACATTAACCAAGAGACTAAGTAGAAAAGGGGATATGAATCAGCCTTAATGCAAGATAGAGTTATGGAACTTGGTCAGTGACATACAATTATGACCCTCCAATTATGACCTTAAGTGCATGTGTAAAGTTTCAAGTAAATATCTTTGAAGACTGTTAACCTTTAATCAAAATTTCTAAGTTTCAAAGGGGCAAATAATTCTGCAAATATTGTAGACAGACTTATGCAATTTTGCAAACTGATGTACATTGTTACTATAAATAAACATTTTAAATTTCAATTGAATATCTCAAGCAATAATTGAGATATTTGACTTTACAAAAAAACTTTAACCAAAATTTCTAAGTTCCAAAGGGGCATTATTCTGTCAATATGGTAGGCAGAGTTATCCAACTTGTCAATCTGATGTACATTGTTACTATAAATAAGTATTGTAAGTTTCAATTGAATATCTCAAGCAATAATTGAGATATTTGACTTTACAAAAATCTTTAACCAAAATTTCTAAGTTAAAAAGGGGCATTATTCTGTCAATATTGTAGGCAGAGTTATCCAACTTGTCAATCTGATGTACCTTGTTACTATAAATAAGTATTGTAAGTTTCAATTGAATATCTCAAGCAATAATTGAGATATTTGACTTTACAAAAAACTTTAACCAAAATTTCTAAGTTAAAAAGGGGCATAATTCTGTCAATATTGTAGGCAGAGTTATCCAACTTGTCAATTCTGATGTACCTTGTTACTATAAATAAGTATTGTAAGTTTCAATTGAATATCTCAAGTAATAATTGAGATATTTGACTTTACAAAAAACTTTAACCAACGCAGACGCCGACGCTGACGCCGACGCCGACGCCGACGCCGGGGCGACTACAATAGCTCTCATATTCTTCGAATAGTCGAGCTAAAAACTTCAAACGAGTACATGGGACCAAATATACCCCATTGCTCATCATCATGCCATTAACATTTTTTACCCAGCATCAATCCGGCATAAAAAAATCAACTGTTCAATATTAACATAGGAAACAGCTGCCTATCTTCAAACACCATCAAAAAGCATCCCCTGTTTTCATTCTCACAATATGTGACAATTTCATTGACCCAATTAACATATTTCTCAGCTATATGATTCAAGATACTGTATCATTGAATCAACACGCATATTTCACTGAAAATGCATATTTCACTTAAACGTGCATACGATTTACAAATACATTTAGCAACAAAAGAAAAATATTGATTATGGAATTATGGGAGATTATTTTCATGGCATATCACACTCCATCGAACAAGAGTAGTTTTAAACTTGACATAGGCTGCTGTCAAGATTGAATGATGAGTAATCAATTCGCAGTCATTCCTTCGATATCGCCTCAAAACCTCAAATCATTCTAAGATAACAAAAGAGCAAAATGCGATAAAACTGCTGTTTCATATATTATTATGCCAAAAATACGATAAAGGATTGCCACTTACCATGAGCCTCATTAAAGGGTTTTTGTTTTGTATGGGTGTTTATCAATAAGACAAATCATACAAAGTACAATGTTCGCGTATATTTTATGTAAAGCAGGAGTTTTACAACCGATATATATTTATTTTTATGACCACTGTAATAGGAATGTTTAAACGGTCATCTTTTATTACTTTTAAGCCCATGTAATGTGTCCGAGAACAGCAACATAACATTTTGGTTATAAATATATAAACAAATAAAAGATTCATTTAATTTACTGTTTATGTTAACTGTTTTACTGCCTAATGGGAAGTAAATGTACTCAGAATAGACAGAGACTGTAATCTTTAAAGCACTACAAACTAACGTTTAAATAAAAGCGGAAATAATATATGGAACACTTAAAAGATTTACCAAAATATCTGTTTTTCCGCCTAGACTCCGAACGGTTAGATTTAAGTAAAGAATCCATCATTTACACACTGAAAATTAATCCATGATTGTATTTTCCCCCCACTGAAACACACTCTGTTCTGACAACACTCACTCAATGACTGAGACATACACATAATATTGGGTGAGGGTCGATCAATGAGTAACGGAGTGTAGAAAATTTGGCCTTCTATCAACAGTCATGATCTCTTTACTACCCTGTGGTTTATTTTGGTAAACATCTACATGAGGTAGGTAAAATAAATAAATTCTAGACATGGGAAGGACTTGATAATTTGTATTTATATTCATTTGAAAAGAATGATTCATATTAATCTATGCCTTACTTAGTACTACCGGTATTTAATTTTCAACAGAATTGAATGTGACTGGTATATTAAAGTACTTTATTCTATTTTTGGCGATCCTATGTTAATTGTTTTTCTTAGAAATATTCAATTTTCAACAGAATTTAATGTGACTTTATTAAAGTACTTTATTCTATTTTTGGCTATTCTATTGTTAATTAATCATTATATCCTGATTCATTCTATTTTTGGTTATTAAGTACTGATACTCTGTTGTTTGATTTGTTGATTATTATAATTGCCTATCTTATTGTTGTTTTTAATGATGTTTTTTTTGTAATTTTGGTCCTTATTATACATTAGTTGGTTTCTTATAGCCAATTATTTCACTGCTGGTTGTGATGGCAATTTTACTGGAGGTCATCCCAACAGCTACTTATTTTCTTTAACATTACAAGTTACAGTTCCCATTTTCAATTAAAATTACACTGGTAGTTAAAATGAATATATTGACCGAGCTATTGTTTTTTATGTGTGATTCCCCCTACCAACACTTTTAAAAGATATTTCAACCTGCTTAAATAAATGGTAATTAGTACATACACACACCTTAAACAATGCCACAAAACAACCAGCCAGCATTTCTTGACGTAGAAGTGTTTTGACATTTTGTCTCCAGAATTTTAAGTGCAATAATAAAACATGAAGATTTTAACACAAACCCATTTGTAGACTTAGTCTTTAATTGAAAGTGTTAGTCAAATATCTGTATAAAAGTGGGGGATTACACTGCACTAAATGTAGGAGTCATTTACATTATAATGGCAACTCTCCAGCTTTACCGGTGAAGGATTTAGACCTCTGGTGCCCCTCAATGCATTGTCTCAAGCATGAGCTGGCACCTTATAGTAGAACCAACAATGGTGCATAAGCTACCTGGATAGCTTTCTCACATGAAAGAATCCAAGGTCCCTTGTGGCATTTGAACCTACAGCAGTGAGGGGCAGAAGTTACATACATGTATATTAATAAGTTTTTCAAGATGGCAGTCATCTTTAAGTTCACATATCATAAACTGTCATAAACATTTTCATAATTGTTCAAGTTAATGGCTAGTGTAATTTTACAACAATAAATAAACTGAAAACAATCTCTGACTCTGATCTATAATTGTGGAGATAAATAACATAACTTCCTGTTTAAAGATCTGGGTTAATGATAATGACATGGTGTTTCTGTTTCAAATCCAGAAAAATGAAATTAACTTTATCTTTTATAGCCAGGCTACAGTCAGATTCAAGCATTAATTTGATATATGGTTAAAAACTCTAAATTTTAGTGTTCTGATCACTAAGTATTCTTTATCTCTTTGAATGTAGGTTTGCCACTTATAACAAATTGTACTGTAAGACAATTCAATTGTTTTCCGTCCCATGATCAAAACGCCCATCTGCACTTACGAAAATTGTACACAATGTTGTAATATAACCCATCAAAATTTAGCTAATTTACAATAATATAAATCCTAATCATATATATATAAATGTTTGTTCTAAACTTAGATGCTAAATATAAACATGTGCATTACAAAGAACAAACAAAAAATCACCCCAAATTAAAATCAAGCAGAGCAACAATATGTTTCCATCAGAATAAAATCAAGCAGACCTATAAAATCTAATTAATAATCACTGGAGAAAAGGTAAGTGATCCAGACATAATTCAGACAGCCTTTGTGTTGTGCACATTAATTAGCATACAAGTATTTCTAGCCCAGTGCAATTACTGTTTAAGACATATCATCACCTATGTACTCCAATAATCAATTAATTGTTCTATTTTTAGTAACATGGTATACACATTAATATCATAATGCAACATGTAAATAAAGGAAACTTTCTTAATGATCATAAATATTTTATGACCAATTTGTTTTCAGTAAACATTTATAGCCAGGTATAAACATTTGTGAGTTTATTAGTCGCCGGTAGAAACCGGCGACTATATTTGTAACAGTTTAATATTATACCTATGGTAGGAGAAGGTATTAATTTCTGTAAATAAAAGCATAACAATTACTGAACAATTAAAGACTACAATTGTTTTCAGTAATCTCAAAAATTCAAACATACAATAATGTTGCTCAATGAAATGAAATATTCAAATATTGATATCGTAATAAGCAACATTACAATTTTTATAAAATGAAATAATGACGTATCCCTATGGATCAGTCATTGAATTTAGGGATGTTTTTCCTTTTTTTCAAAGTGTCAAGCGTTGCTATTTTATAATTTATAAATCATGCATGATATTTGAAATGACACTTTTGAATTATCTGGTTGTTTGTATGTTATGAGACCTATTCTATTTTTTATCTTATTTATTATAAACAGCTTCTCCCAGAATCACGTGACTACACGTTGTATGTTAGTGTTATAAGATCTATTAATAGTAACAAATTGCTGATAAGACAGAAATACAGGTAACTTATGAATGGTTGGCAGCTGATAAAAGTGCAAATCAAAGTAAGTAGGGGCCGGAATCCTATTGGATACACAGAGAAAACTAATAAACTATCTTTGTGTTGATAGTTTATCGCACTGAAAGGCAATTAAACGTTAACTAGATTGTATGCAACGACAGGAATATTGATTTTTTTTTATGCAGACACCACTTTTACAGTAGAATTGCATTGTTTTATGCAATAATTAAGCATATATATTTGCATAGTCACTTTGCAAATATTCGATGATCGGGTAACTATCGGAATCTGAAGTAAACCATACGGAGTTCAAATGTATGGTACAACGGTATTATATATAAAGTAGAATTACAAGTAGAATTATAATCATATCACATGATTTACAAGCTTCGATGACAAGGTGTTAGATTTTAAGTTAGTTTCAAATTGAAGACTGTAGGTTCGATAAAGTAATTTTTTATGTTTTCTTTTATAATACTTTTTTGTATTTTGCAAAACTTGATCATTTATCAAAATTATAAAATAAAAAGGTGCTAGAAATGAAACACACGATTTATCAACTTATGTTTCATAAAGTTAAAAGATATAATAAAAAATCAATTTATGAAAACTACACACAGGATTTGTCCAAGATTCGAACTTGCGCCTACTACATGTAGGTTACAACTTCGTCATACTTACCACTAGGCCATCGATCAGTATTAATTGATATAATTATACATGTAATTATACTTACAATAAAATCGTTAACATTAATCATAATAAGTTATGTAAGCAAACGAAACAGCTCCCGGAAATTATTGAGTCTCGGGTAAATATTGCCAAACAATACTTGCTTATTTAATAATGATAACAGTTTCTTGACAAAATTGCTAAGCAAGTTTGCTTCAAATATGATGTTTTATTATAACATAACATAAATTTATTGAATAAACTCTTTTTACAAAGTTTATATCAAAGAAAGATATAATTGTGGCAAGTACATGAAAACTTGTTTATGAATAAACATTACTCAACTTATTGTTCCTGTTTTCTTTATACTCGAGCCATTAAACTGATATTTTCTTTTATTTATGATAATACAATCATATTTCTATCCGGCGACTTGATGCTTTAGCATCAAAATCTCTACTTGTTAACTTTCTGTAGTAAGTACTGCCTGACCAAAGCCAGACTCCCCGAAGTCATAAATCCAATTACTAAACAATTACAGACGGCCCAGCT